AGTAATTTGAATGCAGCTTATCTACTTTCATTTGATTTACATTTTATTTCCTTCTCATCTTATAGACTAAATAAACAATCATTGAATATAATATCATGAATTGGTTATTTAATAAATTTGTACAATTTTGTTAACAAATTCAATAGACCAATAAGGATTTTATCAACACCTGTAGATTTTTATCTAGTCTCAATACTTTTATGATTAATTAAGCTATCAATTACTTATTAAGTCAATTGTTAATAATCAATAAATTATTAAGAGTCTTCACTTTCAAAGGCACTATCAATCAATTAACTTAATAATTCATAATATTATGATGAATTAGCTTGTTGATTTTACATAGAAATTAATTGTTATAATATAATTTTTGTAGGTTAATTATTTCTTTTCTGACTTTCATGACAAAGTACTAATATTGCTCTACTAAATAAATTACGTACACTATCAGATTTATCAGTAAAGATTCCACTAAAGAAAATATTAATGAATTCAACATTTTCTATACTATTTGTTAATAATTCTTAATTATGTAATAATATTACAATTATTACTATTACACTATGTTCAATAATCTATCTATCTTCTTATTCTAATTCATTACTCTTAAGTAATTCTTAAATTAAGTTTATTAAGACACTAATGAATTTCTCAATCTTCTCAGTAATACTATCACCAAGACGACTCTCTTTCAATTTTTATACTAATAATTTAAATTCTTCAGGATCTTCAGATTATCTAATATCAAGTAATACTTAATCCAATGGTTTGATGATTTAAATACCTCTTGATGCCTTATACAAATTAGGTACATTACTAGCACAAGCAGCAATAACATAATTTTAGAATGTTTTTAAAAGGAATGACAAGATTTCTTTTTCAATTTGAGGTAGTGTACTCACACTTCTACCTTAATATTATTTAAAGAATTGTAATAACTTATCAAATCCACCAAGTTACAAAAACTTACTCATCCATTTATCCTTCAATAAAAGAATCTCTTAATCATCTATTAATGCTTATAAATTATTTGAATCATTTTAATTCATCAAAAACTCTATAATATATAGACTATATAATAATCTATAATGACTACTAACTAATATCTGATCCCAATCAGTAGGCTATTAGATGTTTTCAAATGTGAGCATCTATTTAATCAATTATGGTGATGGAGGTAATCTTCTCAATAAATACCAAGTTTTCTCTTACACTTCATTACTTGAATTCTGTAAAAGTTCAAAGAGTAAATCCAAATACATTTGATTTTATACAATTTATCCTCTGGGCAATAATTGAGCATTTACTTATGGTAAAGGTACTCTATCTCCTCTAATTAGATCATTTCTATAATGCAATGTTTGGAGATTCAGCCAGACAGTTGATTTTTTGGTTCTTGCAGAATCAGTATAGAAATCTAAGAAATCATTCAAAGTCAGAATTGAATCTTTATCTTTGTCATATTATTCAAATGTTCTTTATATATTAGCATCATCAATACTACAAGGATTACCAGTACAACCAGTAACAAATCTTGTACAATCTTCTTTACTCATTTTACCATCAGTAGAATAATCACTAAAGATTTCTCCAAATACTTATTTTGCTGGTTCTGATAATACATCTCCATCCAATAGATTAACTTCAGGTATTTCTTTTACTTATTTTCTAAATACCATAATAATTTCCCCTTTTTTTAATCTTAAATCTTTAATCATTTTGCCATTTTCAGTAAATTTAATTTCACCTTTTAAACTATTCAATCCAATAGAATCCCATTATTATTTAATGACTTTGCTTATTGCCAATCTTAATTCAATAATAGTTTAATTATCATTTATTTTAATTGTAAATTTCTTAAAATTACCATGTTCATAAGATATTTAAATTTATAATTCTTCTCCTTATGATAAAGCATTTAAACTCTTTAAATTACCTACTCCATTTACTTCACTTTAATCTATGAATCCCTCCAAAACTAATAAACACCTATATAATTTCTGATTATTATTTCTATTCTCTTATAATTTATTGAATAACACATCTAATGTACTTTCAAATGAATGATAATAATCTATTGCAGATTAAGATACCTTATCATTTTCTGTTTCTAAAATTATTTGCCATAATATATCAAGACCAAAACCATTATCTTCTTATTTATTTATTGCTGTCATAACAGTTTTAAAACAATTAAATCCTTCTTCAGTCAATTAGATTAAATCATTTGTCATTTTTTCATAAAAAAAGGACTTTAAATCTTAAAGAGGTACCATTGATGTTAATTATGATTATCCATCTTAAGTTGATAATGCACTAAACCATTTATATACTAAATCTTTTTCTTATTAATTTGAAGATTAACAAACTAATTATTCCCATATACTTGAAATAATATTAAAAGTTAATCTATATTCATAAGTGCTTATATTTTAATAAAAGAATTAAATGAATTGCATTCTAATCTTGATTTCATCCAAATAATCTTTTTACTTCTTCAATTCAGGAATAGATTTAATTATTTCTTCTACTATTTTAAATTTACTCTCTAAATCTGTTAATGCAACATTTCTTGTATATTATTCCCAAGCCACTGGTTAAATATCTAACTTCTCTATCAACTTAATTAAAACTTTCAAACCAACATTAACTTATTCTCCATTCACAATACTTTCTCCTATCATACTTATCTATGCTCCTTTATGAGGTCTCATTTCATATTAAGTGACTTAATCAATATAATATGAAATATATTATTCTTACATTGTTTAATTTAATTATCCACTCTTCAATACTGTCCATTAATAATTACAACATTTCTAAATATATTCATCTTTATATCTATAATTCATCTTAATTATATCAAGTAACAATTCTAAATCATCTTTAGTGACATCTTTTGGATCTTTACTACAAACAGCATCAGTCAAGAAATCTAACCATTCTTTCTCTAATGAATTTGAAATATCTTTAAATAACTTAAAGATAGCTAATTTATGTTCATATTCAGCTTTCTCTAAACTATACCATATATCTTTAAAACTATTAATACTAATCATTTTTTCTTCTATTAAAAATTTAAAAAATTCTGCACTTCTTTATACTAAATGAGAATTACCAGTTCCAACATATAAACTCTCAAAAATCTTTTTTTCATTTAACCATTCTAATATCATTTAAATAGCTGCTTATTTTTACCATTCTTACATTCCATATTAATTATATTAATCTTTTGTCTTCTTTATCAATTCTTAAATTGCTTTCAAACCTTAAATCTTTCTCTCTAAAAAATCACTTGTAAAACATTTATATGCTATATCTAAATCCAATCTATCTATCATTTCTTACCTTTTTTATAATGCATACACTCTTTTTAATAAATTACTTAATGCTTGTAAAATATCAGTTATCTTTTAAGTTGAAAAGTTTCTAAGATTATTATCAGCTGATTATAAGATATTATTTTAGACTGCCTCAAATAATTGGGGAACGTAATTTAAAACTAATTCTCTATTTAACATTTCTTAGAAATTATTCAACACTACCATATAACTATGTAAGAAATCTATAGTGCATTTATTGAGAATTTAATCTAATATGTATTAAAATAATCCAGCATTGCCAAATTCATTTATCATTTCACAAATAACAATTGATCTTCTAGCTTATTTTGTTTAAAATCTAGGAACAGCATAATCAGTATTTGGATAGAGGAAATCATTACAATCATGAATAATTTCTTCTTAACAATGAGGATTAGATGGTTATCCTTTTGAAAATGCATTTCTTTTTTAAATTCTTGGACTCACTGCTTTAATTCTTTCATCATATTATTGATTCCAACCAAAGAATCTCCTATTTTATGAGTCATACTAATTGCCCTTTTCATCATAAACTCTAAATCCAACAACATATTCTTTTTCCTCTTCATTTAAAGCAGCAACAATAGTAGCATTTTACCATACACGATTATCAAAACAATCTATTATATCGCCAATAGTAAGAGAATGTCTCCATTCCCATTCATCATCTGTTACTTTACTTTTATATGGTGCCAAATCCATTGAATATCTAGCAATCTTTCTTTTCTCTTCATTTTCATACCATTTGACCCAAACATATTTATCATTAATCTTTACTATATTTGCTCTACACCATCCAATTACATTACCTTTTTCATCTTCATATAATGCATCAACATCTTAACCTTCCATAAGATTTGCACAAAATTCTTATTAAGTGAATTCCAGATGTGAAAACTAAAAATCTTTTGGATTTGAATACCTAGTCTTCATCCATCTAGACTAACTCATGACATTTGAAGAAATGCTTGTCTGGATCTATGATTAAACGAAGTGTCTCCCAAGCCTTCAATTAATCTCGATTATTTAAACACACCTTCACTATATGCATCAAGATTTTATTTGCAGACTATCCATAATAAGATGATACTTACTTTCCAATACATTGTGTATTGTCTGAATTCGATTACGTTCTTTGCACATTGATACAATAAATCCAATCCTATAGGGTGTTGGATTTGCTGCCACACAATCTCTAAATCTTATTAAGATCTACTGTTAATACATTAAACTTACTCTTATTAACACTATCCAATTCTTTTAATGGCTTCCTTTAACTCTTCTGTGTTCATTTAATTAAATATCACCGATTATAATACCAAATACACACAAATAAATAGGTGTGTATCATTAGAAATCTAATAAAAAATCAATGACATTTAAACAAACAAAATCATAATCATCTAAGTATATTCATGAACTTAAAGAATTCTTATTTTATTTTAATTTTTAATCTTCATATTTCTTACATCTTCATTATTAATTTAATTTGATATCAATGAACCATTTAAATTATTCACTCTTAAAGAAACTATTCTCAATTCCTTATTCTCTTACTATTTTATAATAATCTGTTATATAAGAATATTACTTTCTTAAATAAACTCATGATATAGAACATAAAATATTAATTTAAATATGGGAATCTGTTCAGCTAAACCATAATAGAATCTAAAAATTATACAATATCATGAAAAATAATCAAAATAATCTCCTCAAAATGAATAATCATTGGATATTTAAAGACTTGTTAAATCAGAAAGAAGCATTAAAACCATTAAACCAACTGCTCTTTCTCCAAAGTAAGTATTATCTAAGTTTGCTGTTTCCCCTTCTACTAGATAAGTTAAACATATGGTTTGGGCTGATTAAATAGTTGAAAATTCAAATTTTCGTGGAACACTCAAAACTTGGGTATCAATAAAAAATACATAATTTTCAAAATACTACACTATGTTAAATAAAGACCAATTCCATTATAAAATAAAATAGAATGATCATATAGTTGTACTCTAACATAATCTCAGTGGTAGAATTATGGTGGCTGAAATGATAAAAAAAACTCAATAAGGAAATTAATTCATAGAATCTATAATCTAAACTTAATTAGTATATATAATTAATCCTAATTTAGAATCATCCTAATTTAATAAGAATTTTCGAAATATTTTAGGATAGTAATAATTATCAAATTATACATGATTTTTGTAATGGAACATTATTATCCTAAAATCTACATAATTCAGTCTACACTTAATAATAAGCAGCTTTAATTTTGAAATAAATAATAGATGTTATCAAATATCTTCATCAATATGATGTAAATCATGGAGCATTAACACTGGCTTCTTTCTAGAAATGTAATTAATCAAATTCTAACTTTATTAAATTAGTTGATTTTAAACCTATTTACTTAAAATCCTATATTTAAGAAAAAGAAATTTATTAATACATGTCACCTGAATCTATCAAATTTCCTGAATTTTATACAATTGAAAGAGATATTTGGAGTATAGGAATTATACTTTTTTAAATGTTGACTGGTGAATTCCCATTTAAAGGTAATAATAAAGAAGAAGTATTTGAAGAGATAAGAAAATATTCATTATCATACGAATTCAATAATTAATGTTTACCATTTGAATCTGTAGATATTATTAAAAGATTTCTCTAACTTGATCCTTCAAAAAGAATTATGTTAAATGAAGCCTTAAATGAAAATTGGTTAAAACACTTTATTGAGAATTAATATGAAGAATAGGAATAAATAGTAAAGTAATTAGAAAATAATCATGAATACAATTTTCTTTAGTGTTGCTTTTTATAGTTTATGATTTCCACTTTTTCATCTGATTAAGAGTAATTTTTTTATTAACTTTTTTGTTAATTTGATATTAATCATGATGGTAAAATAAGCAAACAAGATCTTACTACAGCTTATATTAGATATTTCAATAGTATTTAATAGGTTAAAGAACATGTAGATAAAGTCTTTAAAGGAATTGATATTAATAAAAATGGTGAAATAGATTTTTAAGAATTTTTGATTGGAGTAATGAATAAAAATACATTAATTACAGAAGACAATTTAAAAGAAGCATTTAAATTACTTTCAGATATAGAAGGATTCATTTCATTATCTAAAATGTGTTCTTTATATCATAATAAAAAATAATAGTTGAAATAATCATTTTGTGCTTATGAAAATAATTAAGTAAATATTATAATGACTTATATTTAGATTAATTTCAAGCAATTTCAACAATTGATGTTTGATACACTTTGATTATTCTATCTTTATTATGAATATTTTTTATATACTATTACATTAATTATTTTAAATATATGGAGAAATTAAAACTATATATCGAAAGCAATTAAGATTAAGAATTCAAAGGCTACATGGAATGTGAAAAAATAATATCTAAAAATATGAAAGAGAATTTCCGTGAATTATGTCTTAGAATTTAATAATTCTTGGATAATGACAAATCTAGATATATTTGTTAATTTTGTATAATCAAAGTATTTCGAATTTGATTTGCTTTAGTTATGTTACAAACTTACTATTGATATTAAATATAATGAAGAATTCCTTTTTGAGCATTTTTAAAATATTGTTCTGCCATCAATAATAAATTACATTTATAATAATTAGATGTATTCCAAATAGTTAGAGCCTAAAGTATAATAATACATTCTTTCATCTGTTACTATGTGTAAAGAACTGGTAAGTTATTTCGCTCATGTATATCCATAAACAAAAGATTACTAGCCTTCTAAATTTTTATGTTAGTATTAAATCTACAAAAAATAGTAAAAAGAAAATTAATTTTAAATAGAGAAAAAGAAGAATTATTAATATCTTAAAAAAAATTTCATAAATATTGATCAGAATTATAAGTAGATAAAGTAATAATGGAAGAGTTAAAATTTAGTCTAAGATGTAGTGTTTATGTCTGATAATGAATCAAATTCTACAGAGGTATAATCTGCTGAAATTTTTCAATAAGTAAACTTGAATTCTTAAAAAAAAGATTAATTTATATAATCGATTGAAAAATAGCAATAAAATATACCAGAGGAGATTGAAAAAGAAAAAAAAGATCAACTTTAATAAATATTGGATAACCTTTAAAAATAAATTGATCAAAAGAAATTAGAATTACAAAATATTACATAAGAGGTCTTAAAGAAATAAAAAGAACATTAACAATTATAAAATTAAATAGTAAGTCAAATAAAATCAATAAGTACAACAGATGGTAATTAATCTAATATTTGTAAAATTTCAAATATTTCTATTCATGAAAAACAAATTTTTGATCCTAACTTTAATTTTGAGTGTGACAAATAATATATTATACAATCAGATGAACCAATACCTCTAGTTTAAATTGATAAATCATACCCAGATAAAAAGAAAAGATTATTAGATGGTAGAGGTCTTTTTCAAATTAGTGAATATTATCTACTAGCTAGATAATTAAAATTTAATCAAAATACATTAGATATGGCTATCTATTTGAAATGCATTTAAAATAGTATAAGATAATTAAAAGTATAGATTAAATGCGAAGTTAGCAGTAATAATTTTCTTTATTGTAGATGAAGTATATAGTAATTTAAATGAAAATAATAATCTGAAACCTGAATAATAGGTCAGATTTGAAATTAGAAACATTTAAAAGTCTTAACTCTACCAAAAAGATATCAAAATTGAATTAATTATTGAAAGTGATGAAATTATCTTAGAAGAAACAACCTTTTATTTGAAACTCACAAATATTGTCGAATATACTATTGCTAATGAGCAAGAATTAGTGAAGGAATATCAAAGTATCCCTAAAATTTTGACATCCAAACCCTTTAAATTTGATGATGAAACATTCCCAAATGGATTGTTTGATGTATAAAAATGCATTTAATGTTCTCTTAACTATAAAGATTAAGGTAGATCATTATTTTTTTCTGGAAGTATATATGATCAACAATTTATTTGCAGAGTAATAAATTAATAAATATATATTAGATTACTTTAGATGAAGAAAAATAAGCCTAAGTGAATATTAAGCAGCTATAATAAGATGAAGAATTATGTAAAAGATTAGTGCTATCCTATATTGAAGCATTAAACAAAATTTGATTTATTAAATAGGTATAAAATTATAATAATCAATTTCTTTTTTTATTAATCCATCCAGGAGAATTGTTGATATTATAATTATAAGTTATGTTGTTATACACAATATTTAAATTCCTATCCTAATCTTCCAAAGTATTCCTACATTCTCCAATATTATAATTGTATTACTATTACATTTGTTATTTTTAGCCTTTTTGAATATTCAGAAGTTCTTTTGATTAATAAACTTCCTATTCATCTCCTGAATATTCATCAGTAGGATAAAAGTTTTACCTGAGTTAAGTAGATTTCTTTTTAACTTAATAAACAGGAATTTATTATTAAAATTATTATTATTATTATTATTATTATTATTATTATTATTATTATTATTATTATTATTATTGTTCTTTTCGTTTTAATTTAATGATTGTTGTTTAATCATCTTCATTTAAATCAGGATTAAATGATTTTTTCTTTGCTCTTACTCTAAGGTTCATTGACTTTTTCTCTCCTTCAATTGAATTATTTAAATCATTTTCAGGTATTTCATAATTATAATTTTAGGCCATTTTATTTTATAAGAAATTATCAAATTATCCTTCTTAATATCCAATAATTACATTCTTTTACAAGAATCCTAATTATGAATTTACATCTTTTTTAGGCATAGATTTAGATTCCTAAGAAGGCTAAATAATAGGATTATAATCTACTGTATTTTTTTCTCCTGTTTTAATTGGTGCAGGTTTAACAAAGTTATTTACTCTCTCTACAGATATGTTATTATTACCTTTTTATTATGTTTTTCTATAAAAAATATTATTAGAATATACCTTTCATTTGATTTATCAGTTCTTTTATTGCTTGTTAAATTATCTTTTTATTATGATAATACTTATTATTATTGTATCTATTATTATTATTAATTGACTTATTGAGTCTATTTGGCAGCTAATTTATTTGCAGATTGTATTCTATCTTTTGGAATTTATTCTTTGTCTCTTAATTCTTTTAAAAACTAATAATATTAATCATCTCTCATGCCATCAAAGTAAGGATGTTCTAAAGCCTCAAATGCAGTCATTCTCTTACTAGGATCCATTTTCAATAAACCTTTTATAAATGATATGGCTTTTAAAGAAAGTTTAGATTAAAACTTTTTTTCGATTGTGTCTGGTTTGGTAATTTCATGAAATTTCATTCCAACATAACGAGGATTCTTTAAAAAAGCTTCCTTTTATTCACTAGTTAAAGGACCCAACAACTATGATATATCACACTAATTTAAACTTTACAAATCAAATATAATTGATCCATTTCAGTTTAGCCTTAAAATAAGGGTTACCCATCAGTTAATTCAGCCATTATACATCCAATAGCCCAAATATCAACTCCTTTCCCATATTCATCTCCCAATAACAATTCTGGTGCTCTATACCATCTAGTTGCAACATAATCAGTTAATTATCCTTATTTTTATGGAATAAGTCTTGCAAAACCAAAATCACAAACTTTTAAAATCATCTAATCACTAACCAATAGGTTTTCAGGTTTTATATCTCTATGCAATATTTCAAGAGAATGACAGTAAGCAATGGCTAAGCATAATTGATAAATAAATCTTCTTGTCAATTCGGGCTAGAATGGTAATTGAATATTACATCTAAGCCATTTGGTTTTTCTTCAAGTAATTCTAATAAGTTTTTTTCTACATATTCTAATACTACATAAAGTTTGCCTTTTCTATAAATAATTGATTATACAATACCTTCTAAATGCCTCTTTGATTTTTACAATATTATCATGATTTAACATCTTCAATAGTTTAACTTCTCTCAAGATTGTTTTTTTAATACTTTCATCTTCTTCAGAACCAATATATTATTTTATTGCTACTATCTAAATTATTAATTTTCTCTACTTCTCCTGTCTCCTTATTTTATCCTTTGAGTACTACACCATAAGAACCTTTGCCTATTATACCAAGAACTTCGTACTTTTACATAAAAATAAATTATATATATTTGAATAATAATTCTTATCAACCGACAAGTGAATCTGTGTGAAATCTATTATTCTAATTAGGTTAACCTCTTTAACTTTGAATAATATGATTGTGCTTGACTTTTTCCTTTGAAAGGAATCCTGGAACCCATGTCTTTTTAGATCCTAAGAATTCATCTTCTAAAGTCGGATGAAGCATTTTTCTTACACTTGTTTAACTCATCCACTTAATTTCAAACTCTTAAATTTCATTGTCTTCTTTTTCTATACTATTAGGTGTTTTTGGATTTGAATTTTTTTTGGAATTCAATCTCTTACTATTATTTGCAGTTGATATTAAACGTTAGAAAGGTAATGGTTTTTTTTAACCCTCATCCTATAAATCCCTCATTTAAAATTCATCATCTCCACCAACATTAATCTAACTCTATTATCTTAAAAATTGAGCTTTTTTCACTTGAAATGATTTTCGTCTCACTACTTTATAATTCTTCTCTTAGATATTATTTTGCTATACAAAACTATATTAATAAAGTAATACTCTGGTAATCTATCTTTTTTAACTGAGAATCCAACATGAAATATCTTATCTCTTTCAGTCTCTTAAATGGCAGTATTCAATAATTTCCTATATTCAAGCATAAAATTCTTCTATTATTTTTTTAATAAGTCTTCAGGATTTAAATTACCCATCTTCTTTTTTTATTAAAATATAATCTCAATATTATCTAATCCTTTATTTCCTGAAAAGTACTTTTCATTGGTAATACTAATAAGATTATAATTGCTATTGAATCTGATCAATTTAACTGCATTATCAATAAAATTCTATAATATTTTTACAGTATCTTTCTACTTAGATTCCAATTCAAACATTGTTGCTATTATATTATCACTTTCAATAATTAAAGGTCCTCTCAAATTGTGTTCAGCTAAAGAGTTGAATTTCTAATTTATTCACTTTAATAAAAATACTTTATCTGGATTTGTGAAAGTAATTGCATGAATATCCCATTGATTGTAAGATGTAATGGCAAATTCCATAGCCACACCTCTAAATAACCAATGATGCAAAAATTATTTTTTTATTTAACATATCATTTCACTTTGATTAGCCAACATGTTTTGTTTAGGTTTATAGGTAGGCGATTTTACTATATATTTCCCAATAGATTAATATTCCATAGCATCTCTCCTATTATGCAATCCAATATTTGCTTTTGGCAACCATTCATCAGTTACTTTACTATATAAATATAGATCTCCTGTAGTAGAATCTAAGAAATATTCATTAGGACCATTTTTTAATGCTTATAAAGTGTATTTTGGGAAATCAACTAATTTACAACCTTCCCCATGATTGTTAGTAATTGAAGCATGCTTTATAATATATAATTTTAAGATTACCAAATTGAAATTTGTTGAACAAAGATAAGCTATAGCCTATGCACCAAATGAAGTAGAGAATAATAACTTTTTGGTCTTCAAACACATTCTAATCAAAGTTATTATCTTAAATATTTAATTTCTATTTATACCTTTCTCATATTTGGATTCCAAGGTTTTGAATTTGGAGAAGCTAAAATAAACACAATATCAATTGAATTAAATTTTAACCCATATTCTGTTCTGATCAAACTTGTCTCTGGTTCATAAAGGAAATCATCCAAAGAATGACGATCTCGAAAATGATACTCACATTCAGTATCTGCTACTTCTCTCTGTTTCGATATCATCTAATTCTATTATAATTATATACACTCTAAATGCTATTCCTAAAATAATCAAATACTTTAGCACAGGATGCTGATGCATTGAACCCATTCACTATCAGAAATCTCATTATTATAATTTATTTATTTCCAATAATAATGAGACAACAACAGCCATATTTCATAAGACCTCCTAATCTTTCTTCTCGTCACTCTACAAATAAGATAAGCTTTCTAAATAAAGAAGATACCCCATCGAACAGTTAAGGAGTTCGAAGAAAAACACCCATTATTGCCCAACCATTACATTCGCCTACACATTTCAAAGATTTGTAATTGTATTATACATATGAAGACATCGTATTAATCCAATTAAACGTATTCCAACATTAAATTCACCTTTACATGATGGATCCATATCAAAATATAAAATTATAAACGATTTATCAGTTTATAAATTACCAACAACTAGAAGAATCAAATCTGATGATTAAACCTCTAATATTATACCTGTAAAAAAATAGTAGAGTTAACATATCAATAATATTAAATTGCGAACTGATAGAAGAAAAAATTTTACTCCCTTAATTAAAATGAAAACAGAACCTAATGAAATTGCCACACATTCCATTTCTAAATAAGATGAGTCTCAAGATATTTTATTTCGTCTTCATAAATAATCAATTCCTTTAGAACCTAAAGATAAATTTGCTTCAATTTTGGGAGATAAAATTGTTAGCAGCATCAAAAAAATTGATAAAAAGACTGAAAATTTTATAGAATTAGAATAAGATAGTTAATTCTTTCTAGAAACTAAAGAAAATAAGAAAAATAAAGAAATTCCTGCTTTGAGTCAATAAACAAAAGAAAGAATTTTAGATTTACTTTGTTTGTCTACATAAGATTTAAAAAAGAAATTTGCTGAATAAAGTAGAGTAGGGAATTCAAAAATTAATACAAGATAACCAAACAAATTAGTCATTCCTAAAACAGGCAAATCTAAGTTTCCTTTAGATTTCTTTAATGCTCTCCTACCTAATTCTATTCTTAATTGATTTTTTATTTTTTATTTAGTATGATATTTGTTTAATTTGTCATTTGCAAATTATATAAGATATTATTTTAATTAAATAAATTTTGAAGTCTTCCATATGATTATTATAAAATAATTATTTTATATTTTAAAATAGTATAGACCAAATTATTTATCATATTTTTAAATGTATATCATTATTCATAAGCTTTTACCATCACCTAATATGAAGGCATATCCATTTAATATTTGTTCAAGTATTTATCTTTTAGTATTAAACTTAGATTCAAAAGATAAATAAATACATATTTTATCATTAGGTAAAATTTCAAACTAAAATATATAATAATATTTTTTATACTTTTATTAAGAATTAAATATCTAAAAAGTATCCTAAACCTCCCAATTTTATTTCATCTATTCCCAACTCAAAATCATTTACTTTATTGTTATTTAATATTATTATTTTTGGTATTTACTTTTGGAAATTATAAATATCTTTCATCACTCCTTTATTTAAATTAAGCAATGGGGTTCTGATTTAATTAGTTATATATTATTTCCATTTATTCTTAAATTCATTTACCTTTATTTCTCTATATATTATTTATTAGCAAATGTGATTTGGAATATAAATTTAGAATGGATGAGTTTCATAATGAGAAATCTACAATGTCAAAATTTATTAAGGAATTTTATTTGATCCTATTAATATCTCTATTAAATCATTAGAATCTTCATCTAAAGTTTTTATAAATTCTTAGGGAGAAGCCCAAAATTGTTAAAATTCTAAAATAAATTATCATTATAAATTTTTACTTTCAACTTCCAAAAATTAAACTGTGAAATCTTGTTTCACTCCTTAAGTATTTGATATATACAAACCATAAGTAAAATAGGCTTTATTCTATGAAACTTGTGTTGAATACAATAATCCAAACTATAATCCATATTCTTCATATAAAATGCCTTAAGATCCTAAACATCGCTATTTGTAAAAGGTTAAATTATCTTTATTCAAATGAGAAATATCATCAAAATTTTAATTAGATTGAATTACCTTTCCTTTTCTTTATTTCTATGGTTTATTATTAAAGTAATCTTCTGGACTACTGTAAGGGAAAATTAAATCTAAACATTCTAGATTAATATTTTTTGACTTTTAAGGTACTTATTCAGGATAGAATTTTTTGTTTTTAGGAAAATGTTTGAATACTGCTATGGGACATTAGACTTAAACTATTGGATTATTATCAATGCCAGCATTTACTTCCTTAATAGAAAGATTGGCTTTTCCTTAAACTTCAGAAATCTCTATTTGTTAATTATTTTATTAATGTTGAATGGATTCTAATTCAGAAACTTAAGATTTTGAATGATTCTTAGGTGGCATTTTTTATTAAAGCTAATTCTATTTTTAAATTGCTTCAATAGTTGCCAACTGATTTTATTATGCCTATTATTATAATTCAAACACATCTTTTTATAATTTTTATCTATCTTATGTAAGATCATCTATTCTTTATTTATAATATTCATCTTTTTCTTTCAAAATAATTTTATGATCTTCCTTTAACTTATCAATTTCATCTAATTTCTATTGCAATTTCTATTATAATAGGGTTGAACTTCTATTGTCCATATTCTTTTGGATAAATTGATCTATTTATTGTTATGCAGATTCTAAATTTTTCTTAAGTTGTTAATTTTCTTTTTAGACTGCTTAATAACTTTATTATAATTATTTATATTCTGCTTCTTTATCACTATATTATAATTGGATTGAGTTTAATTATTATTTTGTAGCTAAATTTTCTCTTCTAGCCTCAAATACTTATTATAATAATTCATCATTTGATCTTTTTTAACTTTCTTAGAGAATTAAATAATCTTTTTAACTTTTTTCCAATTAAGTCTTATATATATTTAATTAATTATTAAGAGTATCTGAAAAACTTTATTAATCATTAAGTTTGATTTTACTTAAATCAATTTCTTTTTAAAGATTTTTTTGAATAATTTCTTTCTCTTATTTTAAGTTTTCAATTTCTCTTTTATATTAGGCTATCATTTATTCATTTTAAAATTATTTATCTTAAATTTCAACATGATTTGTTGATTATGCCTTCATTTAATCTAATTATCTTAATAATGCTTATTTTTCTGAAAATAATTATTATCTTTCAATTTTATAATTATTTAGCTCTAAATCATTTTAATCTTTTTATTGTTATTTCAATCTTTCAGAATTACTTTTATATTCATTAAATTATTATTGAGTAGATGTAAGTTGATTCTATATTAATATTTTTTCTTATTAAAGTTAATCAAATTTTGTTTAAAGACTTTTTAAATCTTCTGATATTCTATTTCCGCCTCCATTTAATTAATATACATCTTCCTTTAACTTTTTATTTCTGTTTTCTTCTTCTTCTAATTATTTTTATAATTATCCCTTATCTCTTTATAAATTTTCAACTTATTATTATAAAATTTCCAATTATTTCTTTTCAAATTAATTCATCTATTATTTATTTTCTTATATTAAATCAGGAGCTCCACTTAAATCCCCATTTATTTTTTTAATTTAAGGTTAAGGATTCAATCCTAAACTAGAATGACTAATTGGTTTTTAAATTTTCATTTGGATTTAAGATCTATCCAAAGGATGTTAAAATTAAGAAGTCTTGAATTATGGCTGATCACCTCCTTGAGATTAAATTTAAGAATGCTAAAATTTATTAGCTCCAATTAATTCTAGAGCTTTTTTTTCATCACTGTTATTCAATACGATTTAATTTTCTTATTATTAATATTTTTTATTTATTTCTTCTTAATTAATTCTCTTTTATTCTTCTTCATGTTCTCTTTATTTTTTAAGTTCTTCCTCATGTTATTTCTACTTCCGTTAATTTTCCTCCTCCTCTAATTTTTTTTTTTATTTCATTTATTCCTAATCTTCCTTTATTTTTTTCTCTCTTTCCTCCTCCTCTAATTTTTTTTTTAATTTCATTTATTCCTCTTCTTCCTTTAGTTTTTTCTCTTTTTCCTCCTTCTCTTTTAAATCTTACTCCTATTTTTCTTTTTTCTTCTATTCCTCTTATTTCTATTTTTCTTTTTCTTCTTCTTCTTCTCTTTTTTTTTTCTCTTATTCCTAACGCTATTTTTCCTTAATCTCTTCATCTTCTTTCTATTTTTTCAAAATTTCTTGTTTCCTTTAGTTTTCTTAATCTAATTCTCTTTATTTAATCTATTTTAATCTTTCTTTTTCACTTTCATCTATTATAGCTTATTATTTTATTCTTGCTAATCGTTCTGCCTCTTATTATTCAGCTGCTTATCTCCTTTATTATTCTTACTATTATTAAATCTAATATTGTTGTAATGCATAATCAGGCCTATTTTTCATGTATTTCCTTCTGAATTCTTAATTAGTCTTCTGATTAAGTGCATTTAAGTCCTTTTCTAAGGTTTATAAATTATCCATCTCTAACATAACCTCTGCTGCTAAATCCTCCTCATCCTAATCTATAAGTTCATTAACCAATATATCCATTTCCTAATTTTTAGCTATAGCTTCATCCTTTAATCTATCGAATAATTTAGGATCACAATTTAAATTATGAGAACAAATATCTCCAACTTCATTTATTAAATCGTGACATCTTTATATAACCAAATTTGATTTTTGTACAATATTAAGTTTTGGATTACCTGGAGTTTATCCAACTGGTGTTTGACTTATCGGAGGATTATTTTGGGGGACATTATTTACCTACTTCATTGGTTAGTCTTTTACAGACTCAAGAAAATGTCTTTACTCTTATTATTGTTGTGATGAATTTAAAAGATCAACTACTTGACTATACTTTTCACTTTAATGAGATTTAACGAAATCTTCTTTATAGTAAGTCCAGGCAGGAAACTAATATCCTTTATTTTTGATTTCGTTATATAATTGAATAAATTTAGTTGGACTTCCCAATGGAGTTGAAGGAAAAAACTGAGCCCAAGCATGAATACATTCTAGGGCTAATCTTACTAATGACATTCCAATTTATCTTATATCCTTTTCTAAAATTATTATTGTATATTACCCATGTTTTCTCCAAATAAGTTTGTTCCCCTATTAGGATCATTATTTGGACCCCCATACTCTGCATAATATTTTAAAGATTCTAGTGTTAGCGCTTCAAATAGATTTACAAATCTCATATTAAAAATATCAATTAAGTCTTTGCTCAACTATGAAATTAGAATTATAAGTTTACTCTCAAAGCATATAACTTGGCCATTGGAGGATGAAAGTTTTTTATTGGATCCCAATTTAGAACTTCTTTAATGGTGTTGCAAATTATTTCAAATGTGTGTTCCTAATTATCTTGCAAAGCTTATTTAATTAAGCGGGTATTTTTGTAATCTGTTGCTGTCAATAAGCATTACTTAATAAACTCAGGTGTAATTTATTACATGAGATTAACTGTCTAATGATGTTTAAATTTTATTAATTAATATCGATACTTTATAATCATCCAATATAAATAGTAATCCATATTGAATAACTAATCTATTTCTAAAACAAAGGAATATATATATACTTTTATTATAACAACTCGAACTATTATATAAATATATATATATATAAAATCACAATAACTATTTCATCAATAATTCAAATTCTGAATAACCCACATTCTAAAATTTATAAATATAAAATACTTATGGATTAGCAAAGTTTTCTGAGAACAATTTATCTAATTTGGATAAGCAAGTACTAAAATGAAATCTGAGTTTTTGTGTAGTTAATTTACCATTGCTAGAAGCAACCATCTTAAATGTTGTTTTCAAATTTTCCTCAGTTAACAACCCTGGTTTATCAGTTATTGCTACTAAAAATTCTCCAAAATCTATTGTTCCACTTTTATCAACATCTGCTATTTTAAATATATTTTCAATAAATGCTTTTGCATCTGCTTTTGATGCAAATCTATTTGAATAAACTTTAAAAATCTCTTCCTTAGTTAATTATCCATCTTAATTTTCATCCAAATTCACAAATTCAGTATAAAGTTATTATTAATCAGCTGAACATATGTTTTTGATCATAAAAATCAAAAATAATTGTTAAAGTTCTGAAATTTTGACCTTATTTTGTTAAAGTTTATTTAAGATACTTTAATCATTTTATTTAATTCTAATTTTAAACCATTAATCATTCATTAATGCTACAATTGATATTCTTTATTTAAGAGGTGCCAAAATTCTTTAAATTAATTGTCTACATAATTTAGATACTCTATCGAATTAAAAATTATTATATTGAGCAGCCATCTTTTTAATTTATGATTTCACTGATTCAATTGTATTTCCTTCAAATGGAGGATATCCACATATCATCTAGTATGCCATCACTCCCAAACACCAAACATCTCTAGAGTGATTGAATACGTTTTAATCTTTTGTATTACATGCTTCAGGTGGAAGACTAAAAACATTTTATTCATTTAACTCTGGCTTTACAAATAGACCTCTTATATCACTAAGTTTAATTTGAAAATTATTTGATGTATCAACTCTAGAAAAGCTATTTAAATTAAGGAAACCATGAGTTAATCCCATCTTTTCCAAATATCTTAGAGATTCTGCTGCTTAATAGATAATTGAAGCTATTTCAACTTCATTAAATGGAATTATGGATTTATCGACATAGTAATTGGAGAGTTAACCTCCACTACAATAATCCATAATCAAATAGAAGGATTCCTCATCAATATATAATTCATGCACATTAACAATTCGAGGGTTATCCTATATAATAATTATGTTTTATTTATTACCAGAGGATAACATTTCAATTGGGTGATAAATTCTTCATTTTATTGATTCCTTTCATATTGTTCCACTACTCTAATTTTACCAGTTAGATTATGCTGAACCAACTTCTAATTTGATGACACTTATTTAATTAAACAAATATTCATACATTTCATGTTACCTTATGTGATTTCACTGTAAAATCGTTAGTATGAGAATTTATAAACCTTAAGTTAGGACAGACTCTTTTTAGTATCGTCATAAGGTTCGCTAATAACTTCTGGGTTAGGAGAAAAACTTGGAAGAATCATTGAAGGGTTGTTATTTGTGAGCACTTGGTCGGTTTTTCGGATTAAAGTTGGTTGTTGCAAATTTTTACTTGATTTCAATTTAGATTAAGATTAACAGGGCCCCATTTATATAATTAATTATAGATTGAGTTTGAAAACAACACTAAAAATAGTTAATTTCATTTGATAAAACTGAATATTTGTATCATTTTAACAAAAATAATTCTTTAAAAAAGGAATTTAATTAATAAAATAAATATAAATAACAGTTTAAGTGAATGACTCTTTTATTTATACATATTTTACAGTAATTTATTTATTATAATCCTTTTTTATCTAGTCTAATAGAATAGTTCTATCTTCTTTTTTTTATTTAAATTTGTATATCTATTAATTATAAGAATCATCTATTTATTTATTAGAGATTATTAATAAAATCATAATATGAACATATAAGTTTATGTAAAATTTGATATAAATATAATAAAAAATAAATAAATAAATAAATAAATATGTAAAACCCTTTAAAAATGAATATTTATACAAATCATCAAGGGCTTAAACGCAAAATTGATTTATTCATTATTTATGTATTTTTTTATAAGTGTTTAATTCTGTTTTCATTTCATTTACTACTAGAGCCAAAGCTTCAGGGTTAACCCCATTTTCTATCATACTAACTAAAACAGCCAATTATTATCTATCCAATCCACAATTTAAAATCTAAGACATTTCATGTATGACTATTAGAAATAACCATTTTCAAATACTTTCAAGGGTTTCTTAAGCCTCCTCCTTTTCTTACGATATTGAGACTTTTAATTAACTTTTAAAATTTGAACTATTGTTTTGATTTGCTGACATATAAAATTTAAAAAATATTTTTAATTTTAAACTCATTGAATAAATATTAAATGACCATTTTAAGAAAAGCAGAATATTGTATTAGATCCCATATAAATCTCTTGAATACTTTCATTTGATAATTTAAGTAGTTTCAATCCATTTTCTGATTTAATTTCATAACTATATAATTACACCTATCCTAATCCATAAGTATAATCAACTTAAGCTACATAGCCATTAATTTATATTTAGAATTATATCATTCCAACTTAAAAAATTACAATTCAATAAAATTATTTGGTTCCCTCTTGAACACTGCAAAATAGTACCTTAATTATAAAATATTTCTCCATACTCAGTCTGAAATTTAAAATTTAGTACTATAACTTTATTCCCTCTATGAGTATCCAATAAATATTAATCGAATGCACATTTATAGAATATTGAATCTTTTGGACTTTAGAACATTGATTAAATCAATCCACAATATCCTCTCTATATTATTTATAAGTGATTCCACTTTTAAGTGAATATAGTCATATGTAATCAGATGTAGTGAATAAATACTTAATAAGAATCCTTATCTAATAATACACTGTACTTTCAAGTATATTAAGACATTTACCTATCTTCAATTTCCAAACTTTGACTTACCAATTTTTATTCAAATTTACAAGTATTTCATTATTTGCACTTAAGTTATTTACTGGCATCCCATACTCCTATAATGCCATGAATAGATTCTTTTATTAGTTTTTTCTCCTTCAGTAGTGAATTGACTCTCATTTTCTGTGAATATTTAATATTACCTTTTCTATTCTTCAAATTTATGTTTCCTATAATCATAAACATTTTTTATTCTTAATAATTTTATCTGCATATATGATGTCGTAAACTATCTCTTATCAATTCTAACAATTTATATTAACTAATTTATCATCCCTCTATTTTGTTCTTAATTCAGTAGTCAAATTGTCGATATATATTTCACTAACACATTAAAATAACAGGCTTTCTTATTTAATAAAAATTAGAAACTTATGAATAAGAATTATTTACAAAAGTAATTCAATATTAAAAATAATTTAATCTAATTAAAGAAAAATATAAATATAATATTAATCAGATTCATTCTAAGAGTATTTTCATAATTGATTCAAACTATTACCAATTGAGCTAAAATTAAATTATAAATATTACAGTATTTAAATCATCTGTGATTTAAGAAAACTCATATTTAATATCAGCAGTTTCACATTGCAAATGTCTTTTAAGTCCTTTTAGTTAGATTTCTTGTTTATTATAAGAAAAGATTTAAAAGCAAGTTTCAATGTTTTATTGGGTTAATAAAGTAGATCTAGTTAAGGCTAAGGACATGAATTATGTAGAATCTATTCCGCCATCTTTAGTGTTAACTTCTAATTATTAAAATATTTCTTATATTTTATTTTCTATATCTTCTGTTTTTTTATAATGAGAAAAGATTTTAATTAACTCTTATTTACTTAATAATCCATCCATATTTGTATCAGCTTCTGAAAATAATTTTTATATAGCTATATATTCTTCCCAATTAAATTCCTATCCAAAATATCCCAACAATAATTATTGAATTGTACAACAAGGTTTATTTGAAATAAAATTAGTAAGTAGGATTTCTTATTGAGTAATTTTCTTAATTCTATGATTTTTTATAAATTGATGTTTTAATAGAGTTTCAAAATCTACACGATGTTGAGGATCTTTTGCTAATGTAGATTCTAAAAAATTCTTAAAAACTAAATCCTTTTTTTTTGAGAAATTGAATTTATGATCTTTTATTATGGTAATCAAAAATTATTATGTATTATTAGTAGAGAAGTTATAAGGCAACTAACCTTTTTTTAAAGTATAGCCAATTAATCCTACTGTCCAAATATCTCTTTCTTTAGTAAAAAGATTCTGATGATATAAACATTCTGGAGGTAATAATTTAATAATTTCCAGATTATCTTCTTCTCTTAAAATGATTCCTTTCAAATTTACTAATTTTACTATCACTCCTCCATTGCTACTTTAAATATATTAAAAAGATTTAAGTGTTAAATTTCCATGAACAATATTTCTTGAATGGAGATATTGCATTGCAGATATAATTTATTCATAAATTTGTGATACTAAACTTTTTGAAACTTTTGCCTATCCTATAATTAAATCTGATAAACAATTTCCATGAAAATGTTCAGATACAACTTAATAATTGATTCTGTCTTGAAATATTTCAATAATCCTAAGTATATTGGGATGATCCTATAATTATTAAAATAATTTACTAAAACAACTTTTTATAACCATGAAATATATTTCTCATTATCAGGATTAGACTTTTAAAAATTTTCCATTTGCACTAATTTTCCTGTCTTATTATTTTACAAAATAGAAATTTACTAAAAGCATATGACTTAATAAAATACATAATTTGAAGAATGTTAACCAATTATAGTATATTTTTTTGAAGCACTTGTTGTTTCAAGAATTGGGCTAGCAGTACAAGTATGTAATCCAGAAATATTGTTTTAGATTTTTAATACTGAAATTGGATTTCTTTATCTAGATGTAACTATATTTCCTTCTGTATTTGGTGAAAAAATAGAATCACAAAAGATTTTCTTTTCTTATGGAGATATGTTAGATCTTCTTAATAACACATCTTATGTCCCAGATATCTCTGTTTTAAACTTTGCTTCTATTTAAGCTTTTTGAGGTAAGGCAGGTTTTTAATTTTACTTTTTTGCTTAGCAAACTCCCATTTTTTAATTATATTACTAATTATTATTAAAACAAGAAGATTTTATATTGGCAAACCTTAATCTAATTAGAAAAGTCAATTATAAATAGATATAAGAGTATTACATATAAATTATTATAAACTGAGGAAAACGTTTATTTGTACAAAAAAAAAATATAAATAATTCTTAAAAAAAGTTTTATATATTTTTTGATTAATTTAATTATTTTGTTTTAAGATTATAAATATTATATATTAAAAATTATGAGATTAATTATCAGATCATCAATTCTAAGATTTTAGAAAACTGTTGGTAATTTAACTAAAATAAAATTAAATAATACTGAGTTTTAATTTTCTGTTAAACGAGATAGTTCATTTGTGATCTCATCTATATCAGAATTTAGATATTTTTTCAATCCTTTTAGAGTTATTTCTGAAGAATTAAGAGAAAATATCTCAAAACAAATTTCAATATTTGATGTTGATAATACATCTTTTCTTGTTGCTGTTAGAGCTAAAAATAAATTTGAATTAATCTCATCTTCTAATTCAAGTTCTTAATATAAATTATCTATTTTCTCTTCAATGTTCTAAATTTTCATATATTTATTAAATAATTAAATAATTTCTGTCTTAGTCATCAATCCATCCATATCTACATCTCCTTCTAAAAATAATTTTTAAATCTATAAATATTCTTCCCAATTAAATTCTTATACAAAGAAACCAATAATTAATTATTATAAAAGACAACAAGGTTTTGCTTCTAAAAGATTATTAAGTAAGATCTCTTATTCAGTTTTCTATTTTTATTAATAATTAGTTATGAATGGTAAGTTTAATAATTATTCTATATTAAATCTTTTTAATGGATTCTTATTCAAAGAATGAGAAAGAAATTCTTTAAATGCTAGATCCTTTTTATGTTCAAATTTAAATATGTTATTTTTAACTAACATCCTTAATTTTTCTTATGTTACATGATGAGGTATTTCATAAGGAAGACCCCCTTTTTTTAATGTCAATCCTATTAATGCAATAGCCCATACATCTCTTGCTTCATTCTAAGCAGGATGATAAATACATTCAGGAGAAGTATATTTAAGTACTTCTATATCATCTTCTACTTTAATTACTATATTCTTTAAGTGTGATAATTTGACAATAATTCCATCTAATTTCTTTTAATAAGAAAAAGAATTAATTGTTATAGCACCATGATAAATTTATTGTTAATGCAAATAATGAATTGCTTGCATCATTTGATTTAAGACTTATGATACTTAAGACTTTGATAGTTTTGTGCCATCAGCCATTAAATCAGATAAATCCTTATCCTCAAAATGTTCAGAAACAACTTAATAATATTTATTATCTTAAAAGATCTCTAATACTCTTATAATGTTTGGGTGATCCTAAAATATGAATAAAATAAATACTATCTTGTTTCTCATAAGCCATTCTATGTAATTTGAACACTCTGGATCATCTTTTCGAAATGTCTCTAATTACATTATTTTACCTGTCTTATTGTTTGAGATTATTGATATAGACTATATAAAACATGAGATATTTACATGATTTCCTTACTTTTTTCTGATCAGTGAATATTTTTTGAATGCACATCCAGGTAAAAGAATATGATTTGAACTGCTTGTTGTAGCAGTATAATTATTTGAACCTTATTTCTTCAAAGTGATTCTTCTTTTTGCTCTTTAAGTGATTATTATGCCTTCAGAAAGAGGAGATGTCTTATTATTATCACTATTTTTGGTTGGATCTATTTAAAGATTCATTCTTCTTCTAGGCATGTTTTCAGAAATCTCAGTAACTTCAGTCTTTATTCTGATTAGAGTTTAAGAAGTCTATGTATTTTATTTCTTTGAATTTCTAACTTTTGTTTGACAAACACCCATATTTATAATAAATTATTACACCTAAATAGTTGAGGTAAGAAGATTTTATATTATCAAATATACATTTTAAAATCAGATTTATATTTAATTTATCAAATGTATTTTTTATGAAACTTGATCAAATCAAAAGTCAAGATTTAATTATATAAAGATTAATTATTATAATGAATATATATATTAATTTATAATTCAAATAAGTAATCTAATTAGCTTTTAAAATTATTTGAGATTTAACTAAAATAATATTCAATTTATACAATCTTTTCTTCATTTGTTATACGATTAAATTCATCAATCAATTCTTCTGAATCTGAATTTAAATGTCTTCTTAATCCTCTAAGATTTATTTCCTTTTTACCATTTGAGAAAATTGAAAACCCTATCTCAATATTACTCTAGGATAATAATAAATCTCTGCTAGCAGCCATAGATTGAAATTATTGGCAATTTAATCCATTTTCTTTATTGATACCATAATTTAAAAAGATTTTCTCAGTCAATTCTTCTGAATTAGGTTCATTAAGATACTATTTATACAAATTTGATAATTCTTATTTACTTAAATAACCATCCATATCTTAATCTCCTTCTGAAAATAATTTTTATATTTAAAGATATTCTTCCCAATTAAATTCTTATAAAAAATAACAAAGTATCATTTCTTATAATACACAACAAGGTTTTGCAGTTTTTGTATTATTTAATATAATTTCTTATGGAAGAAGTTGTTTAACAGTATTTTCTATCAAAAATTCATCTTTTTATAATTAATTCAAAGTAACTCTGTTTTTTGAATGATTTACTAACATTTTCTTAATAAACTTTGTTAATAACTCATTGGAATCATCAAATTAAATTGTTGCATGTTTAATTATTAATAAGGATTATGAATAATCGATGTTAGGTGGAAATATATATGGTAAATTACCATATGTAAGAGCATAACAAATGATTCCTATAGCCCAAACATCTCTAGCTGTAGTATAATTATAAGGATGATTCAAACATTCTGGAGATGTAAATTTTAATAAATCTATAGATTCAGAGTCTTTAATTTTAAGTTTTTTAATATCTATTAATTTAATTAGAATTTCATTTTTTGTTTTCTTAAATTAAAATGAATCAAGAGTCAAATTTCCATGTACTAAATTTAGAGAATGTAAATAAGAAATAATAGAGATTATCTATGACATAATTTAACTTATTTTAACTATGGGTAGTCTATTTTCTTCAGATACAAGTTCTGTCAATGATTTCCCATCAAAAAATTCATAAATAATTTGATAGGCATTTTAATCTTTATAAATTTCAAGTATACGATTGAGATTTGGATGTTCCTATTTTATTAATTATTTATTTATACCAATTATGCTTTTTATATCCAATTTATATATTCTAATGTCTCAGGCTCTTCTTTTAAAAAAGTTTCCATTTCTACAATTATTCCAGTCTTATTATTGGACAATACTTATTTCATCTATTAAATCACAATTTATTTTACATCATTCATTTGACGTTTCTTAATTAATGAATATTTCTTAGATGCACTCATTTCAATGATTGAAATTTGACCAGGTAATGGAGAATTTGAGATTAATCCGGTTAATTTCATTAGTCCTGCTTTGGTTTATTAGCGTCTTGGCAAAAGATATCCACCTGATTTAGGTGAATTGATTTCTTCTAGGCTATTTATTTACAAAAGTCCTGGATGTTTTGAACCAGTTTCTTATGTTGCAGAAAATTCAGTCTTAACTCTTTCACCTTATCTATTGGTTTTATGTTTCAGAGTAGCTGGATTTTATTTTACTTTAGTTTGACAAACACCCATTTTAATGTTATTTATTTTAAATTAGATAATTTCAGATCTAATAGGATTTAAATATAATTGATAAAGTCTTTTATTTGATAATTTAAATAAAGATAACATATTTTATATGTAAACAACAAATACCAGTCATTATTGATTTTTAAATAAATAATTGTTTTCTTTAAAATTATTTATTAATATAGATGAATTAATAAATATTTTGAATCAATGTATTAATACTCAAAATTATATATAATTTTTCAAAACTATTTAGTTTCTTTCAAAAAAACGTAAATTGAATTATCATTCCTTTCTTAAATTATCAAAATTTGACCTAAAATATAATATGAAATTTTAATATTCCCCCATATATAAACTTCAAATAACAACAATAACAAAAAAATACATCAAAAATTTATAATTTAACAAATAATTTTTGATCCATTTTTTATTATAACACTCAGAATTTGATAACATAAAATTTAAGTAAATCTTTTAATTCAAATACTGTTAAACAATCATAATATTATTATGTAAATTCATTTACTTTATAAAATCGAATTACTTATATTTACTAAGAAGATAGGGAAAATAATCAACATCTAGTTCATTATATTATTTCATATAGAACACACCAGAATCCTCTTGATAGAAGTGACTCCTATTTTTGAATCAAATCATACAATATAGCTGTTAATAACAAAATATGATCAATAAAGATCTTTCAATGTAGAGACAGTACTCAACTATTAAAAATTGTACATTTAATAAACAGCAAAGCCGAATTCATTAAAATCATAAATAATATATTATAAATTCTTTATTTGCAAATAATAATATCCATTTATTTTGAACATTCTTATGATTGAATTATTCATTAAAGTAATTTAATTTATAAAATTCAACTTAGTCATTCTAATAAAATAAAAAATCCATAGTAAATTTCTTAAACTTTTAATTGTTCTTTAAATTATTATAAACTCAACAATAAAGATGTGATTATACTATTTAAACTATAATAACCCTTTTATTAATTAATAATTATAATAATCCATAAAACTAAGATATTGATTTACTCATAATATGTAAATATTATATAAATATTAATATTGATTATAATAATATATTTATTTTAATGAAACGTAGTCCACCTAGCAAAGAAGATTTATTAAAAGAAGAATATGTTACAACTTTAACTTACTTCTTGCGTGATAGTAGTGTTTATGATTGTTTATCTATAAATAATCAAGTTTCTGTTGTGGATATGACATTGTCTCTTTTTGATACTTTCAAGATATTTATTGATTCTCATGTCGATGAGGTGTTGTTTTGGAATCAAGAGATTGCTAACTATGACGGAGTATTTACATAGACAGATCTCATCAAAACTGTGTTAAAATGTTATTACAATGTTCTCTATGAAATTCCAAATAGTAATTTAATATAAATCTATTTTTAGATAGTTTGGGCGACAAACAATATAGCAGCCATTATTGAAATGGAAAATGAAGATGAATCTTATTCACCAATCAAAAGAACTATATATGGGAGATTAACAATAGATTAGTTCAATTAATTATTATAAGATTTTAAGAATATTTCAATCAAGGCTTGGTTTAATAGTGTTGGAGAAAATTTGCATTAGAATTGTTTAATAAAAGCAGAATTAGATGAAAATTTGAATGATGTCTGCTAAAAATTTATTACAGAAAATATTACAAGAATCATTGTCATAGAAAAAGAATCTAAAATGGTGGCAGGAATTATCTAATAGAAAGATATTCTTAGTTTTCTAGTTAAGGGATTTAATTAATATTTTGCTTTAAAGAAACAATAAAATAAAATAACTACAACTAATCACGAATAACATGAATTGTAAATGGAATATTTTAAGGAAGAAGCTTAGAAATTAAAATAATCTCTTCCAGCAGATATTCCTGTTTATGAGTATCTCTTTTGAATTTATTCTTAGTCTATTCTATAAATTAATTTATATTTACAAAAGGAATACTATTGCCATTGTAGATAAAAACAATAAATATTTGGGATTAATTGATAGAAGAGATTTCTTATTTATTCTAAAATATTAGATGTTTGATATAGTAATTCTTATAAATCTTATTAATTAGTTAGCATCTACTGCAGAGAAATTTTTGTCATTAATTAAAACTGAAGATTCTAAATATTTGGCATATTACATTAGAAATAAATAGTAATTCACATTTAATTAAACAATAAAACAAGTAAATGAAATTATTAAATTTTATAGGTTGTTGAAAATCTATTATTATCTCCTAGAGGAAGTTTAGTTTGTTTAGATAATGAATAAAGATTAATTTCTATTTTTTAGATCTCAGACTTATTCAAAATATTTGTAACGGATAATGAGAATTAAGAAATTTGTGGATAATGAGATTATAAATATTTTAATTAAAATTGTCTGAGATACGTAAGTTTTAATTAGTTGAGTGACTTGAAATACAAATTATAAATAAGGCTTGAGATATTTAATTTTTAATTTAAATTAATGCAAGGCCATATATTAACTATAAAGACAGAAAATGATTGGAAACAACTTGTTCTTCAAAATCAAAAACCAGTCATTGTTGATTTCTATGCAGATTGGTTTTTAAAATTATTTATTATTATAGGTGTGGTCCATGTAAGGTCTTAAAACCTAAACTCCATAATCTCCATGAATAAAGTTAAGGAAAATGGGAATTAGCAGTAGTAGATGTTGATATTGAAGAGTTATAAAAGATTTCATCATAATATGCTGTATGAGATTTTAATAAGTGTTTAGAGTAAAGGAATTCCAGCTGTTTATTTATTCCATAAAGGTGAAAAAGTTAGTGACTTTTTGGGCAATAATGAAGCAAAAGCAAAGGAGATGGCTTCAAAAGCAGCATCATTATGAGATTCATAAATATAATATAGATAAAAATCAATATATATATATTCTAATAAGGTTTATTCAATACAAGCTGCAACATTTATTATTTGTTTTTTTGGCATTTTTATAGAAATCTAAACTTACACTACTCATATCTTTTGATTTGGCCATTAAAGATTCCAAAGTCTCTCCTCTTTTTAAAAGCTAATCATATAGAAGAGACCTACATCATCAAGAGATTAATGCACTATCATAGTAACTTCATTAAGAGTATTCTCAATCTTAAGTAATTTATCAACTTCTTTAGGATCTTAATAAAGTTTTATGAATTCTTCAAATTTTGGTATATTAATGTTTTGATCAGCTTTAAAATGTTGAAATATAGTGAATACCATTTATTGTGTCTAAAAACATTGAATTATATTGACGATAGTATTCTTAATACATATTTTGTATAACCATAAAAGCAACTTTTTCTGGATATTAATCATCTGCAATAACTAAAGCAACTAAATTATTTTTATCAATGCATATATATGAAACAGCATGAGCCTCTTGATTAGTGATAGCATTTCTAGTACCAGGTTTAGCTCGTCTAATATTTTATACTATATAGAATACGCTGCACAAGTTCTAGCACCAAAATTGAGAGTTTCTTTAAAGAAAGGACGCTAAAACCAACTAAAATATATATTTATTCAAAAATTGTACTTCACAAATGAAAGCTCATAGTTTTAAGATATAAAAATAGGATTTTCAGGATGGTATTTCAATAGGTACATTGCTATAATTCTCATTTTACACGTATCTATTATTTAAAATATTAAAAATGTAATAAGAACAACCAAGAGAAATGGCTTAAGTTGTTTCAATAGCAGAGAATGCATAATTCTTTAGATTGATACAAAATTCCAGAACCAAGGTTTTCTAAGGAACAGTAAAGTTAGCCCAATTTTAAGATTCAAAAACACATTTCATTACTATTGAGAGTTTCTGTCAGAATATTGTTCCTGGTACTCCTTTTGTGTACATATAATCTGAATCTGGCTTAACACTTATTTTCCCTCATATAGACTAAGGTAATAGATGAAAAACACAATATGTTTTAGGTTTAAATGGAATCTTTATTCCACAAAGTGACTTATTAAATGTATTCCAAACAGCCTTAAATACTGTAGTTTCTATGGTCCCATTTGATTAGGCCATGTAAATACAACAATTTAAAGACACCATAGAACTACATTGCAAAGACATTGCTACTAACACATTAGATAATCCTAATGATGCTGCTTCCTATATTGCAAAGGGTGGAGAGTATATATAATAATTTTATTCCTTTAGCTATCTTAAGAAAGGATTCATGTTTTTGGGAACAATGATGGCAACAGGAATAAATAAAGGAAGTCAATATTTGAATGATAAAATTCAGCCAGGTTAAGAAGTTTAAGTTGATCCAAATACAAAGACTAAATTTTAGGCTACCAAAGAAAAAGTCAGTGAAGTCTTTGATGTAACAGGATAATATCTTGGATAACTATTTAAGCCAGTGGCAGAGAAGACTAAAGAGTTAACAAATGAATTAGGACATAAAATAGATAATTCAGATAGCTAAAGTAAATATAATAGAAATAATATTTTTAGTTTTAAAGTAGAGTAAATAATTGACATCAGCTACTTGGGATGCAGCAGGAACAGCTCTTTCTGGATTAGGTACAGCCTTATGTTAGGTGGGAAGTTCTATTGGAAATGGAACAAAATAAATAGTTTAAAAGAAATATGGAACTGAAGTTGTTAATACTTATTTAGGTGGTGATTAGTAATAACAGTAAGTACAATAATAATAATAATAACAATAATAATAATTGGATCAATATCAACCATTGATTGAAGAATAACCAGCACCTTCTTCATGAAAAAATATCATATAATTATTATCATTAGTAAAATTTCTTTTTTATATTATCAAAGAATCTTCCCATCAATTAAGAGGGAATGTTGGTTGAAACTTATAGAACCATTTTGTTTTATTCTATTAAGTTCATACTTTTCTTCAAATATCGATTTAATTAAAGGTGAGCTCTTTATTTGATCTTTTTTGGATATTATAATGCTTCCAATGTTTTGCACAGATTCCCTTTTGTATGTGATAAAGATAAAAACCTTTTAACTAAATTTGTATAAGCTAGAAACAATAATTATAATTAAGGATTCAAAAAAGGCATAAAGAATTTTGTTAACAAAATCTTTTTGTGCACATTTTATTTATTTTTGATTCCCATAATATAATGACAATTATCTATAATATTTTAGATGGGATAAAAGATTAAGATGAGAATGCAAATGGCTATTAACATGGCTGCCAAAAAAATACCAAGGGCGATTTCTAGAAATTGAATTGCTTCTGATTAAAGTTTATTCAACATCTATTATGTCAATTTAAGTTAATAATTAGTATAATCTGTTGTATCATGGAATCTTAATTGATGATAAATTACTTACATCATAAAGAGATAATTAAATTTCTTGATTTCATGAATTGTAATCACTAAATCCTTATCATATACACTATTGTAACGACAAAGCAAACTAGAGTTCTTTGGATATGAAGAACAATTGCTTTATTTTGTATCTTTTATTGAAGTCCAATCATCTAATGTAAATCCTGTAAGTGAGGTATTGAAGATATATATTGGAAGTAATGATAAACTAACATTGTAACTGTGATATATAAGTAAACCCTTAGTATTTGCCAATAGAACCATATGTACATTCTGATCAGTTTTAACTACAAATTTATTTAAATCTGTCCCCAAATCTGATGCCATCACTCCCTTTAAATTAAGATTTTAATCAAGCAAGGGCATGACTAATGTAACTTCAATTTTGTCTTTGGTAAATTCTATAATTATAACTAATTAAAAGTTACAAAGAAAGGGATCGGTAAATTAATAATCATAATCACGAAAATTTGATTGATTATACACACTGACACCTTTTAAAAACCAAGGTCTCTTTGGAATATTTAATCCATATATAGCATTTTTAAAATTAGTGCAAGGATATGAAAAATAAACTTAAGGTTCCTCCAAAGTTCCTACATAAAATAAGGATTTGATATTTAATTTATTAGCATCCAATATATGACCTATAGGATACATAATTTCTTAAATCTTTAAATTTATTAAGGTAACCTTGTTCATTGGATAAGTTATGTTAGTTTTATTTGTATAGCACATAAATGAATGCGTTTTTTATAATGAACCAGGTGGTTAATTTACCAGTATTTAAGGCATTTAATTTGTACCTGCATAATTCATATGAGCTCTATAATCTAAAGTAATTTTATCTTATTTTTCAAGGTTCCTATAAGATTATGAATAAATTTAATGAAGTATTTGTAATTAGTGGATATCTAAACTATTTTTAAATTATTACTTATATTAAATATCCCATCAAGGATACCATCATAGCTTCTCAAATGACTTTATAATGTATGTTTTGCATTATTATTATATATATCAAAAGATGATTATTCTAAAAGAGGAACAATTATCGCCATGTTGACTGAATAAATTCCTAAAACTACTCCAAGCATCACGATAAAAATAATAGAAAATTGAAGCAAGGCTTAATTTCTCATTCTAAGTTTCCAAAACCAATTATCTGAATATATAGGTATTTCTTTCAACTCTTTCAGTAGAACATTTTACTAACTTCCTTTCATCATTTATTTATTATATTATTATATATAGCATCATGAAATTTAATTATTTAATGAATCTTGAGGAATTGAAAATTTATATTTGTGTCTTTCTAATGATGTTGAATTTACTAATATTTTATAATAATTCAATAATCTAAGATTTACTTTATGAAAAATATATAAATAAGTTTATAAAAATAACTCATATTGTTTTTATACAATTTTTTATGAAATATATACTTCATTATTCAGTATCTTGAACTGCAATGACTTCAACTTCTACTAAACCACCTTTTGGTAATTATTTGACTGCAATGCAAACTCTAGCTGGATAATCACCTTCAAAGAATTTAGCATAAGACTCATTCACTTTTGCAAAGTCAGCCATATCAACAAGATAAACAATGCATTTGACAATATTCTTAAAGCTAGACTTTGCTGCTTCTAATAAGATTCCCACATTCTTCATAGCTTATGTTGCTTATTCTGCTACATCTTCAGAAATAAGATTTCCTGTCTATTATATATATAGATTATAAGTAATTACTTCAGGGACAATACCCAATTAACCTGATAAATAGACTAGATTGGCAGTTGGAGCAACAATTTTACCAGCTGAATAGGGACCAATGGCTTTGAATTTATCTGTGTGAACTGTGGTGACTTATTGCTGCATTAATTGGTATTAAATTTTTTTCAAAAATTTTATTAAAGATTTAAAATCATGGTAATACATGTCTTAATATAATATAGGGAAAACAACCAACATAAGGTTAAAAGAAAACAAAGGATTAGATTGCTAAAGCTGCATCACAAAGAAGTAAATAAACAAAGAAGGTATTACATCTATTTTGATTATGCACAATAGAAATGGACCAAAGGAAGAGCAAAGGATAAGTTGAACAATGCCGTATATTTAGATTAAGCATCCTACAAATAAATTGAGACTTAATTACCAAAAATGGGAGCATTGATCACAGTCTCAACAGTATCAGATAAATTCAAAGTAAATGGGTAAAATATTGCTTCTATAATTATAATTATAGTTCTTTAGCCAGAAGATGCATCAGACACTTTGCAAAATCAGGTTTATTGGTTCCAGCCGGTGATTAAAACTCTAAATAATATATCTTCACTGTTAATGCCTAAGTCGTAGCTGCCTAAAAGGCTGCTGCCGCTGCTGCTGCTGCAGATAAGCCATAAACTTAAAAGAAAGCTCCAGCTAAGAAATGAGTTTATAATTTAAGTACATTACAAATAATCATTTATGTATTTATAAAAAGAAATTATTACAAATAAATGTAAACATGTCAACTTTGCTTAAAAAACACAGCTTTAATTTAGTTGATTTGCTCTCATCATATCTGTCTCAAATGCACAAATAAAAATAAGTAATTATAATAAAGGTATTTGTTTATCATATAAGTATCAAAAAGCCAATTATAAAACAAATATTGGATTCAATGTTCAAAATGTTAAAAGAAAACATTTAGTTATGACTTCTCGAATCTTTTAATTGAATCTCATGAACTGAGTTTACTGACTGATAGAAGTCAACATCAATTTTAATTGAATGAAGTAAAATTTTATTTTAATATCAACTTTTCAACACTTTAGAGTTAACTTATTATTGAACCACAAATCTTCTAACGTCGTAGATCCATGAATGCTATTGATTTATTCACTAAAAATACATCACCAATTAGAAAAGAAAAGTCAAAAAATCCAACTTAAAAATTAAAACAATCTATCATTAATGTTAATAAATAAAATGTTCTTAAATCAAGTACCTAACTCAAAAATACTTCAAATAAAAAGCCAACTCATAAGAGATGCTAAACTGGTATTGTAGAAAATAAACAAGGTATTTTAAAACATAAAATATCTTAGTCTTGAATAGTATGTTAAACTTCAAAAAATTAACAAAATAGAAAACTAGTCCTATCTAAAAATGTAGTTCTATATTCGATTATTTATTGAGTCTATCATATCAACATACAAAAGCATCCGATAGAAAACAGTTTAGTCTCGCTAATTCCTCGAAAATTGATAACAAAAAAAATATTAAAAGTAGATGTCATAGTCAAATATCAATCAAATAAAAAATAAAAAATTGATTCATATCAATCCAAAAATTAATCTCATATACATTATTAGAAAAATATTTATAAAGAATTTTATGTCCATTTTACTAACTATAAGTAATTTATATTAAAATTTTAGCTTTATTAAATTCTTTATTTTAGATTTAATTGTAAAATTTGATACCTTTCTAGTTTCTTAAGTATATTCTAAGAATTTTAATTATAATTAATTTTTTTTTATATAATAAATAATTGAATGTTTATTTTTTCAGTTATTTAGTCAAATAAATGCTAAATAACCTGATAATTATATTGATAATCTATTCTCTAGATTCTGTAATTAAGTTTTAATCTTAAATAAGTATATTAAATTAGAAAGATTGATTGCATCATCATCATCATTCTAATAATTAAGAATAATATCAAAAAGAGGTAATTATAAAATATATTATTTTAACATTTCTAGTTAATTAAAAAACATATGAAATAATTATTATACAAATAGGTTTCATTACAAAAATATTATAATAGTTTTTAATGAAATGAAAATCAATAAAAAATCATCTTTAATTACATAATAATTTGAAAGTTTATAGAAATTAATATATTCTTTCATTATTTAGATATAGAAAATACTATTTTAATAAATTAATAATGTGATATTATCAATATAATTATTAATTTATTTGCATATACACTTTTCCATTAATTAATATCGATATATTATTATGATATCTTTTAAAAGTATATAGTTGAGTATAGTTTTTATGAGTATTAGATTTCTGTGTTATAACTAATGAAATATAACAAAATTTATATTTAATTTGGTTATTTATATTTGAATATATATATGAATTAAAGTGTTATATACCAAATGAACATTAAGAATTATAATATTATGTATATATATGATTTGGTGTCAAGTGAGGAATTAATTAGATAAGGTGAAAAGGATGTGAATATTAAAGTTATTATTAAATATAAAATTAAATATGACTGATCAGCCATAAGCACCAGCAGATGTGGACATTTTTTAACAAACTATTGAAAAGAAGTATAATTTGTATGTTTATTAGTATAGTTCTCATCGTGCATCTATTTTTGAAATAGTTTTGGAGAGTACAGTATTTTAAGTAATAATAAACATTCTGACTCTTTATGCTCTTTTTGGAGATGATATAAGAGTAGCTGCTTTTCGATTAAGTGCAGACATAGTTTTTGATGCCTTAAACATCACATGTTTGGTAAGCACAGTTTTATTAATGAGTTTAGATAATGTTTTCAACAGAAATCATACTGTCAGTAATAGTTAAAGAGGGATACTTTCTGTCCTTCTTCTTCTGGCTTGACACAATTTCAACAATTTCTTTATTACTTGATATTAGTCTTTTTAATTAGGCTGTTGGATTGAGTGGAGCAGGAGGTTAAGCTAAAAATACAGCAGGACTAGCAAGAGCAGGTAGAGCATCAAGAGTGGGAACTAAAGCAGGTAGAGTAGTTAGATTGGTGAGATTGATAAGATTGGTGAAAGTCTATAAATCAGCAAATAAGGATGATGAAGATAAGGTTTCTAAATTAATAGCCCAAAGAAGATAGAAAAGAAAAGTTACTGCAGTAGAACCATAATTACAAGACAGAGGTGAATAAAACATTCCTGCATAAAGTGAGGAAGGAGAAACTAAAGAATCAAAAGTTTCAAAAATGTTATCAGATTCAACTACAAAAAAGGTCATCATAGTTGTCTTAGCATTATTATTTTTAATTCCATTGTTTTCTGTAGATTATTTTGTGTCACCACCAACAAGTATGTTGATGTAAGCTTAATAATTTGTAAAACTTGCTGAATCAGAATCATCAACATATGATGATGTAAAAAATGCATATAATTAAATTATCATTGATCATAGTGGCATTGACAATTATATTGTATTATTTACTAGTCCACTTTATAATTATAAGGATTTCCCAATTTATGAACATGAAGACTATCCAAATTTAAGAACTGATGAATAAGATGTTGGAGCATATACTTTAGATTATGAAACTCTTATAAAAACTACTAATCTACCTAATGATGCAATTGTAAATTTTGAGTATTTTAATTTAAATTATATTCTTTTAGTAAGGAAAATCCTGATGTTGTTGGTATATTGAGTACAAGATAAGCAGCTATGATGACAAGTATCTTATCAATTATCAGAACTATATTTGTGAGTATAGTCTTAACATTTGGAGCTATGATGTTTTCAAAAGATTCAAATGATTTAGCATTGAGACCCTTAGAAAGAATGATTGATAAAATTAATAAAATAGCTAATGATCCTTAAATTGTTACAGAAATGGCTGTTATATAAAATGAAAATTCTAATGAAACAGTTAAAATTGAAAACACAATTGTTAAAATTGGAACATTACTAGCATTAGGATTTGGTGATGCTGGTACTGAAATTATTAGAATAAATATGAAAAAGTAAGGAGATGTTGATCCAATGTTACCTGGAATCAAAAAAGTAGCTATTTATGGATTTTGTGATATCAGAAATTTCACAGATGCAACAGAAGTTCTTTAAGAAGATGTCATGGTGTTTGTTAATAACATAGGAGACATAGTACATACAATGGTTGATAGATATATGGGTGCAGCTAATAAGAATATTGGTGATGCATTTTTATTGGTTTGGAAAACTAGACCAGAAACCTATTCTTTTGAAGAAGATAATGTAATTTGGCATGATAAATAGTAATAAATTATTATATTATAGATATATATCAACTTTGTCTGATTGTGCTTTGATTTCTTTTATGAAAATTTAATGCAAAATTAATAGAGAACCAAAGATTCTAGCTTATAGATAAGATAAAAGATTACAAGCTAGAATGGATAATTATAAAGTCAAGATAGGATTTGGACTTCATATGGGATGGGGAATTGAAGGAGCTATTGGATCTAATTATAAAATTGATGCTTCATATTTGAGTCCTAATGTTAACATGGCATCAAGATTAGAAGCAGCTACTAAACAATATGGAGTTCCAATTTTAATTTCAGAATAACTATATGAACATTTCTCACCTGAATTCTAAGAATATATTAGACATATAGATAGAGTTTGTGTTAAAGGATCTAATATCCCTGTTAGTCTTTATACTATTGATATGAATGTAGATAATTTACCCTAAAGTAATGATCCATTAGTGAAATACAAAGAGTTCACTAAGGAAGAATTGAAAATGATTTTAAGATAAAAGAAATTGGAAATTAAAGAATAAATTGAAAATGGAGAATTTAAAGCTGCAGATCATCTATAAGAAAATAAAGATCTTAGATTAATATTGACTGGATTTAAAAAAGATTTTATGGTATATATTGTGATTATAAAAATATAGGAAGTATTTCGTAAAGCCTTTTAAGCTTATTTGGATGGAGATTGGAAAACTGCTCGTGCTATGTTCTAAGAGGCTCTTAAACTTAAACCAAATGATGGTCCAACAGAGGCAGTTTTGCATAGTATGGAGGAAACAAATTATCAGAAACCCAGTGATTGGAAAGGATATAGAGAATTAACAGAGAAATGATTAATATTAAATAATGAATAAGTTTACACTGAAGTTCTTTAACTCTTAATTGGAACTCCAATATCAAAATGAAAAAATTGGAAGACTTAGAAAACCTGTATTTTATGTGTTTATGACACTTGGTTTGATACTAAATATTTCAAAAGTGCTAATCGATTTAGGCAAGTTGTAACTATCCTATCAATACATAAATTATATTTTGATTACTTTGGCAGTGGTTTTGATCATTATAAGTGTGAAATGGCCACTTTACATCAGATACACCCTTATGATTGCCAATATTTCAACCTCCTTATTGTAGTTAAACTTCCCTGAAAATACTAAATCATAATTGTATTATAGCTATGGAAATAATTTTATGGAATTTTAAGCCTGTGCTTATTTTGTCTCAGATTTTTTAGATAGTGTTGTCTAAGTCATATGTCACACTATCATTAAACTCATAATTACAATAAAAACAACCTAGCATGTTGATCCTCAAGATATTCTTATGGGTATTGGTGCTGCTATAATGATTGTAATTGTTATATATATTTGTGATGCAAATGCACGTAAAGAGTTCCTTTCCAAAATTTGTGAGAATCTATGGGATTAATAATTATCTGAACTAATTAAACTTCCTTTCTTTAAAGTCACTTACTGTTAAAGGCTATTATAATTTAATTTTCTTAATGGTAAAGATTTACTTCAATTCCCTATGTATGATGAAGAGCTTTGTGATGGGTGTAATGTTAGAAACTTTTTAAAGTAATACAAATTTGAAGGATAAGAATTATAAGAGTTCTTGATGAAAAACTAAGAAGGTATAGCTAAAATTAATATGTCAAAACATAAATTCAATTTAAGAGTTGTAAATGTGGGCATTGATCATATATTTAAGATAATAATTTTGGATAGTCAGCAATCTAAAAATATCTCTCTTAATTAAAATATCAAAAAACCAATTAAAATTTATATCTAACAAACTTCATAGAAAAACAATCAACTTTTTTTTAATTGGGGAATCATTTCATTATTACTTATTAATGATAATAGTGTATAAGAAATATCATTATTTAAGATATTAAGTAGATTCAATTCCAAATTTTCTAAATTATCAAAAATCAAATTTCTCTTAAAGGGAGATGATACTCTCACTTTTTTAAGTTACTCAAATTTAATCAGAATATATTTAATACAAATTTATTAAATAATTACACATTTTTATGAATCTCAAGAAAAAAAAACTAATAAATTAAAATCAAAATCTAAAACTACTTTAATAACAATGATAATTTATAAAGAATGTGATTCAATGGTTTTACAATTACCTCTTACAATTAACCAATTGTTTTTCATAAGCAAATATTCTAATAATTTTTTCATAAAATAAATTGAATAAAAGATTCTAAACTCTCCAATAACAAGTGATTTGAAAATATACTTTAATACAAGTATTCCTTTCAAATAATTTTGAATTTATATTAAAATATATATATATATATATATCTAATAATATTTTATTACAAATTTTAATTGTTAAAAAAATTAATTAATAATTTGTTTAAAAAATTCCCGCTTTATGGCAAATAGAACCTACTTTAATTTAGATCAGAAAAGACTTTTTAAGCCTTAAGTTTAATTAGATAAAAAACAAGAAGTTGTTACTAAAAAGAAGGTTGAATCAATTAGCATAAACGAAGAACCATAAAAATAATTATGGGATATGGATTTAAAGGATTGTGTCACTAAATATAAGGATACTATAGGAAGTAAAAAGAGAAAAGAATAACTCATTTTTAAGCCTGGAGGGTGTTTTATCAAGGAAAAAAGTGAGACTGAAAAATAAAAAACTGAAAAAGAACTAAATAAAGAGATTAATCAAGTGATAAGATAGACAACCAAAGAGTTTTTTGAAGATATAAAAATGGAAAAACAATAAAAAGAAAACGAAAAAAACTAACTTAATGTATAAAATTAGAAGGATTAATGTAATGTTTAAGATTAAGATTAGAAAATAAATTAATAAGAAAATAATTAAGAAAATTAAATAAATGAAGAAAAAATATAATAATAAAAAGAAAATATAGAAAATAATACAGTAAAGGAGGATTAAGGATTATTAAAGAAAAAAGTAGGCAAATATTAAAAAAGTTAGAATGGTAATTTTGTTAGACTTGATCTTAAAAAAAAATATCAAGATAAATTTAGAGGTGCAATTTATATGAATCAAAGAAAATATAAAAGGAATGGTACTTTGAAAAATCCGAATCCCTCAAAAAGAGAACAAACTTAAATTGATTTTTAACAACTTAATAATTAAGGACGTGCTGAATCTTGTATTTAAATTAATAAGCTTTAGACAACATATTCATATAATCTGTTTCCTCAGGATTATTAGTAGAGATTTTTGATGATGAAGAAAATATAAAAGAAAAAGAGAAATATGATGAACTTATAAAAGAATTAGTTCAAAAAGTTTTAGATGATTTAGATAATAAAGAAAATTACTTAAATTTGTTAGAGTTAGTATTTGGTTTTACAGAATTTCGTGAAGGACAATTTGAAGCAATCTAAAGTATTTTAAAGAAAGAATCAATTTTATTGGTATAAAAGACAGGACATGGTAAATCATTAGTATATTAATACTTATCATTGTTCCTTTAAGATAGTATAGGGATTATCTTCTCCCCCTTAATTTCATTGATGATTGATCAAGTATCTAAATTACCAGATTAGATCAAAGGTATAGCATATCATTCAATGTTAACTTCATTTTAAAAAGGTCGTTTAATTGAGTTCATAAAAGGTAGATAAGTTCAATTAGTTTATTGTACTCCTGAAATCTTTTAAAGTGATTTAGGTTATTCCTTACATTATTTTGGAAAGATTTCATTTATTTGTATAGATGAAGCTCATTGTGTATCTGAGCTTTCTCATTCTTTTAGACATACTTATGTGATATTGAATTCTATGATTTAGAATTTTTTGAAGGATGATATGCCTCCTTTTTTAGCATTAACAGCTACTGCTACTCATTTAACTGTAGAATCAGTACTAAAAAAATTTTAAATTAATAAATCTATAATTTCTATTAATACTGAAAGAAATAACATAGAAATAAGTGTTAGTAGAGATAGAGATGTCAATGCATCTTTAATTAAATTATTATAGAGTTAAAAATATCGAAATTTATCTTCCATTTTAATTTATTGTAGAAGTAAATATATGGTTGATATGGTATCAAATTATTTGAGAAATTGCAATTTAAAATGTCTTGGTTTTCATGGAGGATTGCCTGAATAAGAAAAAATGGATATTTAAAATAAATTTATTAGAAATTAAATCTAAATAATTGTTGCTACATCTATATTTGCTATGGGTATAGATAAATCAGATATTAGAGCAATTATTCATTTAAATTTACCCAAAAGTATTGAATCTTACATTCAAGAAATTGGTAGAGCAGGAAGAGATGGATAAATTGCATATGCTCATTTATTTTTAAGAGAAAACGATTTCCATTTAGAAAGATCATTTATTCTATCAGATTATCCTGATTTTATTGTAATGAAAAATCTATTAGAAAAAATGAAATAAAAATAAGAAGAAAACAAAATAACATATTTCATTTCAAAATTTGCAGAAGAAAACTTGGATTTGAGAAAAGATACAATTTATTCTCTCATGCAAATTTTAGAAAGATGTTCTGATGGTTCTATCAAAGTCTATCCAATTTGTCATGAGAAGATTATATTAAAATTCTTTAAGGCTTTAACTGATGAATAGAAAGAGAAGTCAACATTTTTGAATGAGCTATCCAAAATTGGAAGAATGATTTCTGGTAGTCTTCATGTTAATGTAATAAAAGCCAGTAATGCTTTATCGATGTAACCTTTAGAGGTTATCAGATAAGCTAGAAATCTCTTTACTGAATTATCTATTGCCACAGAAACATAAGAAGAAATCTTACCTTTTCAAATAATGAAGGATATTGATGTGAATATATTAGAAAAGGCTAACGAGATCTTGTAACTACATAAATAAGTGGCATTGAATAAGTTAAACTTAATGTATATTTTATCTTATGAAAACTCTGTACCAAATTATGATTTATTATCTGAAAATTTAATTCAAACAAAAAACTTTTACTTTAATCAATATTTTAGATCTGAAAATCCAGTTGATGATATTTTGAAAATTTTATATGATGATACTATTCAAAATATTAATGAATATTTGCCATTTGATGATATGGATGATGAAAAACATAAATAAATATAATAGGCAGTTAAACGATTTTTACATGAAGAAACAGTTAATAAAAACAATAGTGAAACACATAAAATTATGTAATCTTATTTAAAGAATCCAAAAATCTTGTCTCGTTTATTTTGTGGTATCTAATCCATCAAATACTCATATAAAGAATACAAAAGCTCATCTATTTGGAATAAGAGTGGCAGATTAAGGTATGAAGATGTACATAAATCTGTCCTTAACATTTGCTTGTCAATTTTAGAATAAAATTGAAATACAATTAAATTTAATAATTTGTTTATCTAAATTTTTTATATCAATTGTTAATATTTATATTCTAGCAATATTATAAATAGAAATAAATTAAATACTTAGTTGAATATTAAAGGAATTGATATTTTCTTTAATATAAATTTGAAAATATTATCAATAAAGAAATATAAATTATATAAGATAGTTATGAAATTCAAAATTATAATTTATAAATTTTCAATTTAAAATTGGCTGACTCCTTAAAATTTATACCAATAAGTAGTTTCGATGTTTATTCATGAATATCAAATTATTCTAGAAAATCATTTTCAAGTAATAATTAACTATTAGAGATTTATGGGAATAAATTAATTTATTCTAATTTTGGAGGATGGTTTTAAGCCCTAATTATTGTGATTTTATCATCAATATAGAGTTGCTGATTCATAAAATAATTTATGAATTAAATATTCATAAGGATATGAAAATTATTTTAAGATAAGAATTAAATACTTCTAAACATAAATACACAAAGAATAAGATGATTCTTAATCAATACTATTTTATTAGGTATCTTTGAAAACTACTTTGATATTTTATTTTTAAAATAGTATTAATAATTAAACCATACTTCTAAAGTTTATTATGTATCATTCATTACAAAATATTAATTGCTAGAAAATGGTATAAAATGTGAAAAAGGGAATTCAAAACGAAGTTATTCAATTTTCTATTAATTTTAGATATTATAGATATGCAATTTCTATTCTTCTTTTATGAATAATGTTAATCCACAAAAGTAATGTTTTTAGTTTTTTGATTAAATATCCATGAGTATAGTTTTGAATGTTAGGTCTTATAAATTAAGTAAATTCAAATGATTAAAATGAGAGTAATAATATAGATAGGATGAATCATTTGAAAAGAAAATTTTATCTATTTTTAAGTTGATTTGAGAAATATTAAAAGTAATAATCAATTAAAATGATTATGTTTGATATATTCTAATTTATAAGGTTTAGATATCTTATTAAGAATGAGTAATAATGACAATATATTTTAAATCTTTTGATAGCTATAAATTTAATAAAAATGATTTACTATAAATCCTACAATATTTTACATATCGAAATCAATCATATGTTCATATTTTAGAGACTAAGTTTAATGATCATGTAAATTATTCATATAATTTAGTTTTGATTGAAATTAATTCTTTACGATTATTATATAAATTTATGAAATAAGTTTGCAATTTATACTAACAAGGGAGATGTGAAAAAGGGAAGAAATGCAAATATATGCATATGGAAGAAAAAATTGAAAAACCAATTTAATAGGAATAAAAATAAACTAAGATTTAGGTGATAAAATAGAAAGAGATCGTACAGAAAGTACATCATCCAAAAATATTTAAATGGACTGATTTATCGAAATTGGCAGATTCATAAGAAATACTTTAATAGAATTAAGAATTATTGGGAGGAGATTTCTTCAAAATTGCAAAAGATTTGTAGAATGATAAGGAGAAGGACATTATGCAAATATTTCGAAAATTTTAACAGAGTATAAAATTCTTACCTTAACCTTAATGCAAATTATTAGAATATTTAAGAAACAATGAGGAATTTTAAGTAATCCTTCGATTTGTACCATCAATTGATAGGAAAGAATTAGAATTCAAAGAATAAGTAAAAGAAAGATATTTTGAAATTCTCTTATAAATAGATAAGAATTATCCGAAATCATCAGTTATAATTTTGAATTAATCACTAACTCAAGAATTTAAGGATGTATTATAAAATAGGATGAGTGATCAAATATTTGAAAAAAAAGGATTATTTTAAGGGATGAGATATATAGAAACTCATTTTGATGAAATTGTTTTAGGTTTATGATATTTATGTTTTATAATTAAAAATAATTAATTATGATTAAATATAATAGTGAAAATCATTTTAAGTTTCATAATGTTAAAGTATTTGATAAAGAAAGGATGATTTTATATTTTAAAAGAATGCCAATAGAGTAAGAAGAGAATGATAATTTATATAATGGATTAAATTAATTAATAATGAAAGAGAGGATAGAATAAACAAAATAAAAGATAGAAATTGGAAAATAAGTTACAAGTAGTGTTAAGATGGATTAAGGAGAATTACCTAAAAATAGAACATTAATAATAATGAATTTTGATTATCCTTTTGATCGTAAATTTATAGCAAAAGTATTTAAATTATGTGGAATAATTCGAAGAGTTTATGTTGGATCAATGAAAGTAGTTGATAATAATAAAAAAAGATTATTACATGTTGGTTTGGTTGTTTTTAAGAATGAATATGATTTAACAAAATGTTTTGATATTGAATATTTTCAATAAAAAATAAATAATAAATTTAAAAGTGTTCCTATTACAACTAATTATGAAAAGAAATTATTACAAAATTATGAATTTGTAGATGAGAAAAAGAATTAAATAATAGAAGAGGCATAAAAAGAAGGATATTAGATTGCAATGAATAAATATGGTGATTTCGAAACTAATATAGAGAAACCTAAATTTGAGAAGAGAAATTGGGTAGGAAGAAACAAAAATAAAACAAAAAAGAATATAAATACAGAAGAAATAGAATAAGTAATTTAGGGATTAGATGATAATTTACCTCATTAAAAGAAAAAAGATATATTAAAATTTTAAAAACAATAACTTCAATAATAATTTCAATAAGATATTGAAAATCTAAGATAAAAATAAAAGAAAGTAAAGGAATGATAATAATTGTATATTATATTTTTGTACATAATGTTTCATTATTATTCTTATTATTTTTTAATTAAAGGTAAATCTATATCCCCTAAACATCCTTCATGTTTTAATAGTTTTTATGTTATCATATCAGCTTATTCATTCCAATTTAAATCTTTAAGAACATAAATATAAATGATTGTTAAATATAAATTACATAATCCAAAACCTAACCATATCCCAATTAATTATAAATCAAACACATATGCTAATATTAAAACTACTGGAACTCCAATTATGTAATATGATATCATTGTTTAATTAGATACAATTGTTGATTTGTTCACACCCTTTAAAGCTCCAGATAAAGCTCCTTGAATTCCATCAAAACACACACTTCCAATAAGAAAATATGGAAGAGTCTCTATCATAATTTATTATATCTGAAGATCAGATGAATAAATGCGACTCCATTAATCTTAAAATATAGTGAGTCCAATGACCAATGATATTAGTACTAATCCTTGGACACACATACCACTTATGATATATTATTTAGCCAAAGCGATTTTATGTTGACCTCTTTTAATAAGGAAATTATACTTAAACTATTTCCAACATATGACATTAAAGTTACTGATAAGCTAATTGGGAATTTGAAATAGATAGAACTAGTATTGGCAAATGCAAGTTGAGCATTTGCTTAATTCACTCCTAAAGAGTAAGCCACAAATGATAATATATAAAAAACGATAAAGTCAGCATATATGTGGAGAATTAATGGAATAGATTCTTTTATAAACATTATGTATGTTTCTCTAAATTTAAATATTTAACATGAGAATTCGAAATTGGCTATCAAATTATAAACTTCTGGATTCTTGTAGATATATCTTATCAACAAAAATAATGTAAACAACTTGAAAATATATTAAAGATTTTCTTACCTCACTTAAAATTATTGACAAACATAAACCAATATATCCTAGATTACAGATGAGAAATAGGAATACACATGCTAGTAGATGAAATAAGAGAGTGGAAGCATAAATAAATGGAAAAGGTTGAAAAATCCTACATCCAACAAGATATTATTTTAAACATTCAATTTAGAGGAGTAGAAATGCTGCTATAAATAAAGGTATGATCATTTGCCTGAGTTGCTTGTTTATTTAATTTTATATACCATGCATATTATGTTATTATTTCTGTTTCTTCTTGAACTATAAATTAAACTAGATATTAAGTATTATAAATGAATAGAAAAAAAGGTATGGATACAAATAATATGGAATAAATTGTAAAGTTTAAGTAAGTCTAAGAAAGCTTAATCTTATTCTATCCTAAGGCATGTGAAACCTAATTATTAAGTCCTTAATTAATGCCTAAATTAGACATTAATATTAACCTAAACCTAAGGGAACAAACAATAACTAAATTAACATCCATGCAATCCCATAAGATGCAGTTTGATATTTATCAGTATATTGACCCATGAAATGTAGATTGAGCATTGACATCAGATCGGTACAAATGTAACCACTCACAATTTGAAACATGCTTGTTGATACATTATAAGTAATAGATCTCCAATCATTAGTAATCAATAAATTATCATTATACATTTTATAAAAATGAATTAACAATTTGATACAGAAGACTCTATTAATTCCGATGAAGCTATTAAATCAATCGAATGTAAATATCTCACTCCCAACTTCCATCCCAATCTCGATGATAAAGGTACTTCAGTTCATAAAAGGATGAATGCAATAAATTAATTGAGGTGTAAATTTAAAGAGTCTTTGGTCTCTAAAGATGAAGTATTCACACAATCATCTCCTTTTAAATCAACAAATGTTATTTCAAGTCAAAATGGATTACCATAAAGTGAATTTCCATCTTCAACTCTTAAAGCAGAAGTTTTAACTAAGTAGGATAAAGTACATCTGGCTGATTCACGTAAAAGACATAATACTAAAAATTCTATTGAATAATTTTAAGAGAAGCAAATAAAATAAAATCATAGAAAAAGTCAACCGCATTTATAACCTAATTTGATATAAACTCGTAAACCTAAAAGATAAATTTTTGTTACATAAATTGTAAATGATCATTGTGAGATTACAAGTTTTCCATTTCCTAAACCTTAAAGATTGTCAAGGATTATATAAAATAATGATGGATATCATTCATAAAGAGGAAGTTCTACATCTACTCCAAGAGGTATCCTCAAATCTGGATCATTTGAAGTTTTAAGGATAGGTAGTAGACCAAGTACTCAAAGTCTTAATAGTCCTATGATGAGACCTAGTAGTAAAAAGGTTTCCTTTGAATTTACAAGTGAGTAACTAAGGAAAATGAAGAATAACAATGGGAATTCAGATCATAATAAATATTAAAGATTAAAAACCAAATTTAAGAAATGATTGACTTCTTTTTATTTTCTGTCAATCTTTATTACTTACACAATACTACAATATTTCTATGAATTTATAAAATATTGATTAAAAATTAATTAAAATTTAAATTTGAATAATAATGTCAACAGATAACACAGAATTGTTATCAAAATTTCTTAATGAATATAATTAATTGAAGAAATAGAACTAAGAATACTAAATGAAAGAAAACACAACATATTAAACATTATCTAATGAAAATTCTTTATTAACTTAAGAATTAAATAGAATCAAAAAAGAAAATCAAAGATTAATAGATAATAATACTTTCTTAACTGATTAACTCAATTAATTAAAACTCTTATATTCAGAAACTAAATCAGAATTACAAGAATCATTTAATTTTATTTAGAGTATGAATAAAACTATGAAGACAGGAACTTTTGAAAATGAAGATAAAGATCTTAATAAATTAATGGAGATATTTTCAGTTAATTCTGTAGATTAATTAATATTAACTGCTGAAAAGATAAAGACTGTAATGTTGGGTGTATCTCATTTAGAATAATTTTGTAGATCAATTTGTGAAATCATTTATGATTAACATGAAGAATAATACAATTTAGATTAAGTATTTCCAATTATATAAAAATGGAAATGTGATTCCAAATATGTAGATTGTTTTCTATTCTTTAAAAATCAATTAGAATAAACATTATAATTGAAACATTCTACTGATTAATAAATTATTGATGCAATTAAATAATTATACAATAATTAGAATCATGATCTTTAAACTATTAAATCACTTTTTAAAATAGATACTAATGACAATTTTATGTTTAAAATAAATCAAATATTTTTACTTCTTTAAGATATTCAACAATTTACTAAAATAGCAAAAAGATTATTAGATTTGGATGAAAATATGAAAAATGAAGCATGTATGGTTTACATTTTAAAATTATTGGAGAAAATGAAATAGAATCATTTTAATGATCCAGATTTAATTATTAAAATAATGAAAATTATTAAAGTTGAACATCCATAATAAATAATATCAAAATTGGAGTAATTGACAAATTGATTATTATTATATATTAAATATGATTAAAATATTAAGAAGTCTTCATTAAATAAATCATAAATAATCTTATGGCTTATTTGGATGGTTTAATAAAAAAGAAGAAAAAGTTGATGATTCAGCATATGATCCTGCTACTTGGAAATAATTATAACCTGCTTTTAATAAACTAAAAGAAGAAAATTAAAATAAACCAAAACTCTTACCAATTAAAAAGAAATAATATTCTGATAAATTAACTGTTGTTTTGGAATTAGATGAAGTTTTAGTATATTCATTTATTCCAGACCCAAAAGATATGTTTATGAATGCACCATTGAGACAATATGATTTTTATATTGATCTACCAGAATTCGATAATTTTGTTCATGTTTATAAGAGAGAATAATTGGATGATTTCTTAGAATATTTCCTTAATCATACTGAACCAGTTATTTGGTCAAAAGGATAAAGGATATATGTTGAAAGAGTATTAGAAAAACTATGTCCATAATTTCCTAAAGATCATATATTTTGTTAAGAATAATGTAATCTAGTTGAGGAAGATGATTTAGAAGATTATTTTAAGGATCTTGATCTTTTAGGTAGAGATAGAAAAAAGATAGTTTATGTTGATTCTAAACCATTAAGTTTTTGGACTACAGGAGATAATTGTATATAAAGTATTTATTATATAATAGCTATTCCTGTTAGAATGTTTGTTGCAGATAATACAGACACAAAAGATGATTTATAAAGATTGATGAATATACTTGAAAGATTAAAGTAAGAAAATGATGTGAGAGATTACTTAAAGAAGATTTATAAAGTAGAAGAAACACTTAGAGAAACTAAATTTATTGAGTGATATTATGATTTATTATAAATTAATCATTTAAATTTATCTTTTTCCTTTTTCTTTGCTTCATCCTTTTCTTCAATATTAATCAAAATACGTAAACAACTTGGTGTTGATGAATTCTCAGTAACATAAAGAATATTCGATTTTTAGCTATATAATTAATTTAAATTCATACCTTGAAAATGTTAATCCTGATATTTCAGGACATTGGGGAATAGATACATTCTCCACATTAATTCCATTTGCATTAAATATGCTTATTTATCCTTCTTCAGAAACATATCCAAATTCAAATCTAGCTACATATAAATGTTCTGATTATGATACTGCACAAGCAATTGGACCAAATCTACCATTTAATTATATATAGGTGCTAATTGAATTTATAAATAATTTAGTACCTATAATAAAATATACCTGCATCTGTTTAAACAAAACGTAATACTCTATTTTTTCCTGTTTCACACAAATATAATAATTTTTAATTATTGCTTAAACATATACCACTTGGATATGCTAAACATTATAATGCTAAGGGTTTAACAATTTAAGCATCCATATCTATAGCAAATAGAGATCCTTTACAATTTTCTATTGAAGTTTCACCAAATGGTCCAGAATCAGTAAAGAATAACAAATCTAATTATACTAATAATTACTATTTTTGGTTGACAATAATAATGAATTAGGTCCTAATAAGGGTTATCCTTCATATTCTTTCAAAAATTCTACAATTTATTCTTAACTGTTCTCATCAATATATCTCTTTAAAATTGCTTAATGAGCCATATCAGCCACATATATAAATTTGTTAGGTTTATCAATCACAATTGAATATGGTTATCCTGATATATGAAATTCAGCCTAAATTCAATTTATATACATTACCTTAAATTATCCATCCTTGAATTTTAAAATATCACCATTTTATGAAACCATATATATAGCTCCATCAATCTCTAAAGGGAAATACAGTGGACTTGATAATTCACAAATCTTCTCATAAGGCACAGCACTCATTTCTTAATATAATTTAATATATATTAATATATTGTATTAATATATATTAAGGAAAGAATAAAAATAAAAAAAAAAGAATCACCCATGGCAGGGATTGAACCTGCAGCCTACAGCTTAGAAGGCTGTCGCGCTACCAATTGCGCCACATGGGCAACGTTAATTAATCTCTCTCTAATTAACTATATATACCATATGTATTAGCTCATATTTACTAATAAAATCTTAAATTATTAATTAAAATATTTTTTCAAACATTATTCCATAAACTTGAATTATAAATTATTATATTGAGATGAACCTTATATACACAATAATTCATTTGGAATCAAGAAAAAATGGGACATCCAATTCACAAGTATGTACAAGAATAATTTCTGTTTTACTTAAAAAGATATCCAAAAATAAGATTTGGTATTTCAAGAGGTTGGAATAAATCAGATTTTAAATTTTATCTAAATCAAATTAACTAATAAATTTTATCTAATAATTGAACTATTCTGTTTAATAACAAGATAATATTAATTAATTACTTTTTACATTATCCATAATAATCCAAAATATTAAAGCAAATAATTTAGTATGGGTAATAATTGTTTAATTTAATTTTATATTAGTAAATACTTTTACATCTAAATTACTACAATAATTAAGCAATTTCTTAATAAGACTTAATACTTAGATCTCTTTATAATTCTCATATAAATTTATATTTTCATTCAATGTTAATATTAAGGCTTTTCTCTATATTTGTAAATATTAATAATTTGAATTCGAATAGTATTTCAATCTCTTTGCTAATTTTATTATAATCTTCATCAATTAAAGATTTCTATTTATTAAAAGATGTTACTATAAAAAATTCACTTTATTAAATTCTTTAAAACTTAATAGAGCCTTTAATGAATTCGTTTAAAATAATGTTGATGTAATTAAAAAAGACTTTTTCTAATATCTGATTATAAATTCATTATTGCTATTTGCTGAATGATCTTAATTGTATTTTTAAATTAATTAAAACAAAAAACTCTTTAATGGAATGCTATCTACATAACTATTATTCATAAAATCATTAGATTCTAATGTATCCAAAAATAATGACTCACATTTATTAGAAGATGATATATGACAACTTAGATTGTCTTATTAAAATTATATAATCATGTAAGGAAATTCAAATGATAATTTCTTTAATAATTCTTCAAAATTAGAATCAACAAATGATAATAAAAACTATGATCTCATTCCTTTATGAAATTAGTAATTAAAATAGTTGATATAAAATATAAGCAAAATAGATGACACAATTGCTGAAATCTAAATTTAATTACTGTATGCTATTGCCCATACTATTCTAAATACACTTAAATTCACTAAAGTAATTATGCCATCAAGATATTCCCCTATCAATACCAATAAGTAGGTTGCCCCCATTTAATTAATTCCCTACAACATAGCCATCTAAGGATCTTGTTTAGTTTCTTGTGCATATAAATAAATATTCATAATATGATTTACCAAAATTAAAGCCAATCTGATATATTATGGATAGAATTTAACAAATATTAATTAAATTAAGAAGTAGCTAAGCAAAACAGCACTACTAAGTAACTAATAAATATTTCCTTCGACTCCTGCCTAAACACATTTTATTATGAATATTATGGAAATTCCAAAAGTCACAAAGCAAAATGTAGTCCATCTTCTAACTTTTAATAGTGATTTTTAATATTTTTGTTCAATTTAAGCATCCTTAAATGCTAATGTATATTTATTCATTAATTATAATTATAATATATATCATTCATATAATTTAAGACTTTTTTCATATATCATCAATGAAATATATATTTGAGACTGACAAAGACATAAATTAAATTTTAGTTTTTTATAATTAAATATTACATAATTTATTTCAGTGTCTGATTCTCTCAAATTATTCTTATTTTTATAATAAGAAATTCAATCAACTCCTTATTTATTGAACAATATTCAATGATTTTCTTGATATTTATTTCAAATTTGATAGTTTCAAATGAATAAAGACAAATCTAGAATATACTGAAGTTTTAAAATTATAGAATTATATTTGAAGAGATTTTAGTTCCCTATCAACATTTATAAGTCATTCATTCATATCTTTAATTTAATGTGTAAGTTATTTTAATTTAACTCTTATTTTATGCACAATCTTAAAAAAAATTATAATGATTTGCCAAATATTAAATATATTTTCAAATTTGCATCAAATATATTTTAAAGGTAAATATATTAAAAAAAGTTTCAATAATATTTTCAAAGAAAGATCATTAATATATTATTAATTTCAGAAAATATTACTCTAAACTAATTCAAATTATAATTTATAGTATAGATTTTTTTGATTTATTAAGAAGAAAATACATCAATAAAAGTTTAACTCTTTAGTTTATGTAATATAACTCATTAGATTTAAGATATAAACATAATTTTAATAATAATTCAAAATTTACTATATCTAAATTGTTTTAGTATCTGAGAATTAGAAAAAAGGAAATGTAATGCTTACAAAGACTTGAAATTGTTATTGAAAATATAAAGGTACTATTTTGGTTGAGGATAAGATGGTAAATACTTTAAATTTAGATATATATATGTGTTAATATTTAAAATGAATATTAGTTTGAAATTACTTTTAGAGAATATTATAGAATACTAAAATATAAATCCCTTAATAAACTAATCAGAGAATGAATGAAAGTATTAATGAAAAGAATACAATATTGAATTAAATTCTGATTAATTAAGTAAAATTGCATTTAATATGAATAAAACTAAACAATCAAATGAACTATGCTAAAGTATTAATCTTGATAATATTATTAATCAAATGATACATTAAAAATTTAAATATATGAATAATTAAGTGTTGCTTCTCCAAAAAAGACCAGATGAGTCTTTCCCTCAAAATATGAATTTCTTTTAAATACAATAGTAATCTACACCTCAATTGGACAAGGGAGAAATCCTTATACGTGTACTTTTCATTGGTATAGATCCAGTCATGAGAGTTTGGCTATCTGGTGCCAAAACATATATAGATTCAGTGTAAATTGGATAAGTAATGCCAGCTTTTGGAGTTGGTCAATGTATTGAGAGTAAAGCCAAGAATTGGAATCAAGGTAATTTAAATTTTGTTAAGTATTGTTTAGGACAATTAGTTTTTGGAGTATTAGAATGTGCTTAGTATTGTGTGAGAAAGGTTAATAAACTATTTAAGGTACCATCTTTTGTAGAGATTGGTGATCCAATAATTCCTTTGACTTTGTCAATGTAAATGAATTGAATTAAAATATTAGTTATGGTGTGACAGGTTTGACTGCTCTGAATGCTATGAAACAAATACCAGAATAGAATAGACCAATAAAGGAGAAAAATAAGACTTTGTGTGTCTCTTCTGCAGCTGGTTCAACAGGATCAGTAGTTTGCTAAATAGCAAAGAAAATGGGATATAGAGTTGTGGGTATAGTAAGTAGTTAGGAGAAGGTTGAATTCTTAAAAGAATTGGGAGTTGATGAATGTGTTACATATAATTAGTGTAAGCAAAATGAGGAAATAAATGTGAAGTAAATATTTAATTAATAATCAATTAGTGAATTAACAAAATTAATTAAATCTCATGCATCTTAAGGAATAGATGTTTACTATGATAATGCAGGAGAAGAAATCTTAGATGCAGTTATACCAGTAATAAATAAGAATGGATATGTATTATTATGTGGAGCTACATCTACTTATAATTCATGGAAATAGAGATGTGGTTTATAGAATTTGGCAAAGGCTATTTAGAATTCAATTAAATTTGAGGGGATAATGTTTTTGAATGAGAAATAAAAAATGTATGATGGATTTGCTGAGATGGTAGAAATGGTTAATGAAGGATCAATAAAACATTAAGAAGAAATATTGTTAGGCATAGAATAATTTATTATTGGATTATAGAATGTTTTCTTAGGAAAGAATAAGGGGAAAACAATCATTCAAATTTATGATAATTAATTATAGTAGGCTAAATTATGATAAATGCCATTGTATAAATAAACAATCATTCTTTTTTGTAATTGAGTCCATAAAATTCCTAATCAAATTTTTTAAGTGCTTATGTATTTGTAGTTTAATTCTGATCTTCTTCTATTTCTAAAAATGTTAAAAAATTAATTGATTACTTTCATCTAGAATTTATGGATTGAAATTAGATAAATCTGTGGCTGATTACAAATCTGGTATAATAGGAGCTTAAATCTAATATTAATATTTAATAAGTACTTCTTTTTAGAGTAATCTTTAGAAATCCATCTTTTTAAACCAAGGATGCTTTTTGATTTCTTCTGCATCACCTTTATTACCCAATCTTTCATTAGGTTTCTTCTTTAATAAAGCTGTTAATAGATTTTTACAATCAAAAGACAAATTAATTGTTGATGGGAATTTCAATTCAGATTCTACTATATTTCTAAACATTTAATTTCTATTTTCTGAAAAGAAAGGGGTTCTTCCACATAACATTTCAAATCTTAAATATATCAATTGATATACATAAGTATGCCTAAACACCACCAATCAGCAGTGAAGGCATGTCCTTATTGAGTAATTACCTCAGGGGCTAAATATTCAGGAGTTCCAACAATTGATTAAGTAACCTATCCTTTTGATAAAAACTTAGCCAATCCATAATCTGTTAAAGCTACATAGCCTTTTTCATCCATCAAAATATTTTCTGGTTTTAAATCTCTATATATAATTCCTTATTTATGGAGATATTCTAAAGCCAACAATACTTAAGATGAATAGAATAATGCATAATCTTCATTAAATTTATTAACCTTTTATAGATGGGTATACAATTCTCCTCCTCTAATGTATACATTAATATTTATACATCATAAATTTCATAACAAAATAAACACACTCCTATGTGATAAATGCATATTCTAAAGAAACAAGAAATGGATGTTATGTTTATTCTAAGATTTTTCTTTCTGTTTTTAAATATTCAATATGATCTCTTGAGATAATATCCTCTTTACGTAAACTCTTTATAGCAAATATTTCTTTTGTATCTTTCTTTTCACATAACATTACTTTTCCAAATGCACCTCTTCCCAACATCTTTATTAATGTAAAATCTTCTATACTAATCTCTTAAGTGTTAGATTTTTAATAGATTGTTTATACATTCCCTCTAGCTGCTTACATTGCAATTTTCACATCATCCACAGTCATTTCTGCTCCTTATTTTGGAAGTTATCTACGAATGTTCTTCTTAATATCATAATTAGTTGTTGTATATTAACTTAAATTCATTTCTTCAATGAAATGACATCGTATTTTTTTTAGATTATGTTTTACATACACTTCACATAAGGTTTGTATAATTAATGACAATCTATATAATATTAGAAGTTTCTTACTAATCATCTACTTAATATCGTTGATCATATTCAGTTGGTATATGTAATATGAATTCCTTTACTATTTTAGAAATAGTGATCGAAGTTATTGCAGATAATGGTATTTTTCTCTTTATCCTTGATCTGTATATTTAATTCAATTTCATTACTTATTTACTAAACTTTAAAAAAAGCCTTTAACACCTTTTCCTTCTGATGGTGAAATGTTATACACATTCTTATTTGTGATTACCTATTAATATAAGCAATATCAAGTACAATAACTCTTGGTAACTTTTTGTTTTATCCTGTAAATTTTATCACCTTCATTGTAAGTACTATTGTTTCACCTCCTTCCAATTACTCTCGTAACTTTTTGTCATTCATCACCTACTCATAATCCATATTTAATAATATATTTAATAAGATTAACAACTTTCCATTCTATCTTCCTCTTTACCCCCTCTAATTTCATACTCAATAAAAAAAATAGCCAGTTGGGGGAATTGAACACCCGACCCTTTGCTTACGAGGCAAATGCTCTAACCACTGAGCTAAACCGGCATCATTAAATTCTACCTTTCCAACTTATATAAATCTCTTTTCTTGATTAATTAAATACATCTCTATTTTTAATTTGCCATTTCTCTTATATGCATTAAACTAGCAATTAATTTAATTTAACTTATACAATAGACTATAATAGATAGAATATATTATTTCATTCATTCCATTACTTATTTCAAATTGAATTATTGAATTTTTATCAATAAATGTTTCAACAAATATGAATTTATTGATTAATTTATTATTAGAAGTCTTTGAACATTATGATAATTATTCTACTATAATATTTAAGATATAATTTATTATTAATTAATATGAATGATTAGAATTAATAATATTCTTAAAATCTTGATTCATCTCATTATATTAATTAATTTTTTAAAGTTCATTTTTCAATTAAATCGAATGGGGAAACCTAAAATATTAATAAAAAATTTGTATGAAATTTTATAGGTAACTTTAAAACACCTAAAAGATAGTCAGAAAAATTTGATTGTATTAGATGGACAGATAATGGAAGGGCTTTTATAATTGTTGATCCTGAAGAATTTTAGAAGTCGATTATGCCAGAATATTTTTATTCAACACAAATAAAATCACTTTATCGATAACTCAATTCATATGGATTTAAAATGAGAAGTTTAGAAATTAATTAAAAAATGTTTTCACATAAATGGTTTATCTAAGGAAATATGTATTTAGTACCTATATATTTTAAAGATCTTCTCTTTATAAGGTAGAAAGATAGAGAACAAAAAGTATAGCTCATTTAGACAAAGAAAAGGATTCAATTGTTATTATGAGAGAAGAAATGAAACAGTTAAAAGAAGAATTAGAAACCTTATAAAGTCAATAAAATTCTATACTAAAATAAATTAGAATTCATTCCATAATATAGACTTACATTTGTAAAAACATAAAAAAGATATGTGATGAATAAAAGAAGTTCAATTTAGAAAGAGAATAGGAAACAAGACTAGTAATATATTTCACATCAATGTTCGAAATATTTAAAGGCTTTCAATTTGAAATTGCCTCTAATATAATCCTACAATTAAAAGATATTGGAGGACCATAAACTCCTTCCTTTTCTCCAATGATATTTCCATATATGTGATTAGTAACAAATAAATTATTATTTTTATTTTCAATCTATTATCCTTATTTAATCTATTCTATAAATTTAACTTTAATATAAAACATATAATTATTCTGATTCATCCAAAAAATATTATTTTGATTTTTCTTTAATTTTACTATTTTTTTATTTTTTAAATATATAAATAATCCTATTAAAATAGATAAACATATTAAAAGATTCATAAACTTATTTAGTGTTTTAAAATAATTAAGTTTTTTAAATTCATTATTCTTAGATTATAAAATATATTACAGTATAATATGTTATTAATAAATTATTTCTTAATATCTTTGGCGAAATCCTAGAATATTATCTTTGAAATATAAATAGTTTTCATTATTTATTATTTGATCATAAAAAAATTTTGATTTTAAATTAAATAATACCATATAAGCTATCCTATAACTTTTTTATAAAAATTATTTCTATGTATTAATATGTTAGAATAATTTATTTGATAAAATTAAAATGCAAGATTAAAGATATCAATATTTAATAGGGAAATATCATTTCTAATTGGAATAGTTTAACTTCAATAAGGCTTTTGTTAAAAGGTGTTTAGTATCAAAGGATTAAAGATTTGTTGCAATAAGTGTTAGAGGATGTTATGATAATAATTTAGAGAAAAAAAATTATCATTATTACTATCAAATTTGGAGTTTAGAAGAAAGAAAATGCATAAAAACTTATCAAATAATTTTATGTTCACCTATATCCTAATTCATGTGTGGGTTTTCCGAATGTTCTTAATATTTTGTAAGTTTTAATTGCAATTGTGAAATGACAATAGTTCATTTGGAAGCATAAAAAGAATGCTTTACAGTCAGTTTACCTGGACATTAAGTTATAGATAAATTAATGATTAAATAAGGTTTAGTATTTATTATTGTAGAGCAACTAATATATGTTTATAGTTTAGTTGATGGTACACCAATATAAAAAATAGAACTTGATTTCAAATAAGAGAATTTTTTGCCATTAGATGCATTAAAATTTCTGGTTTCAAATAATTAAAGAAAATCTGTATAAATTTGGTAAAGGATAGATAAGGGAATAAAAAAATAAAAAGAAATATTCCCAAAAAATAGATATGATGAATTATTTGATTTTGAGAATAGGATAATTATTGGATAATAATAAATGTGTATACATTTACTTTCGCCTAGCAAATTATAAATTATAAGGAAAATTACAATAGAATATTAATTCTATAATATTATTATTGATCATAATATTTCTATATTAAATATTTATAGAAGTTTATGTCCAGAACAGAAAAAACTTGTTTATTTTAATTGTTTTCCTGAGATCTAAACTTTTGAGTCCAATCATCATAATGAAGTAGATTATACCTTTGAAAATATGTATTTTTATTCAGGGATTGTTGTTGGATGGGATTATGATAATCCAAATAAAGTAGGATTTATGATATATAAATTTTCAAATTGATAAATTTATGAAATTAAATAATAAATTGATATAAATCATAATGTTTTAATATATCAAAATAATGATTTAGGAGGGGTTTTATTAACTAAATCTACTATAAATTTCATATGATTTGTCACATTTTGTAATGGCAATACTGCTTTCTTACTATTATTGTTAGAATTAACTGTTGTACTTGCCATTGATTTATTTGGTTTATGATATGATATTTTTTAGTTTTATCGAAGAGGTGTTATTATTTAAGTAGAAATTCGTTATTCAATTCTTTGAGGTGTTCTTGATGTTGATATTATTCGAGGTGTGTATTACTATTTTAGATTTGGAGATATAGAGCGTTCTGGTGTTTTGTTTTGACATGCTAATTTAATTGAATTTGCATTAATTTAAGGACAGAAGGGAGTCTTTTTTAATTCTTCAATCAAATGATGTTAATCTTTGATTTATTTATTAATTTGACTCTTTTAGCATCTTTAAAGTAATGAGGAATTCTAATCTGAAATAATTTGTTGTGATTTCTTATTAATTTTTGGTTTGAATGTTAAACCTTTTAATTCTTCCTACTATTTTTCTTATTTCATTATATGAATTTATTCATTCTTTCTCTCAATCCAATAATCAACTTCTTATAGAAATTAATCGACTCTTCGATGTTCTCTATCCTTATGAATATTTGGTCTAAATGAATATTTGCTACATTCTTATTCTTCATTATATTCTTTCTATCTTTTTAATTCTGCAATTTTCTCTTGTTTTTCCTTCATCAAATATTGGGCACGTTAATAAATAGGTATATGATTCATCTTATTAATATACTTTGTTAACGAATATATTGTTATTTTGTAAAATAAACTTAATTATCAAAAAAATAAAGAAATCTTATTAATATATATATATTCATTAATTAGAAGTTGAATTGTTTTTTAAGATATATAATTTTAAATATAAAATATAATGTTATTCATTTAGGATATTGTGATTATTATAATATATTATAAATTATAAAGGATAAATGCATATTATCAAAAGATTATGATTAAAAGAATTTATTATTAATATATGAAGTAGTTTTATAATTATTCTAGTTAATTAATATTAAAATCTGTTAAAAATATAGTTGTTAATAATGAAATCAGATTCTTTGGCAGTAAGTGCTTATATTACTATTAGGTGAGAATTACCAAATTAAGAACCCAATAGGTAGAGGGGCTGGTAGTTTTGTGTGCAAGATTGTAAACCGATTAAGTAAAGTGGAAATGGCTGCTAAGATTATTTAGAAAACATCTTCGAACTCACACAAAATATAGAATGAAGTAATGATACATTCTGAATTGCATCATAAAAATATTGTTAATTTAATAGATGTTTTTGAGGATGCTGATAATAGTTATCTCATAATGGAATTATGTGATTAAGACATATATTAATTAATTAAGAAAGGATAATTTAATGAATAATAAATACGTTTTTATGGTAAATAATTAGCAGAAGGTCTATAATATTTGCATTCTCATAATATTATTCATAGAGATATTAAATTAGGAAATATTCTAATCTAAAATGATATTCTAAAAATTGCTGATTTTGGATTAGCTGTAAAATTGAATGATGATGAAGAGGAACGAAATACTCTTTGTGGTACTCCAAATTATATAAGTCCAGAAATTATAAATTAATAACCATATGGAAAAAAAGTTGATTTATGGAGTATGGGTTGTTGTTTATTTGCAATGGCAACTGGTCGTGGTCCATTTGAAGAAAAGAATGCAGCTTTGGGAGATGTTTTGAGAAAAGTTAAATAAGGTGATTTTGAACTTCCTACAAATTTTACTGAAATTTTTAAAGACTTAATAATGAACTTATTAAATCTTGATGCTGATTAGAGATATTCTATTGATAAAATAATTAAACATCCCTTTTTTGTAGATACTATACCTCCAAGAATTTAAAGTAGAAACTAATCTAGTTCTTAGATCAAATAACTTTTAGATTTGAGTCCATTTGTTAAATAATAGCATAGATCTACTTGTTCTATGATTGGATTAGATAAATAATAAGTAGTAGCTTAGTTTTTATAGAAATAATAGTTATTGGGAGGTAAGAAACTTCTTTTTGGTTTAACAACTAATGGAAAAATAGCACTTAAATAAAATTATCATCTTGATAATGTACCTAGATTCTTTTTACCATAAGAATCACATTCTAATAATACAAGTTGCAATCATCATAATAAAGAAAATATAAATAAAGAAAACATAAATAAAGAGAATATTAGAGAAAATAGTGTTAAAATTAATAAATAAAATTCTTCAACTTTGTGTATTTTTAATGAATCTCCAATAAAATTAGGTGATTTAAAATCTTGTAAATTATAAACAAAAAATGGATTATTATAAATTCATGAAGATGGAAGATTTGAAATGGATGTTAGTAATAAAGATTTGAATTTTATAATCTAAAAAAATGGATAAGAAGTAATATCTTTTAATAATAAATTTAATAGATTATAGTATAAAAAAAGGGTTAAAAGTCCAAATAATATTAATTAAATGAATTACCATAAAAATTATAGAAATTTTATACTTATTCTAAATAAGTTTGTAATGCAATTAGAGAGAAAAATTAGAAATAAAAACTTAATAATGAACATGGCAATTTTGCTTTAAAAAATACAAAATTAGGTTAATGTTATGAAGGATATATTGCATAATCAAAAATTAAAGTAAAATTATTATTAAACTTTAGATACAACATATATTAAATTCAGACTCAATAAAATTATAATTTCATAATGGGAATACAAAAATTGTAAATATTAATGATTTCTAATAACTCTCAACATAAGCTAAAATGGATCCAAATGAAGTATACTCTATTAAAATTGCCCTCAAATATTTACCTTAATGTTAGTAATGATAGTTAAAAATTTATTTATTTATTTTATTATATTTAAATAATAATAATCCATAAAGTTTAATTTTACTTTTTCAGTTATATTATGTGTTAAAGAATGACAATAAATAACAATTAGTTTTATTAGTTTGTTTACCTAGTTTTGAGTTTATGCAAATATTTTATCAAATTAACTTATATAGATGTAAATTTTAATTAAATATTCTTTATCTATTAAATTAATTCCCAGGAATTAAAATTGATATTAGTATATTTAAGTATGAAACTTAAAAGTTTGAGATTCTATGATCTGGTTTTAATTATTTCTTATTAAATTCATTTCAAAATATGACTATCTCAAATGTATTACCACTATTTATTTTTGATCATATAATTAAAATTTGAATTGTCTATATAACTTTTATTTTAGAATTAGTTAAATATGCTTATGACAATTCAAATTAATGAACAACTTTATAGACTTTACAAAAAATTTTAGGATAAAAGAATTAGAAAAATCATTAGTCATAATAATTATTCAACTAAATACTCAACAAACATTCGAGCATTCTGAAGTAATGTTGTTCGTGAAGTTATTTGAGATATGAGATCATCTTTTTCTGCACTCAACATATTACTAACATTTTTCTGTTGCTCACACAAAGTTTCCAATTATTCCTATGGAACACTTAAATGTTTGTAATTTCTAAATTAATAATATAGTACTATCCTAAAATTTCCCATCTAAAGCGTAAATATTTATAATATCGATTTTTCACCATAGCCAATGTTTTTCCATGAAAATGCCTATGAATCTTCTAAAATTTAGGTCCATTGTTAAACACTAACTATAAAATACGTTTATCTTCTTCTTATGAAAATTTTTGACCAGATTTCTTACTACTAATACCATCTGAACCTCTTCTTTTTTTTCTATGATAATCATATTCGTTTTTCTTTTTTTACTTCTTTTGGATACAAATTTTATTAGGTGATCCATTTTAAGAGGATGCTTCTTAATTCTCCTACATCATTATTACTTTCTACTATTTTAATTAATTACAATTCTTTTATAAAATTTTGAGTTATGTGCTTCTATTAATTTAAGTTTTATTCATATCTTTTCAATACAAAAGCGAAATCTATCAAATAAATATTTCATATCTACACTATTTTATTTAAATATGAATTATCTTAGCTAATATAAAAATTTAGCAATTTATAAAAACGATAAATTTATAGTGTAAAAATATTGATATATTTCATTTTCATCAATTAAGAATCATCAATTAAGAAATTAGAGATCATTTTATTCAAAAATATGTTAAGACTATTCCTCCATAATATAGCTATCAATAAAATACATTATAATGTAAAATTGACTTAATATTTAATAATTGTTGATGTTATTTTTAGAACCTAATTATGATCCTCATAGTATTTTAAGAATAATTACTTTTATTATTTTAAATACAATTAGAAATAATCCAATCTTAATCATTACAATATTATCTATTCTAATTAACAAAAAATGAAGAATTTATTATTTCAATTTTTTTTCATTAATAAATTGATAAATATAATAATTTTAAATATAACATGTATTAATGAAATTTATCATTTTTTTCCATTCTTTTATTTAATCCATAAATTTTTAGCCTTTCTATAACTTAATCTCGAACACTAGCTGCAAAATCAACAGCCTTTGATGTCAAATTACCTTTTAGATCATATAAATAACTTATGTTCACTTACACTTAGTTTAATAATTACTCCTTCTTTTTTTCTAATAGCCAACCTCCTAACTTTAATTCAACTCAAACTTTTCCCTTAACAGTTGGTTTTGATGTTAATCCAATAGATTTACCTATCATCCATAATTTATTTCCATATCTGTGTCTCTTTTTAGAGAATGACAAAATCTCTTCCTGAAACCACTATAAAAAAATCCTAGAATCTTTAATAGAAGATTAATTAGTCATCTCTTATTTTTGATATTAGTTAAGCCTTAATTAATAGAAGTGTGAATGAATACTTTTTCACATAATTCATCAAATTGTTTAGCATTTTCTACTCAATTAATAACCTCCATAATTTAATCAATTTTATATAGTAAAATACCTTCTCCTCTTTAGATATTAAATCCACTCGCTTTGAAATCATTATTGTCACTATGAGGTTCCAATATATTTTCAGGAGTGAGAGGTAGAATTTATTAGAATTATAGATGAAATATATTAATAATAAATTTTATACTGATTGAGCTCTAGAAAATATAATAAGAAATGTACAATCAGCTAATTAATCATATTGTTAGATTTATTCGTCTGTGAATTACTCTTATTGAATCATATATTAAATAAAATTAATTGATACTTAACATTTTCTATATTTTAGAAATCTAAAATGTAATGATACTCTATATGAGTAACTCATTATCATTTTAATCTCAATTTGCAGCAATAATCAATATTGATTAGAAAATACTTGTAATCAATAATATTAAAATTTTTATTTATATATATTTTTTTTAATAGAAATCCAATAAATGAATCCAGACTTTTAAATTCTTTAAGGAATCTACTAATTTTAATCACAGTTTTCCAAAATCATTAAGGGTTTATAAGATGAAGCTAATAAATACAATAAATGCTTTAATTAAGCATAAAAGGATATTTAGGATTTTTACAATAAATTATCATAATCATCATAAAAGATGAATAAATAATAGATCAATAATGATTAGGAGTAATAGTAGTAGTGTGATAAATCTCTGAAGACTTTAAAAAACAAATATATAGAATTATCAAAATAATTAAACATTTTTAATGAAAATTTTCTGTAATATTAAATGTAGAAATCAGAATTTGATAATTATTACTAATAAATTTAATTGTCATAAATAGTTTAAGAGAGAAATACACCATTATAAACTTTCTCTTGGTTAATTACTTCTCCTTTATAATTAGATGTTGCTAAATAGTTAACATCTTAATTGAGTTCAATAATTTAACAATAGAATTTATAGTTTAACAATAATGAATAATTAAGTAATTTTTTTTGTGAGCAAACCATTAATATTTAGAAATAAATTGAATAATTAGAATAATAAAAAATATTAAAAGCATAAATTGAATTATAAGAATAATAAAAATTAGCAGAAATTGAAGAACATAAAAGGTAATAATAGGAGATATAAAAATAAAAGGAAGAACTTGAGTAGAAAAATGATATTGATAATGAATAAATCGATAATTTTGAAAATCTTTCTGAAACAGAAGAATTAACATAATAATGTTAAGAATGTGGATAAATAATTAAATTTAATAATTTCTTAACATAATGTTTGCATTATTATCATGAAGAATGCATAATTTAAAAAATCAAGGCAAATTATTAAAAAAGAAGTATTTATTGTTCTTGTAATACTTTGATAAATTCTAGAATGATCAAAGATGTATTAGAACACTCTAAAAAAGATCAAAATTAACTTAGTTTTGAGACCTTCTAATATTATTAAATTAAATAATTATTAAAGAAAAGCAATAAAAATATTACAGAATGTAAATGTGGATTCCTGTACATATCTGAAAAAGAAGAATAAATAGATATTTGTATAGAATGTGACAAATGTTTTTGAATTTTATTTTTTAAGTATATAATAATAATGTATGTTATAAGTATTAGATCAATATATATTTATATAATATATTTCAATTATTAAAAAATAATCAATTGAATTGCATAGTTTCATAAAATGAGAAACTCTTATCATAATCCAATAATATTTGACTTTGAATAAAGATTTTTATATTATTGTTTTGATATTAATTATTTTAGAATATTAAAAAACCTATAATTATTTAAATGGATAATTAGTACAATCCATTTTATAACAATTCTTTAGAGGCTAATAGAAAGACTAATTTTTTAGCATCAAATGGGAAGAGAGTAGTATAAGAATAAAAGGAACAAGTATATAATTATAATATTGAAACTTTTAGATATTGTTAAAGGAAGAAAAATAGAGGTAAGAGAAAGCCCAATAAATTGAATATGAAAGAAAACTATTGAATTAAGAACCAGTACCTGTTTATTTATAAAGGGATGATCGATAATAAAAGGTAACTGCTTCGGAGAGAAAAGAAATAATAAGAAATTTAGAGAATGAAGCTAATAAAAATTCAGATGGAGGATTTTTTGCCAAAGTATTTTAGCAGAAGGATAATAAAGATTAATAGAAATTATTATAAAAATAAGCATATATAGAAGAAATATAAAAATAAATTGATGAGAAGAAAAGAAAGAAAGAAGATGAGAGATAGAAAAAGATGGAAGAGGATCGATAATATGAAGAGAGAATTATAAAGGAAAGAGAGGGAATGAATTAAAATTCAGTTATAAAAGATGAAGATAAAAAATAAATTATCAAAACAATAAAAAATAGACATCTATTATAATAATATGATGAATCAAAAATGATTTTTAATGAATTTGATGAATAATAGACTAATTTAACAAATAATAATATTGTACCTAATTATTTAAAAGAAAATTTAAAAGAAGTAGATGATAAATTTGAATAAGACTTAAAAAATAAAACTAATCCACATACACCTTTTACAAAGTTGTAATCTTAAAGAACATTATAAGATTAGAATCCCATTAATATTACTTATAATCATCCTAATACAGCTGGAAATGCATAAAATAATAGATCATTTAGAAATAATTCTCAACACAATAACTCTTAAAATAATTAATAATTATAAATGTAATATGAATAATAATAGATGTAATAGTAGTATTTACTTTAATAACAATATTTTCTTTAATAATAATAGTAAATTTAAAATTTTTAATAACCTTAATATTATCACTAATTTGAATAAAAACCAATAATTCCATAATTAATGGAGAGATTTTAAAGAGAATTTGAAGATTTAAAAATGATGAATAGAATAAAAAGTAAAGAATAAGAAGAAGGAATTGATAAATTGAGAGAATAGATTGAAATGTAATCTTAAATGTGGAATGAAGATTTAAGAAAATTAAGAGCTGAAGTTCAAATAAGTGCAGAATAAAAGAACAAAGCATTTTATGAATTAGAACATTTAAAGGGATAATTAAAGAGATAAGAATTATTTGAAGAAGCATAATATAATAATTAAAATTAATAACAACAAGCTAAATAGAGTAATGGTTGGAATTAATAAGATAAGAAATTGATTACAGAAAATGAATATTAAAGAAGTTAAAACCAAAGTAGATAATAGAAATTTGAAGATAATTTTAATTTTTATAATTCATTTGAATAAGAGTGATGAATTATATTATTTACTAAATAAATATTTTATTTTAATGTCTTATAATATCAATGAAAATAAATAAGGAAATTCAACAAATATGCTCATTTCAAATTAACCAATAAATATTCAAGCACACAATCTATTGAGCAATACTAATATGACTAATTTATTAGAATCTAATAATCAATTTTCATAAATAGTTAAACCAAATGGTTCATAAATCTTAAAGTATTAGGAATTATGTATTAATATATTTATTAATATATTATAGTGGAGTCTAAGATTTCTTTATAGAAAAATTAATCACAACAATAATCTAAGATATAAATTTAATCATTAGATATTAGAGGTGGTAACTAATTATAGAGCAAATTTATTGATACTGGAGTTAACTTACTCTAATCAAGAACATTTTAAGGATCTTTCGTCGAATAAATATAAGACAGATCAAATATACAAAATTCTAATTCTCATATAATAACTACTGAAAATTGGACAGAGAGTGATTATGCTAAGCAATTTGAAGAGTGGAGAGATTTAATCTAATAAAATATAGACTTTATAAATTAAGTAGAGAATGATAGATCATAAATTCAAGTGTCGAATATTCTCTTCTAAGAAATATTAACTATTAAAATGAATATCATAAATAACTCATTTTTAACTAAATTATCTGAATATGAAAATATAATTAAACCATATAAATATTAAATGGCAATTAAGAGTGAAGAATTATATAAATCTTTAGAAATACTTAAATAAACTAATTAAATACCTTTTAATAAATATGCTAATTTCTAATTTGAATAATCTTAGCCATTATTGAAATCACAATAATTCAATCAATAATTTACTAATATTAGTTTAGAGATATAAAATTAAGCCAATTTAATTAATTCTATTCTTTAATAATTAGGAAATTAAAAAAAATATATAGAACCTTAATAAAATTACCAATAAATATTAGAAAATGCATTCAACTCATTGATTTAATATGTTAGAGAAAGAATGTCCTAATAAATTAATTCATTAATGTTTATTCATGAAAGAGAAGTATTTAATTTAGAAAGATAAATTTATTCCTAAATCCAAGAAGCCGATAATCTAAGCATTACAGTTCTATCAGATAAACTAATGATAATTGAAGCATAATTAGAAAAGATATAAGAAAAGAAATAAGAATTAAATAATTTTAAAGAAAGATTAAATTAATTAATGAACAGAAATGTTGATATATTCTCTGAGTATTTTGATGATGTGATTATTTTGTACAAATAATTTAAGATCTATCATGAAGAAATAAAGTAAATCTAATAGATTCCTAATTAACCAATTTTATAAAATCTTTAAATTAAAATCAAATAATAATTATATATTGCATCAAAGAAGATTTGGTTAAAGATTAAACAATTCTATTTCAATGGAAATAAAATTAAAGAATTCAATGAACAAGAGAAATTTCAATAATTTAACAAATATAATATTGAAGTATAAGTTTAAGATATCAAAACATTTTTGAAACAATTATAATCAGATTATATAAAAAAAGGTAATTAAGTTCCTTTAGAAGAATCTAAAAAACTAAAATAATTAATTTATAAAGCAGAATGTGAATATAGAAATACAGATTCATTGAGATTGTAAATATCTTAATTAGAACAATAAGATATTATTGGATATAAAAATTACATTATTTAATAAATAAAACCTAAATTTTTTATTGATTTTAGTCAATTGTATGCTAAAGACTTTTATGATATCATTTATTTTTAATATGCCGATTCCAATATTTTAGGATGCATAAAAAAATTGTTATAATTCAAATTCCCAACTTTTGATTGGAATGAGAATATTGAAGATGAAAAATAGAGAATTTAAATAGTAGTACAAAGATATTAGGAAGTATCTAATAAACTATAAGAATTAGAGAAATTATATTCAAAAGAGACAAAATTTATTAAACAATTAATTAATTGGAAGGCAGAATTATTTAAATGTATTAACATTTTAAAGTAGTATCTTGTTATTAAGGAAGAATTAAAAGGTTAATTAATTACACTATTGAAATGGCCTCAAATAACATCTAATATCTAAATAATTAATGAATTTAGTGTACATTGTGAATAAATCAGTAGACAAGCAAATTAATATGTCTAAGCAATTGAATAATTACAATAAATGTAATTAATATAAAGTTTAGAATCTTTATTTAAATAATGGAATCCAAAAGTAAAAGACTATTTAATATAATAATGTAATTTCATAAATTAAAGTGTATTCTCTCCAATAATTAATGAATATATGTAAATCGTCTATTAATTCTTATATGTATGTATGGAATGTTTAAATTATGATATTGATGAAATATTTTGTAGAACTACTACATATTAAGAATTTGAAAATATTTTGGATGGTTCAATAAAATTATAAGAATTAAAGAATATTATTGATACTAATATTCATAATTCTGCTTTGAGATACAAATTATTTGAAATTATTGATAAATTTATGAAAAATAAAATCATTCTTGATTTTTAGAATTTATTCGAATTAAAATTATAACAAAGCAAACAGTAAACAAATAATTTTAATCCAAGAGAATTAGTAAAAAGAACAGACTTAAAATTTCCAATAATAAGATCTGATATTTAAGATAACTTCTATTGTAAATAAAATATGGATAAGATTAATTAAATAATAGACTAAAAAGAGTTAAGATTAATATTCTAATAATTTAGAGAATTATTAAATAATATTACTGTTATTATTGATTAAGATAATTTAGTGGCAGATATTAAAGTTAATTAAATAACTATTATTGAATTAGCTTGTATATTTGCATAACAATTACTTATTCAAAATGAATTAACTAATATTTAACCTCTAATAAGATTTCATTAACAATTATGTAAGTTTCCAAATACTAAACAATTTCAGAATCAACTTATTAATTTAGGAATTGTATTTCCTATTGAATATAATAAATATTTAGAAGCTTGTAGAAGAAGAGTTTAAAAATTGACTCAAAATATTTGTATAGAATTTGAATCTTATGATTTTGATGAGATTTCCTAGGCAAAATTATTGATTAATAACAATGAATACATATTGAAATAAATTGATTTTCCAGTTCTTTATACAGATGCAAAGTCATTGATTTTTGAATATCAGCCATTAAAATTTAATTGTAGCTTAAATGTTAAAATAAATGGGAAATTGTTAAAATAAGGTTAGACTATTCAAATATGATGTATTTTTTATTATAATTTCATTTTGCAAAAACTTTCCACAATATAAACACCATGACTAAAGCGATGATTAAAAATGCAAATTGTTAAGCATTTGCAGGTGTACCACCACCAGCTTACCAAGGCTCTTATGGTGATGTTTTGTCCACTGTCCCAATTTTATATTTTTCTAGCATTTAACGAGCTCCTGATGTATGACCTACATTTCCATCTAAAAATCTTAACCTGTTTCGTTGAAATCTCTAGTGGCATCTTTACCAAAACGATTTTACAATACTGCAGGACCTCCTGGATGTTCATTGAGATAGGGTGTTGGATCATACACAACTCCATCTATAACAAGCCATCCATTCTTTTGATGTTATCCAACTTGTTACCAAGTATATATGCTCATTAAATAAATAATTTAATATAAATTAGAACAATTACAAATAATAATAAATTATAAATAAATAATATGATTAATTAACTTAGACAACAATTTTCATTATATTATAAATGATTGAAATACCATAAATATTTCTATAGGCATACTAAATTTATTCAAAAATAATGTTTCATTAATTTTAAAATTAAATCTTTTTATTTGAAGAAATTTGATTATAAAATTGAGAATACAAAATATTTGATTATCTTAGATTACTAAATTAAAAATAATAAGATTAATATTTATAAAATTATAATACTGAAAGAATAAACTCGTTATATATTATAATGTAGTATTAAATATGATAAATTTAATAATAATCACTAAGAGATAATTGAAGATAGTTTTTAATTCAATCTTACTACAATTAATTTCAAAATAGAAATCCCTCAACTATTTTTAAAGTAATAAATGATATTTTTAGAAAATAAGACAAAATATATTAAAATACTAATGTTTATTATTAATTCTATTTAATAACTTTAAAATAAATGATGTAATATTTTTATATAGAAATTTGTAGCATTTATAGATTATTTTGTATCCACTTTATCACATAATTTTTTATATTCATCCTCTTTACTACATTAAATTCAATAAAGTTTAAGATTTTAGTTAAATGATTCATTTATACTACAATAATCCTATAAAAAGTGATTTTCTACTTATTGTTAATTTTATTATAAATAAATGAAAAAATAACAAGTTACTAAATTAATGTATTATATTTATAATAAAATTTAACTTAATGTGATTAATTTTAAATACTTGATAAGTGAGTCATTCCTATATATATTACTTCTATAATTTATAGATCAATTTAAATGTAGATGAATTAATGTGATTAAATAAGGATTTAATTTTCTAATTTTTTTTACATATTTATAATTTTATTAAATATATTAATAAAAATGACTTAATCTTCTTTAAGATAAAAATATTAAACATTGCCAACATAATAAACTTCTTTAGAAGAATATTCAAAATCATATAGTAAGGATTCAGATATTTTTCTAAAATAATTAACAATGCCTTTAAGAATAAAATTAAACTCCTACAAACCAATAGCTAAAAATTTATTTTGTAAATCCCTATATAAATAACACTATACAGATTACAAAAGCGAAAGAGTTCAACCTATAATATAAGACTAAAATATGTACATTTTAAATACTTTGGAATTAGATGCTGAAAGTGTATACAAAAGATCGTATAGATCAAGAACATTTGATGAGAAAACAGAACCTATAAAACCTTTTAATGTAAATATTACAAACACTTTACCTATGAGAGGAGCAAAAAGTGTTTATTAATCCAATTTTACCAAGAAATAAGTTTCAGGATAACCTAATAAAATCATTTAACCTCAATATAAAAGGATGGTTTATAGTGTTTGGGATAAATGTATGAAAACTCAATATTAATACCATCACACAGGAGAGAAAGGGGAATTAACATTGAAGATTACTCCGAAATAGAATTAGCTTTTCATAATGAATTACCAAAAAGCTCCTGAATCGCAATATAGATATGATTATAGAATGAGAAATATAGGTAATTCAGTTGAAATGAATTGAAATAAATTTTGATTATATGATATTTGTAATTTTGATGATGTGATAGAGTAATAATGGAATAGTTGGTTATTAGATTATGATATAAACTGAATAGAATTATGATCACATAGTTGTTTTCTCCCATTTCTCAAAATCTTTGAATCTTACGGTAAAATCAGTATTGTTTCTTTTGGCTTATGAGAAACTCTAATGAGATTATTATAAAATTAATTATACAGTAATAAAAGATTTGGCATCTTCACCAGCATTCTCAAAAAGTTAGCAAAAATCTTCAAATTCTAATTGAGTTAGTTAGAAATCCCCTAGAAAAGATTCTAAATCAATTTTCAATTCAAATTCCTTTTAGATGATATCGATTATAGTTTATTTTTATACATAACCTGATCTATCAGGTTATCCTCCTAAAGCAACAAATGCATCAACTAAGAATAATTGAATTAAAAAAATACTATATTCTTAAGTAATTGTTTCCTCATCTTCTAATTGTTATTAATAATTCTTCAATTTACAATAAAGATCACATATTTATTTAAGTTCAAGTAGTTTACCATCATAAGTTTTTATTTCCTCTTTAAATTTGGCAATCATTTTTTCATTATTCAACAACTTCAAATCTACATTATGAAATTAAAATCAATAACCTCTCATTATATCATCAACTTCATTTTTGCTAACATAACCAGTTCCTTTAGGATCATATCGTTTAGCTTAAGTCATCAATTCTGTGATTTCGATTTAATTGAGGTTGAAGGCACTTTTTATTTATTGGATAATATCAGCTTCAAGTAACAGAGTTTTCCTTTTCATAAAATTATTTTTTATATTATTAAAAATTAGATATAATAGATAAATAAAATATGTTTTATGGATTTACATATGATTTTCAAAGGTTGAAGTTTCATTTTATATAAATTATTATAGATAATATTGAAGTATGTTTACTAATATAATTATAATTAAATAATCATAGAATTAGATTAAACAATATATTATTATTAACAAATAACATACTCAAGATTATTTATATTGATAATCATAAGTTTCTTCAAAATTCTTCTTAAACATTGCTTATATATGTTCCACAAATAATTCGAAAGTAGCAAATTTATCTGGTTTAATTATTTCATCTACCTTTATTGACAACTAAGTTGGTCTATATTTATGAATATAATATATAAAATACCCTAAACTTGCATGAAACTTTCTCTCATTAAATGCTTTCTCAATACCCAAAACAATGATTATTTAAGTATCTATTTTACGATCATAAGCATATTATAGCATTCCAGTCTTCATCTTTCCTACTTTATCACTCTCATGCATTCTATGACCTTCTGGATAGACTAATAAGTTTGGCCTTGAAGCTTTATCAAATTTGTTATCAATCCATTTAAAGAAGCTTTTTAATAATATTATATATATTACTTATTTAGATCATTGCCTCCTCTTCTAAAAAACCAGACTGATTAAGTAAACAATTATTGAAAGATAGCCAACATTGGAAATGCTATTGCTACCATCCATCTTGCTAAGAAGTTTGCACTATATTAAGAAACCACGTCATGAATAAAAAAATCTCCTTGTGTTCTATGATTGAATAGTAGTATTGTCTTCATTCAATAATAAAAGATTACTCTCTTATTTGTTTGCACTTGTTTAGAGTTTGGTAAATATCTGAATTACAATCTTAATGTTTTGACAGCTAATCGAGACCAAAACTCTTGTGCTCTTTTAGGTTAGAGTGTCAAAAATGAATAGATAGGGCCAACAACAGATAATATGAAGAAGATGTAAATCACAATCCCAAAAAATTTAATCATTATTTCTTTTTAAAACCATATAATTATTGATTTATCTTTGCTAATTAATAATCTAGAATTCCTTTTTAACAATTAAAACAATATTGTTCTAATATTGACCAAATTTCCCGAGGAAATACATTACGATATGAATTTCCCGTTTCTTACGGTCATAGATAAATGAATATTTTGGATGATCTATAATAATAATCAATCTTATTATAACCCTTCTAAAATATTCGAATACTCATTATTTTTATTTTCAAATAATGCTAGAACCTTCTAAAGAATTTTAAGAAAAGGCAAAAGGAAGATAAAAATTTTAACATTAAGGAAGAACAATATATGAATGGGATTAAACATTAGATGATATTAATATATACATAGAACCGCCAAAGGCAGTTTTAAAAAAATATGAAGATTAAGTGAGATAACAATTAAAACCAGGAGAGCAAATGCCAAAATTAGATATCTAAATTAAGGCTGATCATTTAAAGATTGGAATTAAGGGCAATCCTCCATTTATTGATGAACCTTTAGTTAAATAATGTGATTCTAGTGAATCGTATTGGTTAGTGGAGGATGAAGAACTTCATATAATATTGCAAAAGGCATATAAAGGAGAATTATGGCCAAGTGTATTTATTGGACATGGGAAAGTGGATCCATTGACAGAATAGGAATTATAAAAAAAGATGCTTTTAGAACGATTTTAAGAAGAACATCCAGGATTTGATTTTTCAGGAGCTTAAGTTAATGGAATGGTACCAAATGCAAGAACGTTTATGGGAGGGATAAAACATAATTGAATTAAAATTTATTATGAATATATTATAAGAGTATCAATTGCAAGAGTGTTTGGGGAATGGATCTTATGGGATAGTACATAGTGGTGTGAATGTAGAGAGTGGGAAACGAGTGGCTATAAAGATGTTAAGAGAGACCTTTGAATCAATTGAAGAGTGTTTAAAATTGAGAGAAGTTAAGGCGTTGATGAAATTGAAGGAGCATCCAAACATCATAAAATTGCTCGACAGTATGCATAAGTGCATGTGTTAGTGCGATACGAGAATAAGCGCCTGTACTTGATCTATGAATATGTGGAGAACAATGTGTACTAGCTATATACATAGGATAAATTGGATGAGGATAGGATAAAGCATATAATATTGTAATGTGCAAATGCTTTACTTCATATTCATCATTTGGGATACTTTCATAGGTATAATGAATTATAGTATAAGTAAGGGATATAAAGCCAGAGAACATATTGATTTAGAATGAATGTGTGAAATTGATAGACTTTGGCCTTTCTAGAGAAGTAAAACCACCATTTACAGATTATGTATCAACTCGTTGGTACAGAGTAATGAATAAAAAAGATTATAAGGCTCCTGAAATTCTTTTGCATTAAACAAGTTATGATTCTTAGATTGACATCTTCGCTTTGGGATGTGTGACATGTGAATTATTTTTGGGGAGACCTTTATTTGTTGGTGCATCTGAATTAGAATAATTTGATAGAATGTTATAAATATTGGGGTATATATTGATAAGTCAAAAACTTTTAGAACTTTCAATAATTAAGATTGGAGTGAAGGTGTCAAATTGGTAAATCAATTGGGATTGAAATTGACACATTACCCATAAAAGTTGTTACATGTGATTAAAGCATCTCCAATGGCTTTAGATTTGATATAAGGAATGCTGAAATGGAATCCAAAGTAACGATTTACAGCTAAACAAATAACTGAACATTTACTATTTAAATAGTAATAGACAACACCAGAATTTGCACCAAGAAAACTATAGGACATTGGTTAATAACAACAGGAATTGAAGAAGTTTACAAATTAAAAACAATAATACTAATCGAAGAAGTGATTTTATATTATTTTGATTTATGAGATAAGTGTTTGGTACATCAAGATTTCAGAACCAATAATTCAATCCATCATAAAGTGGAGCCAAATTAGATTCCAACATGAAATTGCATTCTAATTACAAGAATGTGGAATAATATACATTAACAAAGATTAATGAAGAAAGACCATAAACACATCAAACTTTTGGTCATCGTTATCAATAATAAGATTTTGAATTCTTAAACTTGTATGAATCAACAAAACAACTTGCATCAATTTAAATACAATATTGTGAACCTCATGAATTGGCGGCTGATTTGATTTTAAGATATAATTTAGTTGAAGATTCCACTTTAATAGAGGAATAAAAAATTGAAGAATCAAAAGTTGTACAATTCAATAATTTATGCTAAATTCCTAGTGTAATGAAGATGGAATTTGACTAATGATTAATCATAATATATATATATATATATATTTCATAAATTTGCTGCAATACTTAGTTTATTACATGTATCTTCCAATAAACTTAATAAATGTTCTTCAGATTATTCTCTTGTTCTCTTCTCTTAATCTAATTCAACTTTCACTCTATTAACAATATCTTTTAACATTTCAAATATTGATTATTCACTTTCATCTCTATTTCTCTTCTCTACATTAATCAAATTACTTAACTTAACCAATTCATCTGTAATTGATTTCATTACCTATTAAATAATAATTATAATAATTTACATTTTGATCTGCCTCATCTCTTTCATTAGCTTCTTCTCTAATAGCCTCTTAAATCTTAGGCAAATCATTTTATAGACCTTAATGAATACCCTCAATGGCATCTACTCTTTGGGCTGTCTCCTTTTATACTTCAGTTCTTAAAAGTGCTGTTTTATCTTCTGTCAATCTAAGAACTTTAGCTTCACCTTCCTTCTTTGTTTATTATTCATTCTCAATGGCATTCTCAAATTTCTTTGTTAATGCTTGGACTTCTCTATTCTTGGCTTCATTAGCTTATTCCTTTGCCAATCTATCATCTTCAACTTACTTTTATAATTTGCCTAACTGTTAACGAACATTTAAAATAATGTAGATACTTAATCTCTTAATCCATTTAGTTTTGTAAAGATTTACTCTTAAAACTCATTGAATGCATCTTCTGCTTATTGAATTCGTTATTCAGCCTATTCTAATTTTTAGAATCTCTCATTCTCCACTCCAATTTAGATAGTTGATAATTTCTCAGAAATCTTTTATATTCTTCCTGTACTTGGAGATGGTTATACATCTAAAACCCTATAATACTAACAATATTACATGCAGATTATTTTACTCTTGACATCAGATATATATATTTTAATTATTAATTTTATTTGTCATAATTAAGTATATAAAATTATGTCAAAATAATTCAGAAGACTAGATAGTGATAGTGATCTTGAAGAACCAGAATCATTAGTTTACAAATAAAGTAATACCTATATTAAATCATATAGTGAAATAAATGTAAAGAATGTAAGGTATCTCTTAAATGATCACTGAAATCATATAAGAAGAAGAGCTTTCTGAGGTTGAAGATAAACACAAATATATGAAGAATTTAGTTGGACGTAAACTAAGTTAATTAGACAGTCCAACTGAATCTGTAAAATCTGCACAATCTTCTAAACCATTCTAAAGTCCGAAAAAAGCTCTTAAACGAGATACTATATTTTTTGAATAATCTGACTTCGACATACTAAGCATTAGAGAATATGATTATATAGAGGTATCATTCTCTAATTAAAAGTAGATTAAAAAATGTGAAAAATGTGCTATTCATGAACAAAGTGAAATTGAAGGAAGAGCATCTGCAAAGAAGATTGTTTCTTTACTTAAGAAACGATAAGATTATAATCCTGATCTCTAAAGTGATTGGAATGGATTAGAAGAAGTTACAACTTATTCAGCTGATAATCAAGAACCTATTGTTGATTATAGATGTCATATTGAACCATTACCTAAAATGGAAAAAGTAGAAATTCATGTTTCTGATGGAGTTTATGCAGTATAATAAGATGGATATTGGCTTACTAAGATGCATTCAATTAAAGAATTTATTAAAGATCTTCTTACATTTGTTGAAATAGCTAATGATAAGATGATTTCTAGTTGGTGTTATTCACGTAATAAATATTTGGAATAGAAATTTAAAATGCATTGTTTGTTTAATAGTGATAGAGAAAGTGAAGATTAAAAGCGTATTAAAAATAGAGATTTTTATAGTGTTCTAAAAATAGATACACATGTTCATCATAGTTAAAGTATGAATGGTAAATAATTACTTGAATATATGAAAAAGAAGTTTAGATAATGTCCTGAAGAAGTTGTATATTTAGATGATAATAAAGAAATGACATTGAAAGATATTTAAAAACGATTTAAATTCAAAACTGAAGAATTAAATATAGATCTTTTAGATGTTTAAGCAGATAAATCTCTATATAAAAGATTTGATCGATTTACAAGTAAATATAGTCCTCTTGGATAACCACTTTTAAGAAGTATCTTTTTGAAGACTGATAATTATATCAAAGGAAAATATATTGCTGAAATTACTTAAGATATGATTAAAAATATGGATAGACATACATATGCAGAATGGAGAATCACTATTTATGGAAAATCAAGTAGTGAATGGAGAAAGAAGGCTTAATGGTTAATTAAAAATAAATTACAACATCCAAATATTAGATGGATAATATAATTACCTAGACTTTATTCAGTATATAGAAAAAGTGGAGAACTCAATTCATTTTAAGATATGATTGATAATATTTTTAGACCATTATTTGAAGTCACAATCAATCCTGAAGTTGATTCAGATTTATATCAAGCATTATTCAGTATATCAGCATTTGATTGTGTTGATGATGAAAATTAACATGAGAATTTCTTTCTATAACATTTAAAGATCTAACCTATACATTGGACTAAAGATACTAATCCACATTATGCTTATTGGATATATTATATCTATGCCAATCTATCAAGTTTAAATCAATTGAGACAACAAAGAGGTTTAAATACACTTGATCTAAGACCTCATTGTGGTCTCAATGGAAATATTGATCATTTAGCTTGTGCATATTTATTAGCTAGAGGAATTAATCATGGTATTATTTTAGAATAATCACCTGTTCTAAAGTATTTGTATTACCTCAAATAAATTGGTATATCCATGTCCCCAATTGCTAATAATAAATTGACATGTAAATATGCAGATTCACCTTTTAACAGTTATTTCAGACAAGGACTCAATGTTTGTTTATCAACTGACGATCCCCTTATGTTACATATTACTGATTAACCTCTTCTAGAAGAATATGCAATTGCATAATAGATCTTTGATTTATCAAATGTAGATATGGCTGAATTAGCACGTAACTCTGTTCGATGCTCTAGTTTCGAATCTATTATTAAAGAATTTTATGTTGGAACTCAATATGAAAAGATGTATAAAACTACAAGTAATATATAATCATTTATATACCATAGACAATCCAGAAAGAAATAATGTACCTTAAAGCAGATTCCTATTTAGGTAAGAAACACTTAAAGAGGAATATCAATACTTGCAAGAACTTAGCAAGTCTTAATGATATTTAATAAATATTTAATATATTATACATTATTTTAAATTCCCTTATGTCTTAGATATAAATTATGAAATAAAAATTAATTTGATAATAATCTATATTAAAGAGAGAAATTTTTAAAGAAAGCCTTGAAAAATATCATAAAGACTAAAGGTTTTCAATAAATAATTGAGAGATACTTTAAATTATATATTAATAATATTATTATTTTAATGTGTACTATATAGAAATAAAATAAAATGATTATAAATATAAATTTTATTTCAAAGTATAGAAGATTTATTGTTTTATGTAATAATCCAAAAGTCTTTCTTTTTCTTAGGTAAGAAATCACGAAACCTTCTCTGAACTATATCAGGCATTTTAATTTCATCATAGATATATTATTTTAATGGTTTCTCAATTGAAACAACAATAGTCTTATGAATTGCTTCATTTTTTGATGTTACTCTAGTAACTGCTACATCAGTTTTATGAATTGTTGCATATCTAACCTTTACTCTCTTTTAACAAGCTTAATTATATATTTATGCATATCTAGAATGAGTCTTATCTAATACATTCATTTCTATCTAACTCAATTCTTTATTACTTGAATTCTTTGTTCCAGATAATCCAATCAAATATTCACTATTTTGAGCTAAAGCTTCAGTTACTCTTTCAATTCTCTCAGTCCTATTTAATAACTATGTCTTAATATATTAATTTATATATATTTAAGCCTCTTAACTGGGCTAATCCGAAATGACTTTTTGATAGAAATCTTCATTACTTATTTTATAGCAACTACCTTATTTTAAACATTTAACTGTGAAATATCTTTACTTATTCAATAAACATTCTAAGTCACCAAATAATTAATATATTCCGATTTCACAAATGGTTATGTTTTTCCATCTATTTCCAATAATCATTTTCTTTTACAATTAAAATATTCCATCTCTCACAAGATATATTGTAGAGGATGAATCTCCTTCATAATAGACCAATTAATTTTTATCAAATATTTCTATTTAACAGTTTTTGAGCAATCTATCTATCATTACTTTAGATAATTATCCAAATAATTGTGAATGTCTAAAGAATTCAAGTTGCTCATTAGTGTCTTTCAACTTAGCTTTCCTTTTGATATTTTCAAAATCATTTTTGTTTATAGTACCAAATTTTGTTTTTGTAATACTTTTTATAGTCTATATATATGGTAGATTTATCAATGCTTCTGTTCCAAAGTAAGATTTTTTTATATTAACTTCTCCTTCAATGAGTAAATAAAAAAAATGTCCAATCTCCCCAGTCTTTATGATTTCCTCTCCTTCTTCAAATTCTATATAATGAATTTTCTCTAAGTATTCACTCTAACAATTTATTCCTCCCAATTAGTTTAATTTCTTGATCCCTTAATGATTCAAAAATATTTATGATAAATGTTTAAGATGATTATCCACTTTTTATTAGGATTATTTTAAAATTTCTTGCATTATTAATAAAATGAATAAATTGCATTAACTATTTAGAAGATGCTTTATCAAAAAGAATATTCTATATTTTATGAAGATATCATTTTTAATGATCTTAATACATTATTTAATATACAGTAATATATCTTCCTCTTCTTATTATATATATATATATATCAATTTTAATAATTAGATAACTATTCAATATGATATTTTAATTATTAATTTATTCATCAAATTTAATTATGTTTTGAATGAATCTAAATGCATCTCATGATTTTTATTGATTAAAATTTAATTCTACTTATATCTTTATTAAACACTTTTAAAATTATTTATTTGCTGTTTCATTTGATTATAAAATTAATTCTAACTCAATCAGAAACTACTCTTCTTTAATACATATATATATATTGTTCAATTATATTTATGTTAATATTAAGAAAGGATTATAAAAAAGAAAAGAAGGATAGAATTATTTATATTAATTCATAATAAATAAAATTCCAGAAGGATAAGTGTTATAAGGATGTTTATGTTTTTAAGTGATTAGATAAACTTGAAAGTTTAATATAAATTTTATATTTTACTATCTATTATCAAATTATTTAATTATCTATAGAATTTATTAATTTTAACCATCATTTTATGACAATTTTAAATTTTAAATTACGATATAAACGATTTATAATATTATTAAATTTATAATATAATTTCATTGATTCATTTGAATGCAATTACACCAATCTATTCATCAGTTTTCATGATTTCATAAATAGCAAACTAAACCTTGTAAATAAATAAATATAAGATGGTTTCATTCATTTTCTAGTGATGTTTAAACTTATTTAAAATGAATATAGAATATGATATACCAATTTCTTATTTCATAAATATGCATTTAGATATTATTGTTTTAATAGTTTTCTGTTTATTACTGATATAGAAGATGGATTGATAAGAATTATTATTTTAAAATCCAGAACATTAGAGCTATTTATTATAAAAATTAAAAATGAAAACAACCAAATTTACATTACAAAGTTATGTTCGATCTTGCACTTTGTTATCAGCCAATCAAAATCCAATACGATTAATGTTAAATCCAAACACAAAATTTAATGACATAGCTAAATTGATATAAATAGTTTGGAGATAAAATGCTTAGTAATTAAGACTCTTTTTGATTGATGGAACTGAAATTGAAGAAAAAGATTTAATTAACATTAAAAAAGGTACTAATTTATATGCTCAATTGAAAAATGATGAGAATGACTTAAGTAATTTAAAATTAGAGTATGATATAATCAAAAGAGTGGGAGAAGGTGGATAAGGGGTTGTATTTTTAGGAAAACATAAAGGAACAAAAGAATTAGTGGCTATAAAAAAGATAAGCTCATCAACTTGGTAAGACTAAGACTTGGAGATCCTGGAATAAGAATCTCTAATCCTAAAATAATTAGATCATAAAAATATAGTGAAATTATATGAAAAATTTGTATATTCGAATTAAAAGGAAGTGATTATGGTAATGGAATACTTATTTGGAGGTTCCTTATTGACATAAGCAAATTGTAATATGAAAATTTAAATAATAGCTAAATTAACTGAAGGTGAGGCTAAACATTTTTCTCGTTAAGTAGTAGATGCTATAGCTTATTGTCATGAAAGAAAAATCATTCATTGTGATTTAAAATTAGAAAATATTATGTTATCATCCCTTTCTTGTAAAGAAGTAATAAATATTAAATATTTAATCAGATAAAAATAATTGATTTCGGAGTTTCGAATTATGCTGGATAACCATTAATAACAGAAAATGTTGTTGGCACTTTATCATATCTAGCTCCAGAAGTATTGTCTAATTCATATAAATTTATTCAACCTGGATAAGATGTATGGGCTGTTGGTTGTATAATATATGGATTAGTCTTTGGAAAGCTTCCATTTGATGGTAATAGTCCCTCAGAAACATATAGAAATATACTTTAATGCAATTACTAAATTAATAAAAAATAAGTTTCAAAAGAATTAATACATTTATTAAGTATAATATTTGTAGTGAATCCAAAAGACAGAGCAAATATTTTCGATATTCAATCTCATAATTGGTTTAAAGAACATGCTAAAATATTTAAATTAAATTTAAGTGGAATTAATGTTCGAATAGGAAGATCATCTAGTGTTGCAAAAATGTCTTCATCTCGCAAATCATATGATGAAGATTAAGGATTAGTCATAAGTCAAAGAAAAATAGTATGTAGTAGAAGATCTGTAACTAGATTAGATAAAGTGTCATTTGCTGTTAAAATTAAATGATTTGTTTATAATTTCTTAATTATTTGTAATGAGTATGAATATATATATATATATATATAAATTAATTAGTTAAATCATTCTATTTCTTCTTCTAACATTCTTATATCATTTAATTATTAGAGATTTTTGTAAATTAAGAATTGAGAAGCTTTTTAAAATATAATTAATATTTACAATTTTCTAAATTTATGATATCAACCTTTGGACTTAATCTCACTTATATTTTATAGAATAATTGATTATTAATCAATTTTTATTTAAATTCTTCTGTTTTATCAAATAAAATGCTGATTTTTATTAATTAGAATTCAGAATTACTTTTTGTATCAGCTAAATGAACAAATATAGTTTTTCCATTTGAATTAAGTCTAACAAATGTTTAGAAAAGAATGACTAAGAAAATGTTCAGTAATTATTAATTTGTTAATCCATATATGTCCTCAAAACTATTACTTGAAAATTCAATTTATATATGTTTATAAGCCATACTATATGTATGTATCAAATCTTTAACCATTTCTGTAATATTGATTTATTAAATTTTTTCTTCTATATCTTAAAAACTGTTGCATTAAGTATATTTGCCAATAAAATACATGCAATGAATTTTTAATTTATAAATATGTTCAATTGTATTTTTTGAGTTTATAGCATTTTACATCAAATTCAATTATTTCTTGAGGAAATTAATAGTTAAATTTTAATGTTAATTTATTCCTTAGATAAGAGCATCCTTCAATTTTGAAAGTTAACGAATCTTTTATTCATGTTAATCAAATTCTATTAAAAATACTTATTAACCTAAATAAAAGTCAGATAATCTAATCACTGTCTTTTTTGATTCAGATTCCTAATCAAATCTTTAAATTCTTAAACTATGTAAGAATATCTTTTTATAATCACTACAACTTCTTGTTCTATTCAATATATATTATTCAAGATTATCATTTCCCATTTTGTAAGATCTCAAAAATGATCTTAGATTTTCTGATGGTGCCTTTTCATTATCCCAAAAAATCTTTTACATATCATTCTACAATTTAAGATTAAAATTTATTCTCTCATCATCAAATGTAAACATTAAAAATGGATTCTATATTATTACTGGCAAGGTTTATTCTAATTTAATTTATTGACTTTACCCCATTATTTATCAGAAAACTATAGTTAAAAATGAGCTCTCTAATTTTAATCATTTTAATAGATAAATAACAATATACAAAGAGTAGTTATTATTATTTATATGAAATCTTAAACTATGAAAAAATCATTAACCAATCCAGAAATTAATAATCGAGATCCAAGAAATACTATTAATTAAATTGGAGCTTCTTATATACTAGAAAAGTAGAACATAGTCATGTTGAATATCATTACATTTTATCCATTAATGTAAATGCATTAAGGGTATTTATAATAATTAGCACAAACTTGCAATACACATAGCAAATTGTTTGTAAATGAGAAGATGCTCTTTACCTTTTCTGGAGTTCCTTTAAAAGAAACACCTACAAGAAATATACTATAACAAGCAAAACAGATTTCCCAATACATAACTTCATTATTTCCTTAAACAATTGAAGTTATCAATCTGGCTAATGCAAACAATAATAGTAATATCGATAGAATCTTTCTCATCCAACCATTTTTTATCAATCGATCTAATTAATAAGCTTTTTCAATTCCAGGTAATGCAAATTACAAAGACAACTTCTTTTTCATTTATATATATATATAAATTAATTTACAAGTTTTATCACATCTGAATCAATAATTTAGATTTAATTAATATAGAAATACCAACAAATATAAAAATCAAAAAACAATAACAAATAAAAATCAAATAATTTCTTCTTGAATTTTGCGAATTTATTCTAAAGCTTCTTAATTTTAATATAAAAACAGTTTTAGAGCTAAAATATAAATCCTTTTTATTACTTTTATGTATTATATTAATCTCGAGATTTGGACAAAGTCTTCTTTATATTTTCTAAAATAAGGGATTTTATTCCAATTCAAACTTTAATTCTAAATAACATTCAGTTTAGATTTATATATAAATTAATTTATTGTTGTTGTATTCCAAACCAAAAGATATTATGTTTTTCAAATCTATTGCTTTTAATCTAATTATTATTTAATAAATGATTAAAATAAATGTTTAAATTAATTCCTCATTACTTTTTATATAAATATCCTAAAATTCTAATGAAACTAATTCAAAATTTTATGTATTATAAGCATTACAAAATAAATGAGTTATTTATTTCAATAATTTACTAATATTTATATCTTTAATATTAAAATCTACTTCTGAAAAGCTATTAATTTAATTAAATTATCCAAGAAAATACATACAATGTAATTTTAATTTTGAAATCTATTGCTAAACATTTTAATTTAATTTTAAGTTTGACAATTAAAATAATTATTTTTTTAAAAAACTTTAAGTAATAGATTAATTTGAATTTAAACATTCTATAAATTAATCTTTTATTTTTTTAAATTGTTCAAGTTCTAAATTTGATCTATTAAAAGTAATCAAATAGTATTTTTCTCCCAAAAAACATTCAGTATAATTAATATTTAAATGATCATTTTAATCCAAACCTATAATATTAAAACTTTTTGTAAACAAATAATCAAATTTCTCTTAAAATTAAGTTATTCTTGATAAGATAAATTACTCTAATGAAATCTATTCAAAATAATATTTCCTTAAGAAAATCCTTAAGTTTTTTGTAGGTGCATTAGATTCATCCCAAATTATAGATGTTATTTTATTATCAAATTTTAAATTAAATTACTATTATTTTTCATCAAAATTTATCAATAAGAATTAATTTTATACTAATAAAGGTAGAAAGCGAACTAATGTATAAACAATTTATTTACATAATTAATTATCAAAACATTATTAACGAAAACTGTTTTTTAATATTTTATTATTGTAATAACCATATAAGAGAATTGCAAAATCACCTATCAATTAGTAAATCAAAGAATATGTATCAAATCCATCATTAATAATTGTAATCCAAACTTTTATTCCTATACTGATGATTATTTATATCAAAATCATATTAAAATCAATAAAGCTATAAACTATCATATTAAATATCATTAGTAATTAGGAATTATCATAAATCTCTTAAAAATTCTTTGTTTGATAAACTTAAATCTACATTAAACAAAGTATAAAACATGTCAATGAATTAGCTATTTTTTTAATAAATAGTTTTCCTTTTATTGATATTGCTATCTATAAAATTGTTTGTATCACAAAACCCCCTCCACCCATAAAATAAAACTTTTTATCTCCAAAAAGTGTTGATAATAATCTTGTTATTGAATAAATAAACATTAGTAAGAAGACAAGTCGTTAATATTGTTTTTAGCCTTGATAGATAAATTCCCAGAAGGATGTTTAGACGTTTTGATCTAAAGGAAGATTTTTTGATTTATTCATAAAGATTATTAATATTATGGCTTTTTGTCTTTTAATCTTATTTATATGATTGAAAAGTTGATTATTTTTACATCTTTATATTAATGTATAGTAAGTAAATTTCAAATCAAATAAGCGAGAAAACAATTACAATTCATAATTTTATAATATTAAAATCTATTAATATAAATAAAGACATTTAAGATAATAAAAAAAGATGAATATCTTAAAAATAGTCAAAATCAGATTATTAGTTTATATTCCACAATAAATTTAATAATTTAATAGCAATTATTATTATATAAGATGATCTATTGATTTATTGAAATAATTAATGAAATAAAATATTAAAAAGTTGGAAAAGTATAAAAAATGAAATATTAAAGTCTCATAATTTTCTTGGAAATTTCTGGCAATCCTTACAAACATTTTATTTCTTTTAAAAAGTTAAATCATATCATCTAATAATCATTAAGTTTTGAATTGTTAAGAATATAATAAGAAATAGGGATGATAAATAAATCACTATTATTAGTGATTAATAAAATAATGAAATAAAATAATATAGATTGATAATACATTTTAAAAATATAGACCATTCAGCAAATCGAACGGTTTGATAAATTCAATTTGTTATTGAATATTCATTAATTCTTATATTTACTATAAGCTACTCTTATGTAATACTCTAAACTGCCTGTCTTTTTAATAAAATTGAAATCTATGTTAGAAGTACTTTTTTAGAGTGAATTCATAGGATTAATGCAATTAACACATTATTAGTTGGAACGATTAAGGGAATAAAGTCATTATTCATTAAATAGATGAGTTTAAGTCTTCAATTTTGCCTCTCTATTTTAAGACCACTAACTATTCCAGTTTCTAAAAGTAAAATTATTGTGTTAATTAAAGATAATTGAATAATTATGGATTTAAGAATTTTAGATAATCTGCAAAGCAATGTGAATTTTATAATGAGTATTGGACTCATGATTACAAAAGAATTAATCAAATAATAAGGAAAAGAAATATCTAAGAAGATGTCAATTCAACATCAACTTTTATGTCTTCTCTGTTGTTATTAATATCAAATTAAAAATAGTTAATGGCAAATATAGAAATGATACATCAATAATAATCTATGATAAGTTAAAACATTTATAATTTACATACAGAATCAATGAAATAATAAGACTTAATTACTAACTTGCCTGAATTGCAAATTTGATTAAAAAATCATTCATTTTTATTATTGATTATATCCCATTTATTATTATTATTTAAATCAATCTAAATATTCACAGATCTATGTTATAAAATAAACATTATATTCATTATACTATATGCTTTAACCAACAAAAGATGAATTCAAAAAAATAGATACAAAGCAGAGATAAAAATTCTTAAAGCGCTTATATGATATCTTAGATGTAAGATCTATAAAAATAATTAAGAATCCAGATAATTTTGAAATGATTAGGTGGTCAGAAGGTGGATTTGTAATTTGGAATGTTGAATAGATGAAAAAATACCTTTTACCTTAACATTTTAAGCATAACAAGTTTTCAAGTCTCATGAGATAATTAAACAAATATGGATTTAAAATAAAATTAAAAGAAGATGAAAAAGCTTATTTTACACATCCAACTATTAGATAAAATAATAGAGAAATAAAAAGAACATTTAAAGATAAGAAACTTTAAATAAATTAAGAAATTCAAAAGGAATTAGACTTATTGAACTAAGAATTAACTAGTATTAAAACTAGGCAATGTTAACTAAATAAATAAATGCAGATTTCTGTAAAATTAATGTTAAAACTATAACAATATTATGAGAATCTAGTTAAGGTAATATATAAATGTTTAAAATTACTTAGACTGCTTATTAGAGCATGACATTTACAAATAATTTTAGGAATTTAATGTATTCTAATCAATAGAAAATTTTTGGGCAAGTTGATGGCGATCTTTTCATGGTAGATTCGATAAATTATTATACAATTAGTTTGCTTTTAATATCATTATTTAAGCCTTTCCTAGTCACCTTTTAACATAAAATTTGACACCAGCTATCAGTGGTAATATTACTCCCTTGCCCTTTTATTATAATAACAATATTAAGGATGAAACAAAAAATGGAAATTCTGATTGATACAATTATAGTTATGAATAATTTTAATAAAATATATATAAGAGTTATATTAAAAATCTTTAAAAGTAATTTTATCTTACTTATTATATCATTATTATCTGTTAAAGATATCTTTTCCTATCAATTTTTGCATAAGCACTACATTGATTAGAATGATTTCAATATTGGTTATTTATTTTGAAGCAATTAATAAGGTTTGTATGTTTTTGAATGCTTTTGATTCAAGAATTATTTTCTTCTTAATCAGATTTTTCAAATGAGATTAAAGAAGTTATTTTGTTATTTTGAGTAAATATGATATTTGTATTAAAGTTCTGAAAATTAGTATAAGATTTACTACAAAGGATTAGTTATATTAATTGAAAATTAATATATAAAAATTATCCAGGCTTTCTTTTGGCTAAAGGTGAATCCTCAAATTTTAGACTTTATATGATAAAATATAACGTATATTGATTATTGAATGATTACAATTATCTCTTATTAGTTTTATTTTTACATAGGATGAAAAATTGAGATAGAATATAAAATTTAAAAATATCTGGAAAATTCACTTATTTATGGTATCTTACACTTCTTTACAAAATTATAATATATTTGTTATCAATATATATAGTACTCTTATCATTGTTTGTGTTTTATCAATTTTTAGCAAGATTTATCTTCTCATGTAAAGAAATTTGGTTGAAATCCATTTAATTCATATATGTATTAGTAGTTAATTAGAATAACATTTAGATTTTAACTATTCTCTTTAGAAATTATGATTTTGAATTGTTGATAATATACAGAATGTAAAATGCTTGAGATATATTAATTGTAATATACATGGCTATTAGATAGTAATTATTTTCAGTTTGAATAAATAAAAGCATTTTTAGAAAAGGATAATTGATCTTGCTTGAACTCTTAACATAGGCTATTTTTCTGAGATTACAATTTTAAATAATAATAATATAATTAAATTTTCTTCCTTTGTATATATAAAAATATGTTGATGTTTTAGTTATCAATATTCAAGTCATCAAATTTATGAAATTGTTATATATAAGAAGGGTTAAAGTATTTGTAAGTATTTTGATATAAAATTACAAGACTTTTATGAGGATGATTGTCAGAGAGAGTTTTCAATGAATTACTGATACTACTTAGTTTATTGTAATTATATAGTATTGAAGAAAGAGAAAAAAAAAATATCAAATTTAACTTAGGTTAATGTTTCTACGTTAGATGATTGAATTGGTTTGGATGTTTAACTTAAATTTCTTTATTTTTTTGGACTGTTTATTTGAGACTTGTGACTTTTGAATTTTGAGCTGCTAAAAGAGCTATTTTAGCTCTACTTCTTGTTCAATTTATAGATATTCTGTCATTTCACTATCAAAAGATTCTTGTTTGCATTACATTTGTTCGATGAGTATTTATTATTTATTTATATTTTTAAATAAATAAAAATCCTAATTAATTTTATATAGTCATAAATTGAACTGGATTTAACTATCATATTGTATTTTGAATATTATATCATATATCAAAATTTGATAGTTATATTAAAAACTGAGATAAATTTGGGTATTCAACTTTATTATGAATAGTTTTTTATTTTTTATATTGCAAATTCTTAGAAATAATTGAAAACAAGTAGTCTAATATATGAATCTAACTTTAAAAAATATTAAAATAGTTGATGGTTGATTATTTGATTTGTTTAGAATAATTCAAATATATATATATATATATTATTTAATTTAGAAATAATTAATTGACATTAATGTAGTATTAACAGTTCTCAGAGAGTGAATAATAACAAAGTACATTAAATTTAGGATTATTTTATTTATTTTACAATTCTGGTAGTGGGAGTGTTAAAGCTAATCAATTTAGTGTATTGGATGTAATAGTTGATTAATAATTTAGTGTGCAGATATCACTTTAATTATTGATAGTAAAGAAGTACAAATCTCATTCTTCAGCATTTAAAATGTACCTTCTAGAAATTAGGGTTATAATAAATTAAAGTAAGATTTAAGATCAAGTACTTATTTTTATAATTCAGATAATAAATAAATTCCAATAATCATAGCAGGAGGAGATGGTTCCATGATGTGGGTGATTGAGTAAATGATACAATAGAAAATTGATATTAATCAAATAGTTATTATTCCATTACCTTGCGGAACAGGAAATGATTTTTCAAACGCATTAGGTAGTCTAACTATATTTAATCAAAGGATGGGATACTGATATACCAGGAAATATGTTAGAAAATGACTATCGTATCTTAAAATAATATATAAGATCATGGTAGAAAGGTCATCAATGTTTTTTTGATATTTGGGATATTACTATCTAAACTTAATAGGATGGATATTTTTAAGAAATAAAGAAAAACGATAAGGGTTATACTAAATAAAGCATCAAAGATTTAGATGGGATGAATACTAATATTTTAGAAAAGAAAATGTCCAACTATTTTAGTATTGGAGTAGATGCAAGGATTGGATATGGATTTGATAAGAATAGAACAACTAATAGACATCTTAATAAAATTTGTTATTGTTTATAAGGAATATAAAAAATGTTCTTGAAAAATCCAAGATTAAATTAAGTTGTTGAATTTGTTGAACATTTTGTATTTATTGAATATAAATCATTTAGAATCATAAAGAATAAAAGACATTATTTAAAACTGTTAATTGTTAAGATAAAAATGCTTTAACTGTTCCTGGCAATCCTGCAACATTAGTATGTTTGAATATCAATTCATATGCTGCTGGAATTACAGATATTTGGAAAAATGGCAAAACTCCATAAGAATTTTTACAAAAGAATAAATTATATTCTGAAAAAACTTCATTCTCTGATGGATTATTAGAATTTATATCATTTGATTCTATTGCAGGAATTGGATCTGAAAGGTTAAATCTTATTTATGAATCTTAATTAGAGTATTGGCTGGTAATGCTACAAGATTGGCTTAAACTAGTGGACCTTTACTTATTAAATTTTAAGAATCAAATAATAACAATACTGTAAATAGTTACATTTAAATTGATGGTTAATATTTTTGTATTGTCAATCCTTTGAGTGTTGAAATTTAATCATGTAGACAATTACCTCAAGGAAAGATAAGAATTTTATTGAAGGATTGAAGAAATTTACAAAAATATTTGTAATTAGAATTATAAAATTAAAGTCATGATTTACTGAATGGACTAACAAGATAAGATCGTTATTTTATATTAAAAGAGTTTCCTGTTTTTGTAGATTCTTTATCTCTTGAAGATTGCTGTTAGTTTTTACTTAACTCTAAGTGAATACTAGGTTAATGACTATGTGAAGTCTTAGAAACCTTCCTTATCTAACTACATATTAGATTTTCTCTTTTTTACAACATCTTTTCAATATTTTCTGTTGTAATATCTTTGTCTAGCATTTCCTATTAATATTCTAGAACTTCATGTGCATATTAATTGAGACAATCATCAAAATGATCATCCAAACTTTAAGGAGAAGAAAAATGCTTCCTTAATTTAATAGATTCAGTGCTTTAAGGTATCTAAGGAATTTCAGGTATTTCAAACATTTTTTACATTTAATTCTTACTTGAATAATTGAATATGTATTTTGTTCTATTAAAATCTTCAGCAAATGCTATAGTTTTTTATGAAACAATCAATTTTTGTTGATTTTTTCTCAAATTCATAGAGAAATCATTATTTTAATCAATAATTTTTAACATTTATTCACTTTATTCTTAAATATTATCATAAATATGAATATTATGTTATAATTCTTTATGATTTACATTTTAAGTCTCCTTTTTTTATTTATAAAGATCACTCAATAATTTTTCCTTTACTTTAAAATCATCAGTTCTAAGTTAATTAAAAACATGTAGTCTATTAAATAAATCATGATCATCTAATTTTTTATTTTGATTAATCTCATTAAATAATTCAATATATTTCATTCCTTTAGTCTTAAGATATTTAATAGGTTGATTTCTTTTACTAATTAAATCTAATTTTGCCATAGTAATTTTTTCTTTAAAATTAGGATCACTACTACTGAAACTATATTTTTAATTAAGTTCTCTATAAAATTATTGTAAATGAGCTATTTTGTTTTTAAAATCATTTTTTAATTTCATTTCATTCTTTTCTATTTCTTTTTATATTGCATCATTATCTTAATCTAAATGCAATTAATTAATATCAGCTATTGTATCTTTATTTTCATAAAACATTTCTAATCCAATATTTTACCATCCATTTATTCTTTTCTACATTAATATAATTAATAATATTACTTCTTTGTTCTCTTTAGGTCGCAATATCCTACACTTACTAGGGCCATCTTGTTTAATTGTAGTATCCCATTTACAAATTCTTCTTTAAGTAAATCTTAAAGCAGTATCCTTATCACATCTCTTCATCTTTAATTAAAATTACATTTTTGATTAGATGTAGAAATGTTGCAGCTTTTGTTGGAGACACATATAAATCTCTTCTTTATACACCACCTAACTTTTAACAATACTTAAAATATGGTATCTCACTTAGTAAATTCAATTCATACCTCTTCTTTTTATATTTATTACATAATAAATAAAATATAATAAAATTGAAAATAAGAATTTATTTTATAATATAACATTTTAATTACAAATTCAATTTCATTCAACAATTTATCTTGCTTTTTCTAATTCCAATAGTCTTTCAAACATTTTAAATCTCAAAAATCCATAATCAATATATTCAAAATTCAATGAATTCTTTTCATGAGCAAGTAAAACACTCCACCAAACCCAATTTAAATTGGATATCATTTGCAATCTTCTAATTCTTCTCTTTAAATAAGATACAGATTAAAAAAATTCATTAATCTACTTTTCATTCATTCTTTATATTAAAATCTATTTAATCAAACTGATAAAGGTGTTTAATTCATCTTTATTTTTATTTGTTTTTTATGTGATGAGACTAATAATTTAATTAATCTCATTTTCTTAACAAAACTAATGAATTAGATAACATAAAGCTAAAAAGTGAGCTTAAATAGGAGCAGTATCAAAGTTTTCATCAACTAACACATAATATGGTTCATCTTCATATTAATAGTTGATGGCTGATTCATTAAGAAAATTGGCAATATCATATGAGGGATAATTGTAAGAACAATATTCAAAATCAATAAAGACTATTTCTTTGTCTTTTTTTGTGGTACTAAATATATTTAATTAATTTAAATCATTATGACAAAATTTTAACTACAAGTTATTATTAAATATAATTACTTCTTCATTATTCTCTTTTTAAATCATCTCTTATAAATATTTAAATTCTTCATCATTATTTAAGAATTATTCAATATTTTCTAATTGTTTGAGCTCAACATCTGTAAATAATTCTCTTTTTTCAATTTTCCTCATTACATTATTTTTCATATTCTTTGATAAGGTTTTGGTAAGAATTAAAGAAGTACCATTATTAGGAATGGGTATTTCCATTTAATGAAATTTTTATAAGACTCCCATGGATTTGAATTGAAATAAAGATGAGCCCATCTTTTCATTTGTTGGATGCACACCATTAGTAACGAATTCTTCCATTCTCCATATATCACCACATTATAATTATTTAGGTCCTAACTCTAAATCAGAAATAGTTTTAAAAACTATTCTTTCTTATTTGGAATCTACAAATCCTTCTGCATTTCCAAATCTATTATTAAAAGTTATTATACTCTCTAAACACAATAGTTTTGGGTAAGATTTCTTCTTGAGTCTCAACCTTATAGGTAATATTGGTCAATCCAGCTAGTCTTGTTATTTAGATTTTTGATGGATTGATTGATTGCCAAGATGTGAATTCATCTGCAATTATATGTTTAATTGCATATTCAGTGAGATGTGTACTTCTTGAATTCATTATATAAAATATGTGTTTTGAAAATCAATATTCCAGGTATACAAAGGCACAATATTGTTGTAATTTTCAGACGTGATTAATCCAAATTTGACGTGGAATTTATATTGCTAATTTATTTACAATTATTTTTATGTAAACAATTTTAAATTTTTATAATAATTCTTATATTTCTAAATGTATATACTATAATTAGAGATTCTTTAAAGTGAAATATATATAATTATGAAGTAATCACTCTAACAAATACAAAAGAAATAGATAATATTTAGAGAGAATAAAAGAAAATTAAATGTTAGGATTTAATAAGAGTTTGCTATCATTATGTTTGTATATTAAGAAGGCTATAAAGGATATTATGATAATAAGTAATTCTTAGATTAATAGACTAATAAATAAGCAGATATATTAAATAAAAATTATAGGGAAAAATATACTAATATTTTACAGATCAAAAAGAGGAAAGCTTAGTAGATCACTATTAAAAGTAAGATGTATAAAAGTTCTTATATTAAAAATAACTAAATATATAGATAAATTGAATAAATTAAAATGATGAAAGCTGAATCAAACAAAATAATCTTAACCGTTTGTAATCTAAATATAAATTATAATAATAGGAATAATAAATTTCGAAGTATTAATAGTATCAAAATAGCTAGTATCCATACATTAATCCTAGTTTTATAATATTAATTTAAATACTTTAATTGACAAGAAAAAAAAAAATTAAACTTATTTAATTAAATTATTTTAAACTTCATTTTCTAGTGTTTGAAATTGATCTTTTACCATAATTAGAATTCAAAATCTTTTAATAAATGATATATATTGAATTATACATGAATATAGATATTTAGAACTAATTAAAACAAACATATATTATAAAATTTAAATAGATTAATATTGATTAGGATTTAACATTTTTTAGTTTAACTTATAAAATTTGAAAAATACTTTATTCATGAATATTAATATTCTATATTTTCACTAAATAAATAAATGTAGATAGTAAATTTCAAGTTAATGATTAATCCGAATTATTAATTTTTATTTTATTATAAAACCTCAATATCTTCCTAATGCTTCCATTTACATAATTTCCTCAATTCTTCTAATGTATTGTAAAATTATTATATTAGACTCTTAAACTTACAATTATCCATACTCATATATGGAGCAATTCAACTAATTTCAACAATATTTCTACATCAATAATTACCTGTTCTAAAACAATCAGTAAGCTTAATCAACTAACCTACTTTTTGAAGGTTATAAACAACCTACTTCAATTATCAAACAAGAAAATTCTGTAATATAGGAACAATGCCTTATACAATAGTCTAATTTTGAACCAGTAGAAATTGTGAAAAACCTTGAAAACATTAAATCACCCATACTCTTGAAAAAAAGACCTAAATTATAGTTATCCAATAATAAGGGCAAAGGAAATAAATCAACAAAAAGAAAGTTATATAACATAGGTAATATTTTTAATTTGATTTTTTTAGGACATTGGACAACTAAGGAGCATAATTTGTATTTAAGCTTTAGAGAAAAAAACAAAGAGATTATGTTAGATTCAGACCTCAAGAAATAGAACAAAATATTTAAATAAATGTCTAATTTTATAAAGACTAGATAACCCAGTCAATGTAGATCTCATCATCAAAAGTTTGGCCCTAATAATTCAACCTCAAACAATACATCCAATTTTATAGAATGCTAAAATTTTGGAAATCATGAATGACATTATAAGTAATAAACAATTGAATTTGTTTTTAATTTAAATATCTATATTTTTCATGCTTATATAAATTTTTTAGTATAAAAATTATTAGAACATATATAACATATTTTTAAGATCTCAACTAAACTTTAAAATGATACTCTAATACTAATATTAATATAATAATATTTAAACATTTATATAATAATTTATAATGGCAGACAGCTTTAATTCGAGTGGATAATTTTATAATTATGTTGGAACAGCAGGTACAGCTGACTTTTTACCAGGATCAGGTTAAGAGCAATAGTAAAGAAATTTATATAATATTTTAGATTGAGTTTCGGTAGGAATTATTTAGTTTACAATGATTAACAAGCAGGGAGTTTTTAGAATAATTTTCATCAATCTTAATTGATAGATTCTGAAGTAAAAAATAGTCTGGATTAATTTTTTGAAATGAAAATAGAGGATGTTAGATTAGACAATTTATTAATTCAGGAAGAGTCTTCAAATTAATCAAAATAGAAATAATCTATACACTCAGATATGAATAGCAGATCACAATATTCTGGAGATCAAGATTTTCGATTAGGTTATAAATTATCTATATTATATATAGAATCAGCAGAATAAATTAATAGTAAGTTTAAACCTGAAGTTAAAATGCTCATCCCTTAAAATTAGGGTAAAAGCATATATCGAGACAAGATTGATTCTTTATTAGAGAAAAGAACATCAAATAATAATTCAGTATCTCCTTCAATAACTCCAAGATCATCAAAGAGTCAATAGAAATTAGAGAGAAAGCGATCCTAAAATTTATAAAATGAGACTTCAAATGAATTGACAGATCCTACATAATTAAAATTGGCAAAAAATAGGGAATCTGCAAAAAACTCTAGAGAAAGAAAAAAAATATATTAATAATTGCTAGAGAAATAGGTGTAAGAATTATAATAAGAGAATGAGAAATTAAAGGATATTTGCAAGAATCAAGCCTAATCTATGGAAATAGTGAACAAAAAAACATAAAAAGTACTTAAATTATTTAATTATATATAGTTTTAATTATTTTTAGAATAATAACAATAGATGTTTGAAAAATTGGAATTATGTATAATAAAAAAAGCTAGTTTTGATGAAATTGGAATAATAATGGATGCATTAAGATATAGAATATAATCAAATTCTTAAGAAAGAAATGATACTGCAAGAGTATATTTTGATAGTATAGCTGAAATAATGTTACCTATGTAGGTGAAATATTTATTATATGCATGTTAAAATTCGAAAGATATGTTTGCGAATACTGACCAGTATGATATATTTTGTTATTTTATATTAATAGAGATTACAGTGAATGGTTAAAGGAAGGTTTTGAAAGTACGAATGTTAAATTTGAGAATTTCACCAAACTTAAGAAATTTTAGACAAAGGTTTAATTATTAAAATAAAATATTTCTAAGTACTATATTAATTCATTTATTAAGTTCTTTAGATAAAATTAAAAACGAAATAAAGTCTATCTAAGATCAAGCTTCTAAAATGGATTAAGTTTGGGATTCATTGAAATCAATATTGAATCCACTCTAATTAGGTACTTTGATGTGTTCTCTTTATCATGTAATAGTGTTAGAAATGATTAGAATCTTTATAGAAATGAATTATAAACAAGCACATTATTTGCTTAATTAAAGAACTCATAAGCTGAAGAAGATGATTTTTCATTTAAAATAGAGGAGGAAATAAATTATGGAACTAATAAAATGGTTAAAAGGTGTTGAGAATTATTAAACTTATATATATATAAAATTATTATTTTGTTTCAGTGAATTTTGAGAATGGCTGATTAAAAAATAGTTTCTATCTTTGATTTTGGAAAAACTAGAAATAAATTTTGGTAACCTTGTGATAAATCTGTCTTAGATGTACATATAATGAATAATATTATATAAGTCTTAATCTTTTTTGATCGAATAAGAATTCTTGACAGCAGGGAAGTTAATGGTCAAACCAATATTCATTGTGCTTGGATTAGAATATATTTACAAAGTTACTGTTGATAGATTAAAATGTGCTCCACTTGCAACTATGCATTTCACTTTAATTGATCCTGGAGCTGATCATATGGTTTAATTGAATTCTGATGAACAATAATTTGGATTTAAATTAACATTTCAAACAAAAACATTGGATATATTTCTATCTGATAAATTATTGTATGATCAATGGAAGCAACATTTCAGAAGAGTTTGTTTATTAGAGAATTTTCATGATGCTTTCATAGTTTCAAAATTAATAGGAAAAGGAAGTTTTGCTAAAGTCTATTTGGCAACAAGAAAGGAGAATAATTAATAATATGCTATCAAAGCATTTAGCAAGTCCTTTATGTAATAATAGCATAAAGGAATTGAGAGTTTATTAAATGAAATGCAAGTGATGAGAAAATTAAATCATCAAAACATAGTCAAGTTGCATGAAGTACATGAAACAACCAATTCCATTTATTTTGTTGTTGACATAGTAAGTGGAGGTGAATTGCTATAAAGAGTCAGAGAAACAGGTTTTCAATTCAGTAATTATTAGGCTTTCTGCCAGCTGAAACCCTTTAGAAATTGGCTTATAATTTATTATCAGCATTAAATCATATACATCAATTCTAAATTGCACATAGAGACTTGAAACCTGAAAATTTGTTATTACGTTCAAATGAAAATAATCATGATTTAATATTAGCAGATTTTGGTTTGGCTGCAAAACTAACTGATGAAAATATATTATTTAAAAGATGTGGAACTCCAGGATTTGTAGCACCTGAAATCTTAGATTATGTAGATGGCTAATAATTTTATGATGAAAAATGTGATGTTTTTAGTGCTGGTGTAATACTGTATCTCTTGATAGTAAATATTAATTATAATTATGTAGACAGGAGGATAACCATTTACTGGAAAAGATTAAAAAGCAATTTTAAAAGCAAATAAAGATTGTTAAATAGATTTTGATGATTCTCTTTTTAAATCAGCTCCAATTTAAATGTAAGATTTAATTAGATCAATGTTATAAAAGAAACCATCTTATAGATTGAGTTCAAATGAAGTATTAATATTATTAATTATAGTGTTTAAGACATCCATATTTCAAAGAATTAGTAAAATAATAATAAATTAAGTAAGAAAAATACTAAAGCAATTTATCAGAATATAATTAATAATTCAAGAATAATGTAAAAGTGGGTTCAATAGATATGACATTAGAATAAAGATAACCAGCATTTACTGGTAATCTAAACTCTATTGAATCTATTTCCTGTGTTTCAAATGGATCATTTGCTAAATTAGAAATGAAAGCACCTTCTGTTGTTGGAGCTTCAAAATTTAGTTAATACAGTTCTCGGTTGAATAGATTAGGTTCTAGAGATATATCTGGTATTATTAATATTTAATTTTTAGATATTCCTAATACATAATTATAAAAGACAGAATCAAAAAAACATATAGATTTACATAGAATAGCAATTCAAAATTCACATAGAAAATAAATAATAGATTAATTTGAAGATTAACCTGTACATTAAGAAAATTCAGATGTCTCTGATATGGTCAGGTTATATAATTCAACAAGATAAATTAGAATTCCTGAAAATTTATCTTAATTCTCATAAACAAACAAATAAGTATCTACTCCAACTAATAAGAATTCTTGAATTTTGTTATTAATCATTTACAATAAGTATATCATTATTATTTTTATCTTAAATATTTTTCTATTATTTCAGTAAATAGCATTTATATTCCTTCTCCAGTCTTTGCAGAGGTCTCATAAAATACAAAATCTCTTTATTTTGAATATCTCTTAGCTTCATCTTTAAATACTTCTCTCTCTTCAATTAAATCACTTTTGTTCCCTGCCATTCCAATACACAAATCTAAACTACTTACATTATATCAAATATACTACTACATCTCTCAAGTAATTCTTATTCCCAATAATAAATCTATTCAAATGCCTTTCTACTTGTAATACTATACACTAAAATTGCTACATTAGCATCTCTATAACATAATTATGCCAATGATCTATAGCGTTCACCTCCTGCTGTATCCCAGATATGTAATTTTAATACTTATCCCTTAATTATAATCTATGCACTCTAATATGCAACACCTAGAGTTGTTTATTCTTTTTCTGATAGCTAAATCAATTAGAAAATATTACAGTATCAAAACAAAACTTCTAAATAAGACTTGTCTTACCAACTCCACTATCTCCTAAAATTACTATTTTAATATTTTTCTATTCTTATTTCAATTATAGTTATTAATCCTTTATATTTGTTTTCTTATCTTCACAACACATTTATATTTTAATTATGTAAATTTTAGATAATTCAGCTTTCGCTCTCAAAAACTAGATTTCATTAATCATAAGTAAATAAAATCCTAGTATTCAAAAAAAAATGATAAAATGATACAAAATTGTAAATAATATTGTTTATATTAGAGTCATAACTTTCTTAAAAAAAAAGGATTAAAATTATTAGAAGTAATAATTAATTAAACTGGATAATATAATATAATCTAAATTCTTAAAATAACTGATAGAATGATTAAAGTTATTTTATAATATAAATAATCAAAAATTTGATATATATATTGAATTTATTAATTCTTATATACAATATACAATAATATAATAAGTTACTTTATTTAAATAATGAATCATAATTTATTTATATATTATTCACTGAGTCAATCAAATTTTATTCATACTTTTTCAATTCCAACAATTCTAAGTATGTCATTTGATAAAAATTATTATTTTGTAATAAATCTTTGAATCATTTAAATAAATTCACTTATTTTAGGTAATTATTCTGATATCATTAAAGCTATGTTTGCTTATTCAGATAAGATATTCACATATTTCTATAATTTTAAGGATTGGTCATACAATTCTTCAACATTTATTTTAGATTTGTCTCTTCTTAAATTTTCTACAGTAGATTTTAAATTTGTATATAATGCCTAAGCTTTAGATAATTTTTTTTCTGCTACTAATAGTTCTTTTAAACTTAAAAATAATTGTTTCACACCAGTTAATATTAATTGAACTTCATTTAATTTTTAATCCAAATTAATAATTTTATTTTGTATCATTGCTTACATGACAACAATTATTTTTGGTACTAATTTTTGAGCTCCTTTAAATTAACCAATAGGTTTATATGTATCATCTGGTTCTTAAGCTTCTAATATAATTATTTCTATCATTTTAGTTTTTACTAATTCTTCTTTAGTTTTTAAGACTTGAGCTTAGTTGCTATTCAATATATCTTATATTTAAACACCAAGTTATATATTATAATTATCATATTTTTAAGGCAAAATCATTCTTTTTAGAATTTTCTAAGCCTTCTCATTTTAATGTTATATGGCTTCACATCTTAATTATAAATTATCCAATTCATATAATTTATCTAATATTCGACTTTCAAATTGACCCAAAAAATTAAAATAAATATCTAAATTTATTTAGTAACTAATTTGATTAATTAATAATAATATCTTACCCACTCTATACTTTGGTTACATCTTCTATCCATTAATAAACAATTATGCTTAAATGTGCACTAACATTATCTGCAAAATCAACATTAATTTCAGCTAAAAAGTTTAACAATTTCTATAATTATTCATCATTCAAAACATAATTCTCTTACTCTTATCCTCCATGTATTTATAATAATTAAATTTTGTATTTTTTCAATTTATGATATAATGCATTTGATACATCAATTAAATTCATATTTAATAATCCCATCAAATATCCATTAATACATAATTTCTATTAACAATATGTTTTCCATCTTGTTTTTTATTGATAATACTTTTCACTATGATGAATTATTGTATTTAATGATTTGAATGATGTATAACTTAATAATAATATATCCCTAAGTGATTTTAAGTAATTAGTGAATTGATCTCTTGGAAAATCATCAAATTTTTCATATGAAAATAATTACATAGTCTCTTTCATAATTGACATTAATTTTTATTCGTTTTATTGCATTTATTAAATGAATTTTAATCTCTCTTTAAGCAATATTTCTACTATTTCCATCCCCAATTTTATTTTTTCAGTCTTTATTTTTATTGCATAATCAGCTGCTTAAACTCTTTCATCTGTTTTTATTTTATCTATATCATGCCTATAAATTCAATCCACATCTATACTTATGTAATGTTATTTAATGAAACTTAGCAATTTTATCATATAAATCAGTTTCTGCTTTCTAAGCAATTCCAGCATTGCTTAATATAACTGAACCAGGATGAGATGTAGGAGTTATTTAATTCTATGATTTATTCATTATTAAATTAATAAATAATAATAATAACTATCTTATTAATGATATTTCATATTATTCATTTCATTATTAACCTAAATAATCAAGTTTAATTTTTAATTTTTTTTCATTTAAGTTGATAATATTATATATGTATTATTAAACATATATAATTACAAATAATCATAATTATAAGTAATAACTCTAATAATCATTCTAATTTAAACATTATTAAATTTTATTAAATAATATTAATCTTCAAATATTTCTAGTAATCATATTATTTTATTGATAGATAATAGATTTTCTATTTTTGTTTACTCAATCAACTTATATTTATTTATTTAATTGTTAAAATAATAAAAACATATATTATCACTTAATTCAATAATAAAAATAAAATATTAACATTTCATATTTATTTAGAATCAGTCTCAATCATACGATGAAACTAATCGAAATTAAAATTCCATGCTTCTGCTATTTTTGCAATTTCTAATATTCTTGTATCATTAGTTGATTCTGCTGATTTGACTTGAACATTCATTGCAATATTATCCTATCTATTATATATTTCATTACTATAGCATAAGCTAAGAATATATCCTTGACTGTTAGATTATTAACATCGTCTGTGATTAGTTTAATCTTTATTGTATTAAATAGATTCTCCCACTCAGGATGATCTACTTTAAATAATATATTACGATTGATTTATTCACTGAAAATGGCCACCTAAGTCATAAATGAGAATGCTTCTTTGAAATTAGAAAACTTGACTTCCTTATATAGTGAATTATCATCTTGCTATTGATAATAAATAATAGTGAATACTAGTTTCCATGTGGCTCCTAATTGATGCATCTTCAATAATGTTTTTATATCATCAATTTTCAAAGCTGTTGGTTTTTCTGCTTTGAGAATTGAGAAATCTTTCACTTTGAAGGATAGTTTTGGAAATGATGATGTAATCTTTCCTGAACAAAATCTAAACAACTAAATCATTTTCAATGATATATTTTATTTATCATATATTCATTTTAAGAATTACGATAAATACGTATTATATATAAATTTGAATCATTTTCAATATAATTTGCATTATTAAATACAAATTATAGGAATAACAATAAAATCTATAGATGAATAAATGAATCAATCAATAACATTGATTTAATATAATTGACCAAATATCTAACAAAATTTATAATATTACATTAACAATTATAAATTATAAATTTCCTATATTCATTTAATAAAGAAGCTTACAATACTTGAATATTTGTTAAATAGTTTATAAAAATAATATTTTAGAAATGATTTATTTTCGTAATTATTTCATTTTAATATTTTCTCAATTTTAATTTACTATTTAACAAAGTGCATTAATGCATCACTTTGATGATTTGTAAAAGTCTTAAAAAGTTGATTTTATGATAAGTATCAAGTTTTATATATATCTTAGTCATTTCAGTTACAAAAAATTGAAGTTCAAATTATAGAATTAGATTGCCAGTTACTAATTCCATAACAATTATAAGATATAAAAAGTAGTTTAAAAATACTCCAATGATATACTTTTTAATATAAAGTATAAAAAATAAGAAAATTTTAAAGGAGTTTTAGTTCTAAAATAACTTATTTTAAATTTAGTATATTTATATTAAGTATAATATGTGAATAATAATTTGAAAGAAGTTAAATTATAGAAAAATACCTAATAATTTTCTTTGTTCTGAAATTTTAAGGCAAAATTTTAATGATGATCTAAAAATAAATATATTTAAAAACTAATAAATGTAGTAGATAAGTCACATTAATTTTGTTTTTAAAAAGCATTATTTATATAACTAATATATTATTTCATAAGCATGATTAAAGAGAGAACAGATATCTAAACTATTGAATCAAGCAAAGAAATACATATTAGATAAACTACAACAACTAATTTACTACCAACTATAGTTATTGATCATCATGAAGAACAGCACGACCAGTTATAACCTTCTCTTTAAGTGATTGAAGAATCAGTAGATGTGTCACAATAAAAAGAAGATCATAAATTCTATCCTAAATACCTTGGATAACGGAATTACTGGATTTCAAAATTATTCTTTTATCATTATACTTAGTATTCTTTATAATTAAAGAATCATGTTTTAGATAAGAATTTAAAGATTACTCAATAACATTTACCATTGTTATCTCCTAAAGATGATTTATAAAAATCAGTAGATGCATCATTAAAGAAAATAAATTAATTTAAACAAGTCACAACTTGTTAATTAGTGAAAATCATTTTCTTTGGTGAACTTAAATGGGTAACATTCAAATGTATAATTGCTTTTTTTATTGAATCCTTATCAAAAAATGGAATATCTTTTATACTTAGCAATATCATTACGTGTGTTTCATAGAATGATATTAAGATGGCTCATTTTTTTGCCATAATTATGGTCTCTTTGAATTTACTTTGTACATTAAGTAGACATCATGCAGCTAATCAATCTATAATATTTTCATCAAAAGCACGATTAACTTTAATAAATCTTGTATATATTAAATTAATTGAATTAAATCAATACTCTTTTAAATAAGCAAATATTGGTAAAATATTAAATATTTTATCTGGAGATATCAATACTCTAGAATAAGTATTGAGTATGATATTTCCTAGTAGTGTGGTGATAATATCATTATTATTGGCTTCTTATATACTATGGGATCGATTTAATGGTTTTATTGGAATTTTAGTTGTAGCTATTATATTTATAGCATATCCAATTTAAATATTTTTATAATCATTTAATTCTTAAACTCTCAAACTTTAAAAACAACACTAGGATAAAAGATTCAAAATAACTAATGAATTAATAGAAGGAATAAGATTAATAAAAATGTATGCTTGGGAATAAGCATTCAAATAAATGATCTTGACAGCAAGAAGAGAAGAATTTATTTGTTTATTAAAAGTTGTTATCAGATCAGGTATAGATAGATTATTTACATTAATATCACAAATTTGGGCAAGTTTGTTATTTTTTATTATTTTATATTATGGAGGTTATAGAAATGAAATGAAGGTAGCAGAAATGATATCTACTCTTTAATTATTATCATTTCTAAAATTAAATTGTGTTTATATGGTTTCTTATGGAATCTAATCTTTTATTTAAATCAAAGTATCTTTTGAAAGAATAGCAAAAACTCTTAATTTGTAAAATTTTGAGATGAAATAATTAGAATAAGAAGTACAAAATTAATAGAAAAATGAATGCCAAACAGATGATTGTATTATTCCAATCGTATCATTTAAGAATTTTTAAGCCTTTTGGACTCATTCTCTTAAAAAAGATGATAAACCAGTTTTGAAAAATATAAATCTGGATATCTATGAAGGTGAAACATGGGCTGTAATTGGTTAAGTTGGTTCTGGAAAATCATCATTCTTACATTCTTTGTTATCAGAAATACCATCCTATAAAGGAACTCTTCTTTTTAATGGTTAAATTCCCTAAGAAAGTGATTTGACTATTGCTTATGTTGAATAAGAACCTTATATTTTCCCTGATACAATTAGATAAAACATCTTATTTGGAAGACCATACAATAGGTCTCTATATTAAAAAGTAACTTAAGCAACTGAATTAGATGTTGATTTTTCTTTAATGAAATCTTCAGATCATACTGAAATAGGAGAAAGAGGTATAACATTATCAGGTGGGTAGAAGGCAAGAATATCTTTAGCAAGGGCTCTTTATTCATTAGCAGATATATATTTATTTGATGATCCTTTATCTGCTGTTGATGCTCATGTAGCAGAGATTATATTTTAATTAGCAATTAAATAATTTATTTTTAGTGAATAACCTCTTCTTAATCCTAAAAAATAAAGACCTATTGTTTTTATAGCTACTCATTAGATTTAGTATGCTGTGAAATGTGATAAAATTGCAATATTAAATGAGGGTGAAATTATTGCTCAAGGAACCTATGATCAAATAAAGTAATCGCTTTATATGATTAATAAAGGATTAGCATTATAATTAACTAGTTAAAAGAATGAAAATAAGAATCAAGATGAAATCAGATCATCAGCTAGAAGAAGAACTGGGGCAAGATCAACATATTTGAGAAATCTTACTATTCAAGAATAAAATTTATAATAAGTTGTAGATTTAACTACCTTTGTTAGATATTTTAAATATTGGAAATGCTTTGAATTGATTATAATATTAGGATTAGAGGCAGGATCTGAAATAATAATTATATTCTATTAAAGAATTATCTCATTATTTCAAGAATATTAAACAAAGGATGAAATTAATTATGCATATACATAAATGGGCATTCTCACTATAGCTTTACTTTTTTGTAATTTTATTAAATATATAATGAATATATTGTAAGTTTAGAAAACAACTTAACATATTCATAAATAAATGCTTGAATCAATAAGTATAGCTCCAATATCTTATTTTGATACCAATCCTTCAGGAAGAATTATCAATCGATTTTCTAATGATCTATCCTTATGTGATGCTCAAACCAATCAAGTTTGTTTAGATATTTTAGAATTAATTGGAAACTTTCTATTTGCCCTAGTAACCTTAGCAATTTTATAACCTTTTTTTTTAATAATGATAATAGCCTTATTACTTATTGATATCTATATATATAGTTTCTATAACAAAATTATTAGCTAATTGAAAGAAAATGAATTGATTTAAAGAAGTCCTCTATTTGATTTTATTAAAAAAACATTAGGTGGAGCTGTTTAAGTTAGAGTTTATGGACAAAGGGAATGGTTTATCAAATAATTTTATGATTTGTCAAATTAATGTAATCTAAATTCATTGACTTATTATTATTAAGCTAGATGTTTTGGATTTAATATTGATATGATTGGATTTTTTGCATAAACTGTTGGTCTCTTTTTTTTTTTGAATTTGAATAATGATGATATTGCTATATTTTCTTAAGGAGTATTACTACTAGCTACATATAATGATGGATTATAATTAGGGTTAAGGTAGATGATTAATTTTGCCACTCAGATGAATTCATATAATAGAATGTTTGAAATTATTGATATACCACCAGAAGCACCTCATATTAAATAGGAGGATAAAAAATTTAATAAATTCCCTTTAAATGGTGATATAGTATTTGAAAATGTTTATATGAGATACAGAGCTAATTCTGATTTGATTCTAAAGGGTATTTCTTTTAAAATATAGAGTGGATAGAAAATTGGTTGTGTTGGAAGAACAGGTGCTGGTAAAAGCTCAATATTATATGCAATATTTAGAATGTCAGAAATAGAGGATGATGAGGATTCTTTTATTTCAATATCAGGTGTTGAAATTAAAAATTTAGGATTAAGAAAATTAAGAAGTAGCATTGGAATAATACCATAATGTCCATTCTTATTTACAGGAACTGTCAAAAGTAATCTAGATCCTTTTGAAGAAAACAATGATGAAAGTATTTTGAAAGCATTAGAAATTACTGGTCTTATAGAACATATTAAATAATTTCCAAAAGGAATACTAACTGATATCTCAGATGTAAACTCTGTTTTTTCTGTTGGATAAAAATAATTAATATGTTTGACACGTATTCTTTTATCAAAAAAGAAGATTGTTGTTTTAGATGAAGCCACAGCTAATTTGGACTTAAAAACAGATGATTTTATATAAGAAACATTAAAAAAATAACTAAAAGATTGTACTTTAATAACCATAGCACATAGATTGAATACAATAGCTGATTATGATAAAGTTATGGTCATTTATGATGGAAGAGTTATTGAATACGATAAACCATTTAATCTATTAGCAAAATCACCTAATTCAACTTTTATTGATAGAAATTCAGAATTTTCAAGGCTTGTAAAGAATACTGGAAATTCGAATGCCTAAGCTATTTTTGATATTGCTAAAAAACAATTGAGTATAATAGAACATTGATCTTATTTTGTAAAATTGTTATCATTAATTTTATAATTTTATTATTAACAACAGCATAAGTTTGTTAATGCTTTTTTATTATGAATATTAATACTTTATGATTTAATAAGTATAATAGATTATTTCTTTTAATAAATTTAGACTGAAATAGTTTACTTGATAAAGTGTAACAATTAATCTTAAGACTTACTTATTTATAAAAAAAATATAAATCATTTGATTCATAAAAAAATAAGAAACTTCTGTTTAGTAATAACAAAATAATTTGTTTATTAAGACTACAATTAAAACTAATTAGGGTTAATTTAATAATTTATGTTATAAAATTTGAATAATTGAGTTGAATGATTTTTAGAAAGAGCAAAAAATTATTAGATGCAAAATAACAAAAAATATTAATTTAAGTTATTATTAAAATAATTTTCTATATTCTTTTTAATTATTTTAAAGAACAACAAATAAACTTAAAAAATATTCAATCAATTATTATTTTCCTTACTTCAATAACAATTTTTATCTTTTAAATCTTTGATCAAATTAGGCACAGATTTATTTATATCTAGAATAAAAATAGATTAAGATATGAAGTATTTAAAAATAGACTGAACATTATAAAATGGTTTTCTTGTATCGGAATAAAAACAAAATAATTACCAAATTCTAGATTATCAACTATTGGGAATAAAATATTTAAAAATAAATAATAGGGTATACTATCTATATTTTTTTAATCACAAATTTCTAAATATAAAAATCTAATTCATAAATTAATTTATAATTTAATAATTAATTTATAGCTTTGAGAATGATGAAAAACCAATGGCTGGCTTATCAATTTTATTTGATTAAATTCATATTAACCATAATTAATTTGATGATTATATTATATAAAATAAGAAATAAAAGTTCTGCTAAATACATTTAAAATCTAAATTTCAAGTATTATACATTTATAAAATATCCTAAAATCTGCAAAAATCAGAATTTAATAATTAGTTTTAATAAGGTAGATCAAACGAGAAAATATATATATAATTATCATTAAAGACTAATCTGAAGTCAAGAAATTACAGCAAAGGCGAAGCAAATTGATTCTAACATTTATAAAGATAATCATATACTCTAATTATTAATTTATATGTATGTGAGAAATAATGAGTATTAATTTTAGTGAAAAATTATAAAGTTGTATCTTCTAATCAAAAATGAGTTCATAAATTTTAAGATTGATTTGATTAAAAACGCTAGTTTAAATTTTTTCGAATCCCAATAATTAAGATTATTATTTATACTTAACGATGAACCGCAAAGTATATAAATAAGATGAATCTTGTGTAAGGACAAAAATTATTAAAATAGCATGGAATATGGAAGAAGATAATTACTCAAAAAAGGAATCAGAATTTGTGGAATTAATAAATAGAAATAGCTTAATATGTACCTAATAGAAATCCTAACTAATGTGGAAAAAGATGGAAAAGAATTTACGGACATAGGGTATTATATTTGATTTAGATATTAGAATAGAATCAATTAATCTTGGAAACCAGAAGAAGATTAAAAGCTATTATAACTTATTTAAGAATTTGGAAAATAGTGGTCAAAGATAGCATGGATTATCTAAAACAGAAATAGCAAATAGTGTCGAAATCGATTCATTAATGCACTTGATCCAAAATTAAAATAACATAGCTACACTCAAAAAGAAGACCAATTAATCTATCAAAAGTACTTAGAATATGGTCTTAAGTGGCCTTAACTATCTAAATTTATCGAGGGTAGATCGGTACTATAATTATTTATTAAAGGATAACTAAATAAAGAATAGTTTACACGGTAGAAAAAACAAAAAAATTATAATTTTTCTTCTGTNCAAAATAATTACCAAATTCTAGATTATCAACTATTGGGAATAAAATATTTAAAAATAAATAATAGGGTATACTATCTATATTTTTTTAATCACAAATTTCTAAATATAAAAATCTAATTCATAAATTAATTTATAATTTAATAATTAATTTATAGCTTTGAGAATGATGAAAAACCAATGGCTGGCTTATCAATTTTATTTGATTAAATTCATATTAACCATAATTAATTTGATGATTATATTATATAAAATAAGAAATAAAAGTTCTGCTAAATACATTTAAAATCTAAATTTCAAGTATTATACATTTATAAAATATCCTAAAATCTGCAAAAATCAGAATTTAATAATTAGTTTTAATAAGGTAGATCAAACGAGAAAATATATATATAATTATCATTAAAGACTAATCTGAAGTCAAGAAATTACAGCAAAGGCGAAGCAAATTGATTCTAACATTTATAAAGATAATCATATACTCTAATTATTAATTTATATGTATGTGAGAAATAATGAGTATTAATTTTAGTGAAAAATTATAAAGTTGTATCTTCTAATCAAAAATGAGTTCATAAATTTTAAGATTGATTTGATTAAAAACGCTAGTTTAAATTTTTTCGAATCCCAATAATTAAGATTATTATTTATACTTAACGATGAACCGCAAAGTATATAAATAAGATGAATCTTGTGTAAGGACAAAAATTATTAAAATAGCATGGAATATGGAAGAAGATAATTACTCAAAAAAGGAATCAGAATTTGTGGAATTAATAAATAGAAATAGCTTAATATGTACCTAATAGAAATCCTAACTAATGTGGAAAAAGATGGAAAAGAATTTACGGACATAGGGTATTATATTTGATTTAGATATTAGAATAGAATCAATTAATCTTGGAAACCAGAAGAAGATTAAAAGCTATTATAACTTATTTAAGAATTTGGAAAATAGTGGTCAAAGATAGCATGGATTATCTAAAACAGAAATAGCAAATAGTGTCGAAATCGATTCATTAATGCACTTGATCCAAAATTAAAATAACATAGCTACACTCAAAAAGAAGACCAATTAATCTATCAAAAGTACTTAGAATATGGTCTTAAGTGGCCTTAACTATCTAAATTTATCGAGGGTAGATCGGTACTATAATTATTTATTAAAGGATAACTAAATAAAGAATAGTTTACACGGTAGAAAAAACAAAAAAATTATAATTTTTCTTCTGTGTTTCTTTTTTTTAAAACTGTTAATATTTAATTTATAATACAAATTTATTTTTCTAAAATAAAATTGCTGTTATTTTTGTCTCAACAAATATTTGTTGAGACAAAAATAACAGCAATTTTATTTTAGAAAAATAAATTTGTATTATAAATTAAATATTAACAGTTTTAAAAAAAAGAAACACAGAAGAAAAATTATAATTTTTTTGTTTTTTCTACCGTGTAAACTATTCTTTATTTAGTTATCCTTTAATAAATAATTATAGTACCGATCTACCCTCGATAAATTTAGATAGTTAAGGCCACTTAAGACCATATTCTAAGTACTTTTGATAGATTAATTGGTCTTCTTTTTGAGTGTAGCTATGTTATTTTAATTTTGGATCAAGTGCATTAATGAATCGATTTCGACACTATTTGCTATTTCTGTTTTAGATAATCCATGCTATCTTTGACCACTATTTTCCAAATTCTTAAATAAGTTATAATAGCTTTTAATCTTCTTCTGGTTTCCAAGATTAATTGATTCTATTCTAATATCTAAATCAAATATAATACCCTATGTCCGTAAATTCTTTTCCATCTTTTTCCACATTAGTTAGGATTTCTATTAGGTACATATTAAGCTATTTCTATTTATTAATTCCACAAATTCTGATTCCTTTTTTGAGTAATTATCTTCTTCCATATTCCATGCTATTTTAATAATTTTTGTCCTTACACAAGATTCATCTTATTTATATACTTTGCGGTTCATCGTTAAGTATAAATAATAATCTTAATTATTGGGATTCGAAAAAATTTAAACTAGCGTTTTTAATCAAATCAATCTTAAAATTTATGAACTCATTTTTGATTAGAAGATACAACTTTATAATTTTTCACTAAAATTAATACTCATTATTTCTCACATACATATAAATTAATAATTAGAGTATATGATTATCTTTATAAATGTTAGAATCAATTTGCTTCGCCTTTGCTGTAATTTCTTGACTTCAGATTAGTCTTTAATGATAATTATATATATATTTTCTCGTTNCCCAAACCCAACCCCAAACCCAACCCCAAACCCAAACCCAAACCCAAACCCAAACCCAAACCCAAACCCAAACCCAAACCCAAACCCAAACCCAAAACCCAAACCCAACCCCAAACCCAAACCCAAACCCAAACCCAAAAATAAATTTGTATTATAAATTAAATATTAACAGTTTTAAAAAAAAGAAACACAGAAGAAAAATTATAATTTTTTTGTTTTTTCTACCGTGCATTCTAAAAATTAGAAAATATTTTTTAATATAAAATTGAAAACAGAGGTGTTTTAATAAATTATAATTCATAATTAATCATAGATAATTTTAGAATACATGTCTAAAAATGCTTCTTGTCTAACTTTCTATAAGTGGTTAAAAAAATGCTTATAATTTAGTCATTTGCAAAGGATGACAATATTTTTTTTTTAAATCTAGGCAATTTTTCATTACAATTTTTATGCCTTTATTGGAGAGTTTAAGCAATAAAGTTTTCTTTGTTGACATTGAAATATTCTGAAGAATTGTTCTATTGATTTTTGTTGTAGGCACAATGACTATACGAAAATAATCTTTTATTTGTTATTTCTTCATTTATCAGTTAATTATTGAGAATTTATTTAATCAATAAAATTTTTTTTTAATTCTACCTGAATAGAGGTTTTTAGAAGTTAGAAAAAATAGAAGATCAAAATGACCATTAAACAAAAGAGGAAGATTTATTCATATATACAAATGAATAACATTACTAAAATCTAGATTAAGAAATACATTCTAATATGGATTGTTAAAATTTGAGTATGAGTCATATAAATTTATTCTGAATTACAAGATTAATTTTTATTAATTATAAATTTATTTTTGATAATTTTTTTTAGTAAATCATACCAAAAACTTATCAGACTCACTTTTAATAATGTTAATTATTTTTCTTATGAGGAGCTTTAACCTTTATGGAAATTTTATAACCCATTAAGGTATTGATTTAAAAAAGCTATTAAAATAAAAAGGAAGATATATTTTGGAAGCCTATTAGAAGAAAATTAAAAAATGAAAATTATCACGAAAATTATAATTAGGATTATTAATAGTCTCAAATGTTTAGCAAATTAAAAAATCTCTTTTCATTTTTTTTAAGGTTTAATAGAATGTTAGTAGCAAATAATTTTTAGCATAACTTTAATAAATAGCAAAAAATGTTAAGTTATCCAAATTTCTCAATAATGTAATGATTTTTCTATCTAAATGTATTTTATATATAAAGAAAATATAATTATTGATAATTTGTGTATTAATATAAAATATTGATAATATATTCTTTAAGAATCAAGAAATGCATTATTTGAATTGAATTCCCGCTTAGCGATTTAACAACAATTACAAACAACTATACATTTAGACAATCTATGGTCATCCTTCTTTGAAAATATATTTTTTATTTTTTGATATTTTTAATATAAAGCCGATAGTAGATTAATAGAAAATCAATATTTAAAAAATAAAATGGATCGATATTCTCAGCAGAAAGAAGATTTTATGAGATATTAGCCGAATTAGAAGTTGTCAATTATTAATTCTTCTATGTCATATTTGAAATGTTCAAAAGAAAAAAAAGAGAAAATAATCGAAGACTACCTTTCTTTTAAAAGATGAAAATCAGAGGCTTATTGAATAATAATTTTAATAAATCAAAAATCAAATTTTCATTTTGGAAAAGTTGCTTTATGATATTAAATTTAACATATAGAAAATTGCTATAGCTGTCAAAAAATAATAGATCATGATTGTAGTAAGAATAATTATTCCTAACAAAGAACCGAATAATTAAATTAGAACTAATTTAAAAATATCAGAAGATCCTTGCATTTTTATAATTTCTAGTTCAACTCACAAGTTTAGATGGCAGATTTATTTAATATGGTTAAAATTAACTTAATTTGTTAGTGGAAATGAATGTAGATCTGAGGGAAAATTTATTAAAATATTAAAATTAAAACTACATTATTAGTTTGGTGCTAATTTTGTTGGAAGTAATTTGAGCGGATCTCAATTTGAAAATTTAGATATTAGCGGAATAAATTTGAATGGAGCGTAGTTATTTAATTGTACATTGAATAAAATGAAAATACATGAATTACATTAAATAGATGCTCATAGAAGTATTGTAAATTCAGTAAGCTTTTCATCTGATGAAATTACGTTATAATCTGGAAGTGCAGATTTATTTATTCGATTATGGGATATAAAGAGAGGTCAATAAAAAGCGAAATTAGATGATCATAGTAGTGAAGTAAATTCAGTATGTTTTTCACCTGATGGTAAGAAATTATCATCTAGTGAGGTTAATAAACAGCCAAATTAAATTTTCATAATACTTATATAAATTCAATATACTTCTCTCCTGATAGTTCTACACTAGCATCTTCTAGCAAATAGATGTTAGAACAACACAATACAGAACTATAATAGATAAATATAGCCATGTCTTTCTATAAATTTGCTTTTCTACAGATGGTAAAATATAGGCATCTGGCTGTTATTATCTTTTTTTAACATTCTATTTATTAATGGAATGTTAAAAAAAAGATAATAACAAGCCAAATTAGATGGTCATACTAGAGAAATTATATCAGTCTGTTTCTCTCCTGATGGAAATACATTAGCATCTTGTAGTTTTGATAACTCTATCCGTCAATGGGATGTCAAATCAGGATAATAATAAGCCAAATTGGATGGTCATACAAGGAATTTTAGATCAGTAAATTTCTCTCCTGATAGAAATACATTAAATTCTGGTAGTAAGGATTAGTCTATCCGTCTTTGGAAAGTCAAAACAGGTTAAGAAATTAATTCCTCTGATTCATATTACAAAGATCTTTTAAAATAATTTAAGATTCCACTACAATAAAATAGTCCTATATCAGAAGATAATATTAATTTTTTATATTTTTAGTTTCCAATTAGATCACTACACTCATTATATCTTCATAGGCATTATTCTAAGCTTAAGGAGCGCTTATTTTGAAAGGAGAGTTTATAAATAAATCAGGTATAGATTTAAAGACATTTTTTTACAAAAAGGAAGATTCTTTTTGGAAGACTTTAAGTAAAAGTGATTTGATTTCGATTATTTTTTATATACGTCTTTATCAGTTAAGCTTTTAATTTTCACTTCTTCAGATGATTTTCCAAAGTATTATTCCATTACAATTATATGTACACATCCTTTACTTAAATACTATTAAAATATACGGTCAGTTTAGTCGAGGAAATATTTATGGAGATATCATAAACACTTTAATCATTTAATATTTTGAGAGATTTAAATTTAAATGCTACTACATTACATTAATAATCTAAAGAAAGAACAGTAAGCACAATGAAGAGATTAAAATAAAGTAACAAAAATGCAGGCTCATTTAATCATCTAAGATATTATCATAGATTTACTTAATTTATTACTAATTATAAGTGGAATTAATCTTAAAAATAATTATTAATAATTTTGTAAAATTAGTTTATAAATAGGAAAAGATACAATTAATAACAAAGATAAGAAAAAAGATACATTAAGAATTTTAAAAAAATGAAGTTAATATTAGAAATAACCTAAACTATAACATAGTTTAAAAACAGATTGAGTTATAAAAATTACTTTATGTTTGTAAATATTTTAATAACCTTTGTAATTATCTGTTAATTGATATAAAAAAGTATAAGAAATTAAAATAGACTATAAGATATTTTAATCATGAAAAAGTATGAGATAATTGAAAGGATTAAGATTTAAGACAATTATTTCTTTCCTAATAACTATCAAATACTCTAAACATGTATAATTCACTGAAATATTGTATTCAGCTTTTATAGATGCATAAAACTATATAATCATTAACTTCAAGATGATTTTAAAGGGAAATTAATATCTAGGCTAAAATACATCTTTTATGAACTCATCATTGAAAGTTTTTGAAATTCACTAAGAAATCACCGAAAATTTATTCATATTTAATTTTAAGAAAATCTTTTGAAAAAATTGAAGAAGAAGAAATAGGAATCAAAAATTAGTATTGTTATACATTCCCAAAATTGTTAGTTGATAGTGGTAAAATACTTTAGTTTTTCATGTCAATAAATGAATTAACTTGTTCGATATTAGATTAATTGAAGAATTATCTATATAAAAAACAGATAAACAAGTAGGAAATCGATAATATCTTGTATTATGTGTATGTCTATAATTACAAAATTAAAATTCATCAATTTTCCAATAATGCTGTTCATTTTTCATCGATTTTCATAAAAGGATGATAAATAATTTTCAGTCCTAAATAAATAAAAGTTATTTTAACTTCATGATTTAGAGTTATCATAAAAAATAATTTAATATCCCAAAAATTATTTATAATTCTTTAATGCTGGAACTTTTTCCAAACTAAAGTTCTTATAATTAGTATGGGATTATACTTCTAACGTATTAAAGGTTTCATCATCTTCTCCAAATGGAGTAAGGGAAGGGTTAAGCCTAGTGTTCTCCTTGAGCCAAAATTTATTCTATATTTGAATATAATGATTTGAAAAAATATGTTCTTAAGGAAAAATAAGCAAGAAGATTTTATTTAGAAATAAATGAATATCTAGTCTTCTTTGATTAGCTTAATTAATTCTAAAATACATATTTTCAAGTTTCTTAATATAAAAATGAAATTAAACGTTTTGGTTGACCATCGACATAGGCTTATTTTGCATTCAAATTATATACATGCCTATATCGAAAAAGGTTTTATTTTAAATATCATTTAGCAATTTTATTACTTTTCACATATTTTATAAAAATAGGAGAAATTAATTAAATCTTTTCAGCCATATAAATTATTAAATAGAATTCAAATTAAACCATTCTTCTTAACAATTCTATTTCTCAAAAATGAGCAAACATAGAGCATTATTAATTTTTTATTGAAAGTAAAGAGGATAATATTGTAAAGGGAAATAGAAAACAAATATATTCACTACCTTATAATCACCTATTATTTTCTACAATAATTTCTCTTTTAAATATCTATTATTTATCAAGACTGATTATACATTTATAAATATTTTTTAAAAAGATATTTCCACTTCAATTATCAAGAAAAATAAGCTTCACTTTAACAACAGATCATCAAAATGTTAAGGCATGATCACCATTATTAACTTCAAATAATTTATTTTATATTATTACAGAATCATTAAATTTATATGTAGAATTGAATTCTAAATAACAAATTTTACCTCAATTATAATCAAAACAAAATCTTCATAAAGTCTTACATAGAAGACACTTTAAATTAATTAAGCAGTATAAAACTTAAAGTTAAAGTAATAGAAATTCAATATTATAATAAAAAAAAAAAATGATGGACTCTTTTTTACAGAAGGAAGCTTTTGTTGACATCTTTGCTTAAGTCAAAGATGTAGATGAACAAATTTTTGGTTTCATATTCAAAACTTTTCGAAAAGAAAAAGTTTAAGACTGCATTGGATATCTTTCAGATAATGGAAATCAAAAACAGTTAGAATAATAATTCTTACAAAAATTTAATTTGGCATTAGTTGAGATGGAATAGAAATTGTATAATTTTAGAAATTAAATGAAATAAATTACTGATGGCTTAAAAAAAATAAAAAATCATGACTTCAATAAAAAAGACTATTCTGATGAAAAAATTTATTAATCTATAAGGTAACTAATTACAATCATGAAGGGGAAGAGATAGATGATAGAATTTTTGTTATTTTTAGTTCATCTCACATCCATAGATAATTCTTTAATAAAATGCGGGTCTAATTCCTTACATTTATTAGTTTAGATGAATGTAGATCTTAGTTAAAAAAATTTTGAAAATATTAAGATTTCAAAGACTTCTTTAGTTCGAGCCAATTTTTTTAGGTGCGATTTAAGTGGATCTGAATTTGATAATGTAAATATTAGCGGAATAAATTTAAATTGTGCAAAACTATTTCATTGTAAATGGTAAAATATAAGAGTTGATTAATTGCATCATTTGAAGGGCCATCTTTCTTAGGTCAAATAAGTATCCTTTTCACCAAATGGTACTACGTTAGTATCTTGTGATGGAGACACATCTATTCGTATATGGGATATTAAGAGAGGAAAAACNAATTAATTAAATCTTTTCAGCCATATAAATTATTAAATAGAATTCAAATTAAACCATTCTTCTTAACAATTCTATTTCTCAAAAATGAGCAAACATAGAGCATTATTAATTTTTTATTGAAAGTAAAGAGGATAATATTGTAAAGGGAAATAGAAAACAAATATATTCACTACCTTATAATCACCTATTATTTTCTACAATAATTTCTCTTTTAAATACATTTATAAATATTTTTTAAAAAGATATTTCCACTTCAATTATCAAGAAAAATAAGCTTCACTTTAACAACAGATCATCAAAATGTTAAGGCATGATCACCATTATTAACTTCAAATAATTTATTTTATATTATTACAGAATCATTAAATTTATATGTAGAATTGAATTCTAAATAACAAATTTTACCTCAATTATAATCAAAACAAAATCTTCATAAAGTCTTACATAGAAGACACTTTAAATTAATTAAGCAGTATAAAACTTAAAGTTAAAGTAATAGAAATTCAATATTATAATAAAAAAAAAAAATGATGGACTCTTTTTTACAGAAGGAAGCTTTTGTTGACATCTTTGCTTAAGTCAAAGATGTAGATGAACAAATTTTTGGTTTCATATTCAAAACTTTTCGAAAAGAAAAAGTTTAAGACTGCATTGGATATCTTTCAGATAATGGAAATCAAAAACAGTTAGAATAATAATTCTTACAAAAATTTAATTTGGCATTAGTTGAGATGGAATAGAAATTGTATAATTTTAGAAATTAAATGAAATAAATTACTGATGGCTTAAAAAAAATAAAAAATCATGACTTCAATAAAAAAGACTATTCTGATGAAAAAATTTATTAATCTATAAGGTAACTAATTACAATCATGAAGGGGAAGAGATAGATGATAGAATTTTTGTTATTTTTAGTTCATCTCACATCCATAGATAATTCTTTAATAAAATGCGGGTCTAATTCCTTACATTTATTAGTTTAGATGAATGTAGATCTTAGTTAAAAAAATTTTGAAAATATTAAGATTTCAAAGACTTCTTTAGTTCGAGCCAATTTTTTTAGGTGCGATTTAAGTGGATCTGAATTTGATAATGTAAATATTAGCGGAATAAATTTAAATTGTGCAAAACTATTTCATTGTAAATGGTAAAATATAAGAGTTGATTAATTGCATCATTTGAAGGGCCATCTTTCTTAGGTCAAATAAGTATCCTTTTCACCAAATGGTACTACGTTAGTATCTTGTGATGGAGACACATCTATTCGTATATGGGATATTAAGAGAGGAAAAACATTATCTTTATTTTATAGTAGTAGGATAACTTCTGTTTGCTTTTCACCAAATAATTCAAACTTAGCAACATATGGAGATTATCTCAATATATGGGATACAAAAAGAGGAAAAATATTATCTAAATTGAATTATAATGGTTAAGTAATATGCTATTCACCAAACGGTACTACCTTAGCATTTAATTATATTAAATTAATTATTATTTGGGATGTTGAAAGAAGATAACAAAAATTTGAATTGTGTGGCCATGATCGTTATGTTTAATCAGTATGCTTTTCTCCAGAAGGTACTACTTTAGCATCTGGTGGTGAAGATAGAATGATTTATTTATGGGATGTTAAAACTGGAAAGAAAAAATTTAAATTAAGATGTGATGAAGGAGAAATTGCATCCTTATTCTTCTCTCCAGATGGTACTATATTAGTTTCAGGTTCTTATAGTATCCTTATGTGGAATATCAAAACAAGAAAAAAAATTTTTCATTGAAGGGTCATGGTAATTATGTGAAGTCCTTATGCTTTTCTCCTGATGGTACGACATTAGCATCTGGTGGTGATGAAGTTTTTATGCGTTTATGGGAGGTTAAAACAGGATAAATAAAAGCACAATTATATTGCAATAATTCAATCAACTCAATTTGCTATTCTCCTGATGGTAGTAAATTATCATTTAATGGTGTGGATAGTTCCATCCTATTATACGACTCTAAAGCAATTGAAATTAATACCCTATTAAATTATTATTGGGGCGTTTTCATCTAATTTTTTCCAGATGGCAAGACATTGATGTCTTATGATAGATCTCTCCGGATATTGGATGTATAAACCGGAAAAGAAAATTTTAATTAAAAAATCAAGCTAAAACTGCAAATGTAATGTGCTTTTCCCCAGATGGAACTATATTGGCATCGAATGGATCCATATCTATTCAAATATGGGATGTTAAAACAGGAAAACTAAAATTTGAATTAAATGGTCACACTTAATCAGTATGTTTAATCTGCTTTTCTCCTGATGGTTCTACATTAGCATCTGGTAGTTACGATAAGTCTATACGTTTCTGGGATGTAAAAACAGTAAGTCCAAAATTTTCAATCAATAAAAATAGTGATAGAGTTTGGCAAGTGTGTTTTTCTCCAGATAGTTCTTCTTTAGCATCTGTCTGCGATGACAATTATATATATTAATGGAATGTTAATACAGGAAACTTAAAATCTTTATTAAAAGGGCATAATAACTTTTTTAATACTATAACTTTTTCTCCTGATGGGTTAATGTTAGCAGTAGTTAGTGATTATTCTTTTATTTTTCTTATGAAGGCAAAAACAGGAAAATGCTTATATAAATTTGAAGGTCATGATGGAAATATCAATTAAATTTGTTTCTCTCCTGATAGCACATAATTAGCATCAGGTGGTTACGATACATCTATCCTTTTATCGGATGTTTAAACTGGGCAACAAAAATCTTAATTAAATGGCCATCTTTATTGTGTTAATTCAATATGCTTTTCTCCTGATGGTTCTTATTTAGCATCTGGTAGTTGGGATAATTCTATATGCATCTGGGATGTTAAAACTAGCCAATAAAATGATTAATTAAATGGTCATAGTGATTGTGTGTCTTCGGTATGTTTTTCACCAAATGGTACTCTATTAGCATCTGGTAGTTTTGATAATTTAATCATTCTTTGGGATGTTAAAACAGCCATATAAAAATCAAAATTTGAAGGTCACACTCAAGGTGTGAATTCAATCTGCTTTTATCCAGATTCTACTAGATTGGCATCTGGTAGTAAGGATTTGTCAATCTGCTTATGGGATGTTAAAACAAGACAACTAATATCATAGTTATTTGGTCATAGTTCCAGCGTTAGGTCAGTAAACTTTTCACCTAATTGTAATATATTGGCATCAAGTAGCGATGATGGATCTATATGTTTATGGGATATGGCAAAAGGATAAAAAATTTAGGATTTAGATAAATTTTGTCAAGAAATTCCTACCAAATTTCAGAATCCTATTAAAACATTTTCTTTATTGAATAATGATAAGTTTGGTAATACTTTCAATTTTATATAGTTATTCCCTATACCAAACTACTTATATCTTCAGATCCAATATCTACATTGATATATAATTAGGATTAATAATTTATTTCCGGCTATAGTTAGAAAATAAAATCATTTATTGAACTCAATTTTATTATATCCATATTTAACTAGTATATTATAAATTGCTAAAATGATATTATCTTTTCAATAGATGAATGACGATTATCAAAATAATCGTCAAATCCTACATTATTGTAGATAATTGAGTATTCACACCCAAAATACTAATTAACATCTGTATAATAAAAAGGTAAGCTTAACTATAACATACCAAATATATTCACATTAAGAGTATTATTTAGAATTTTCATAAACTCTTATATGAGTAAATTACTGTTTTATCATCATTTGTGTTAAAGTTGAAAGTTATAATTAAACCTCAAAGTCTGATGATATGAAAAACTACAAATTCTCTTTTTAAGTAATTACATAAATATAAGGATTTATTTAATTTGGAGTATCAAAATCATTAAATTAATTA